ATATTAAAAACATTTTTAGCAAAAGCAACAATTGCAGTCCCTAAAGGATGCTCACTACTAGATTCTGCAGTTCCCATTAATAAAACAAGACGGCGAAGAGAAAGATGTGTACGAGGAAGTGTTAAATATAAACGAACAATTCGAGGCTTTCCTTCTGTTAAAGTTCCTGTTTTGTCAAATACAACTGTTCGAATCTGAAAATATCATTTTTATTAAAAAGTATAGGAGATATTCTGGACGGCCATAATATTGTTTTGTTCCACAATCAGTGAAACAAAACAACACCTTTTCTTCAAAATATATTTATTTGTATATCAGAAAAAAATTACCTTATGTGCCTGTTCCAAAGGTTCACCCCCTTTTAACAAAATTCCATTTAGAGCACCAACACCAGTTCCAACCATTATAGCTGTAGGTGTAGCAAGTCCTAAAGAACAAGGACAAGCTATAGCCAAAACAGTAATTGCATAATTAAAAGCTATTCTCAAAATAGATTCCCAATCAGTTATTGATAAATTATTTGAATTAATTGATGAATTTTTGACAGAATGGCCATGATTATTATTAGAAATACTTGTGTTATTTAAACCAACAAATAACCAAACAATAAATGTTATTATAGAAAATAATATAACTATTGGGACAAAATAACCAGCCAATTTATCTGCCATTTGTTGAATTGGAGCCTAAAAAACAATCAATTTTTTCTTTTTGATTATTATTCAAATTAAACAACTTTAGAAGACTGTGCCTCTTCAACCAAACGTACAATCTGGGCTAAAGTAGAATCTTTACCAACGTGAGTTGCTTTTATAATTATTGGTGTTGATTGATTTATAGAGCCCCCAATGACTGGAGATCCTATCAAAATTAAAAAAAAATTTTTGAAGCAAGTTTTCTACATGACGGGGAATGAGAAAATTAAAGTCAAATTCAAAAGTATAATAAGAACAAAATCTATTAATGAACAAGACTACAGATCAAGTTTTTAAAACTTAATTCCCTCTACTAAAATCCAAGATAAACTAAAAAGTAAAAACCTGGCTTCTTAATTACCGGCATAGATTCACCAGTAATAAAAGATTCATCTGCAGAAGATTTCCCTTCAAAAACAATTCCATCTACAGGTATTTTCTCTCCAGGCATAACTTTTATAAGATCATCTCTTTGAACAAATTCTGTTTCAATTCCTCTTTCAGTAATTATTTGACCAGTCTTCTCATCAATTGTAACTAGAATGGCTACTTTTGCTTGCATTGACATTAATTTACTTAATGCTTCTGATGTTTTTCCCTTTAAAATTTTTTTGAAATTAATTTTATTTAATTTTAAATATTTATTTTGGGTTTGTTTTTCCTTTGTATTCTTGTCTATGATCAGAAGATGATAAAAAGTTTAGAAACGCTTCTCTCTATTCCGTTTTTATTTTTAAAAATAATTTAAATAGTATTTAAAAATTACCTTAGCTTTATATTCAAGCCATCTTCCAAGTGAAATAAAAACTAAAAGCATTGGAGGGACATCAAAAAAAGTCATCGGACTTGATGGCCAATTTAAAATAATACCCATTAAAATAATAAACACCGAATAAATATAAGCTATTGACGTTGCTAATGCAACTAATAAGTCCATATTTGCTGTTTTATGTGAAAGTGCACGCCAACAATGAGAATAAAAATTATAACCTCCAAAAAACTAAAAAAGAAAAATATTTAAAACCCCGAAATTTTGTTCGAACAATAGTGAGGTATTATAAAAAAATTAAAAACCTGTACAGGAGTAGAAAGAACAAAAAGAATTAAATTATCCATAGACAAAGCTTTGACAAAAATTGGAACTTGTCTTTCTGGATGCATAGGTGTTTGTAAAAACCAATGAAAATAAATCATTAAAGCCATTACTGGAACGCCAAAAACTAAAGAAATGAAGAAAGAAGCCTTCCATTTAGCTATATCATCTGCATGCCCTAACCGTTTTAAACGATCATCATGTGTGGCTAATTCAGCACTATAACCGAGCGACTAAAAATCAGAAACCAGATAAATACTTTTCAAAGTTCAAAACCTGTATTCTATCAACAATATCTCTTAAACCAATTTGTGCAGTACAATATTCAATTATTGCAATTGTTGTTTCAAGTGAGACTGTGCAAGATTCAACTCCTCTCATAGCTATAACATGTGATTCAATTCTGTGTGCACAAACTGAAGAAGTCATTCCACCAATCTAAAAATTAAAAAATTTTGTTTAAACGAGTTTAGTCAAATCGAACGTTGAAAATAATTTTTATTAAATTATTACCAATAAGTGTATAGTTTCATTAATATTCGCAGAATCAGTAAGTACTTGACATTCAAAACCGAGATCATCAATTTCCTGAGCAATTTTCGAGGCATTTATTAAAGAGCTATCATAGATAACATGTGCCTTCATAAACATGAGAACAACAGTAATTGAATGAATACCTAAAAAATAAATTTAAACATTCTAGATTATCAGAAACAATAGAATCTTAAAACATCGATTACAGAATTCCATTAAAATAAAACAAAATTTAAACCCAAGAAATTCCAAAAGTAAAAAATTTAAGAAAATTAACCTTTTATCTGCTTAATAGCCTTTTCAATAGAAACAACACAAGAAGAACAAGTCATTCCCTCAACAGAAAGTGTGCATTTCTTTAAATTTGAGCTTTCATTTTCATTTGATTTTTTGGAAATTGGAGGTGAAAGTGGGGGCATTTCTTCTACTAATCGTTGATACATAATTTTTGAAGTTTAATAAATTAATTTAAATATTAAAACAACTAAATGTTTTTTTTTAATTTAAAAGAAAAATAAATAAATCTTATAATTTTTATTCTAAAAGTTAAAATAAATAAAATGTCAAACAGAGAAGTATGTATTTATTAGTGATGTTCGAGAGTCAAAAAATCCCGAGAGTCGAGAGTCGAGACCGAGACCGAGAATCAACCCCGAGACCGAGACCAAAACGAGAGTCGAGAGTCGAGACCGAGAGTCGAGACCGAGAGATTAAGAGGGATATCACTTGATGTCCCTCCTAATCCCCAAAAATCCCTTGATATACCTCAAAATCCCCATACTCGCTTGAATCCACTTGTCCACAATATATATTCAATGATATTCACATTAATCTCTTAAAATCCCCTCATATCCTTCCATATCCCTACAAATCCAACAATATCTTTTTGATCCATCGATGCACCCATCCCTTGATATTAAATTTTATCCTTCAGAATCCACAGTATCTAATATACCACAAACCACAAAATCTAATCCTTTAATCTTATTAAATTCAAATTTTTGCTGCATTTTTGGCGCCGCAGGCGAAAATTTTTTGAATTTTGGAGCTCAAGAAGCCAAATTTCCTCCATTTTCAGCGCCGCAGGCGAAAATTTTGAGAATTTTGGAGCTCAAGAAGCCAGATTTCTTCCATTTTTCAGCGCCGCAGGCAAAATTTTGGGAATTTTGGAGACTTTTCCTTAAAAATTTTAATATCAAAGTACGCAAGGTCCGAGTAAAGTTCAAAAAATTTCCGTCATTAGGGGTGTAAATTTAGTCTCGTTTTCCGAGACCAAAACACCGAGACCGAGACCGAGAGCTCAAAAAACCCGAGAAATTTCTCGACTCGAGAGTCGAGACCGAGAGTCTCGAACATCACTAGTATTTATCGTTTTTAGAGTATTTGAACGAAAGATATTGTTAAGGGCAAGCCTTAAAGTATATTCTATCAATTATATTTATAAAACTTAACCAAACAAATCGTTTCGCCGAAAAAATTAATTTATATTTTTGCTATATTAATCAATAATGATTTTAAATATCAAAAGTATTTTGTAAAAGTAATCAAAAAACACAAAGACACGTAAAAATTGGGGGAAGAAACATTAAAAAATGGACACGTATGTATGAATTAATTTTTAACCATTTATTATTTAAATAAAGCCCCTTATACCTGATAAATTGAAAAAAAATTTTTTTAGAAAAACTTCAAATAAACAAAATTTCATTAGAAATTAATTTAAAAAAGCCTTTGTTATGTGTCAATAACAAAAGTTCGCTAAAAACATTGGAAGAAAATTACGTTTCAACCGGTTCCGGACAGTAAAACCACATTTTCACAGGAGAGATGGCAAAGGTTTAGGGGGGGCTGTTGGCGAAATAAAATATATTTTTTTATTGTGGTACTTACTGAATAGAAAAAAGTGTCGCGCGCAAAGGGCGAAATGCAGGTGAAGTAATTAGTACTTTATTTTATTTTTTAATTGCTGTTATGGAATAAATGTATTGATAAATATAGCAAAAATTTTTAGGATTGAAAAATAAAATGTATGGGGAAGATAATTAGAATAAATTCAAAAATTATGGCAATGTTGAAAATTTTGATAAACAAAAAAATATTTTCTTATCTAATTTGTACATGAGTAGATGAGAAAATTAAGGGGACACTGTTTTTTTTCAAAATGTTAATCAAAATAATTGGATAAAATAAATTTTAAAAAATAAAATAATCAGGAGTTTTAGAGACTTGGCTTTGATACAAAGGTAAAAATGTGTGGAAAAATTCTGGACAAATGATAAAAACAAAAAATAATAAAGTGTCCCATTAATTTTCGGTCACCTTGTAGGTGTGATGAGATTTTTATGATAACAAGTGAAAAAATGAAGATAAAATGGGAAGAAAGTATCAACAATTTTTTAGTCTTTTTTTGAAATTATTGCTGTGACATGAAAAAATGACATTAAATTTTGGGAGACAAGGTAATTGGGGAAAGAGTAAGAGGAAGAAAGAGAGAGGTATTTGGGTGGGAGAATCAATTATAACGAATAAAACTTTTTGAGAGAAAAGAAAAAAATTATGCACAGAATTTGTAATGAATTGAATTTTTGAGGACAATTTTCAATCGGGAAACCAATTTTTGAAGAAAAAGTTTTTTAATAATTTTGAAAAATTAAAAATAGAAGGTATTTTGCAAGCGAAAATTTTTTAACTTAAATGAAGTTAAAAAATATTTAAATAAAGGTGAGATGAAAGAACGGAAAAAAACCACGTGGATTTTTCCAACAAAAAAAAAGTTTATAAAATTCCGTGCATATTAATTGATAGAATTTTAGGGGAATTGAAAAAAAATTAAATTACAAGCAAGATTACTCTTTTTCAAAAATATACCTAATAATTTCTAACCATCCACAATTTTAGCCAATTGTCGCTCTAATAATTCAGCTTTAGTATTTTCTTGTCGAACTTTTGCCTCTTCCTGTAATAATTTTGCCTTTTCTTGTAATAAAATAATCTCTTCTCTTTTAATTTGTAAATTAATTTGTTTCAATTTTGCTTCTTGTATTTCATCCTCAATCGATTTTGTTGCAATTATTGAGGAAGAAGAATGTTGACGTTTACGAGCATTGTTAATATTATTATTAGCAGTTGATGATGTCGAAGTAATTACACCGCTGGAAACTGATGGACGTATTTCCTCAGAATTTTCTGAAATTAATAAATTGTTGTTATTATTTTGAGTAGATGCTTCGATTATACGTTGTACTAATAATTCAGCATTTGTGGCATTCTCTGGACCATCAGTTATAATTACATCGTTATCTAAAATGAATTTAATTATACTACTAATGAAACCATGCGTGAGTTAAAAATGTTTTGCTTGTCAATAATTAAATGCATTAGATATAAATGCATTGTTTTAATCCCTTGCAGTGGGATAAAATTTGTCCCATGGGGATTCAGCTTCATAATTTTGTTAAAAATGAACAAATCTAACTGACATGGCAGCTCGAAGAGCTATAATAAATTATATAACAAGCAAAAAAAGCTCATTTTTGTCAGGGAAGTATTACCGATATGTGAACAAAGAAATATAGGAACTGTCTAAAATTTAATTAAAAATGAAAAGAATTACAAAATAAGCTTTTAATTTGCTAAAAATGGATATCTAAAAATAATTATTTACTCAACCTTTGCTTTTATCCATCATATGATTCTCATTTCCATTATTTTGAGGGCTTTGTTTGGCAGATTGAGAACAAAAACGTTGTTGTTTGCGAAGTGGCTGGTCTCCCCGTGGTGATTCAATTGGTGAACTCTGTGTTTCCCATGATGTTTTTCGACTTAAATATGAAGCACTCGCAGCCAACGCAGAGCTCAAGAATGTATTAAGTTGCTGCTGATCTAAATTATTAGAAATATGATCAGAGTATGATAAGAAAATATGAGGAGGGGGGGGGGGGGTATTAAAAATTTAGTCACAAAAATGAAAGTATAAAAAATTTGTTTATAAAAACAAAAAAATAAAACAACAGAACAGAAATATTCCAATGTATATAGCAGAAAAATATAGCAGAAAAATCAATTTTTAAAATTTTGACAATGGGAAAAACACGATCAGTTTTGCAATAATTTTCTAAAAACTAAATCAACAAATTTCAAAAAGTAAGAATTAATCTCAAAAAATACAGCCTAACAAAGCTTGTTAAATATAAGTGACCATACCTGTTTGCACTTGCTCAACAGCAGGAATATTCAAAGTGGACAAAAATGAAGAATCAGCACTGTCAGATCCAGCATGTTGTTCCTCACATTTTAACCAGTTAAAAGTGGCATTAAGTGCACCATTCATAGGGTCAAATTGTGCTGAAGATTGAAGAACCTCGTTCCCCATTATATCAAAAACAACCTTGTCAACCTTTTATAGATATAAATTTATAAAAATTTAATTAAAAATAAAAATTACAAAATCAAAGTAATTTGTAGAACTTATAATTTAACAAAAATAGTAATTTACCTCACTATAAGGAATCTCTTCGACACCAGATTTCTGATTATGTTCATATTTAGCTACAGCTGATCTACGTAAATATTGCCAATCGTGATTTCTAACATCTCTCCACGATTTTCGTTCAAAATTTTGAAATCCTTGTTCAATCATTTCCAGTCGAACACCCTCCCAAGCATCTTCTTTTTCTTTTAATGCTTGCGGTTTAAAAACATTTTCGCTTGAACCAAAAAGAATATCTTTTCTTTCCAAAATTGCCTTTGCTAGTACATAAGTTTTTTGTCTCATAATTGTAGCAATAAAATTTAAGTAAATTTTTAAATGAAATAATTAATGAGTGTAACACCAAATGATAACCTAAAAGATAAAATAATACGAATGTTTCTACGAAAAAAGGTAAAAAAAAAAAGAAAAAAAGTGCCTTTAACAATTTATAATTGGCCAAATGAATTTTGCATTTCGACAAAATAATAAATTATTCAATTTGGTAACTCCACATATTATCAATTTTTTATATAGGTAAATGACAAATTACCTAATTATGAAAAGGTCAAAATCTGAAAGGTTAAAAATTTTTTGGCGGGGACGGGGGCCAACCCTATTACCTAGCTCACAATGTTTTTTTTAATTTTTATTTTTAGATTTTTAAGGTTTTCTTGTTAAATGCATTTTACAATTAGTAGAAATCTACGGCTATTTGAAAGACATAAAAAGTTTTATTTTTATCGCTTTATTTCTGATGGATTCCGTCAACCTGATCTTTCTGGACTTGCTTATGTTTCCCCTGTAGAAAAAATAAGAAATATAGGTTAATTATTATTTTTATTATTTAATGTATATATTTATTTTTAGGTATTTCTGCACATATTGATTCTGGAAAAACAACAGTAACTGAAAGAATTCTTTATTATGCAGGGAAAATTGATGCAATGCACGAGGTTAAAGGAAAAGATAAAGTTGGTGCTACTATGGATTTTATGGAATTGGAACGTCAACGTGGAATAACAATACAATCAGCCGCCACATATGTTGATTGGCATGGAACTAATATAAATATTATTGATACACCAGGTTGGTTTATTTCCACAATTTAACATTTTTTTATCGTTAATCTTTGGTTTTGTTGGTCCCTAAGAATCAAATTGACTTTGATAAAGTGTTCAAAATTTTTTCCCTTCCTCTTCGTCTCCAATGTTGGCGATAGATGAGGTATTTGTGTGATTTAACCTAAATGTAAATACAAAAAATTCTGAACTATGGAGAAAAATCTTTTTAAAAATTATAGATGGATTATTTTATAATAAATCTGACATCATATCTAGATTGTTTATCTGAAGCCTATTATAGACTGAAAAGTTTTCACCCTTTAAATTTAAAATTCCTTAGGTCACGTTGATTTCACTGTGGAAGTTGAACGTGCTTTAAGAGTGCTTGATGGCGCCGTTCTTGTTCTTTGTGGTGTTGGAGGTGTTCAAAGTCAGACTTTTACTGTCAATCGGCAACTTCGGCGATATAATGTCCCTTTTATTTGTTTTATAAATAAATTGGATCGTGTCGGTGCGAGTCCTCAAAATGCTTTGTTGGGCCTTCGTTCAAAATTAAATCATAATGCTGCTTTTATTCAAATGCCTATTGGATTAGAATCACAATTTAAAGGAGTAATTGATTTAATTGAGGAACATGCTGTTTTTAATGCGAATGATGATGGTTCTGAACTTAGAGCCGAAGAAATTCCAAAAGAGCACAGAGCAGAAGCATCCGATTTACGTCAACAATTATTAGGTAGGTATTAATAATTTTGTATTATAGTTTATAGCGCAGAATGGGCAAAAATTTCGATCGGCCATAGCGGCGGCTACATTGAGACATACTAGATAGACCCCTGACATTTTGTATGTCAGGGGTCTATCTGATCTTAACTCATGACCCCCATCAAGTTTTATCTTTACATATACCCTAATTTGTTCAAAAATCCAAAGCTAGGTAATTAAACGAGCCATCAAGGTTTTTAACTTTTGATTTATTTTGTTAACAATAAAATTTTTATACATTTATAAAAATATTTTTCAGAGTCCCTTTCAAACTGTGATGATTTAATAGCTGATATTTATTTACAAGACAAAATTCCTTCCTCAGAAGAAATCAAGGCTGCAATTAGGCGTTCTACTATTAACAGAACTTTTGTTCCTGTTTTAATGGGGTCAGCCTTGAAGAACAAAGGAGTTCAACAAATGATTGGTCTTTAAATATATGTTAAAATTTTTAAGTAATTTTAGATTCTATTGTCCATTATCTTCCAAATCCTTCGGAAGTTAAGAATTTTGCTAATTTATACGAGTTTGTTTTTATCTATTTGTATATTTCAATTATTTTAGCTCCGAAGAAAACTTTGAAAAGATTTTTATGTGCCCAGACAGAATATCAGATCCAAAATTGCTGAAACCATTTATTGGATTGGCTTTTAAATTGGAGGTTCTTTAATTTTTTAAATTATAACAAGCTTTTTCGATTTTTAGGCAGGACGAACGTTCTTTCGAATTTATCAAGGTCGACTTTCTAAAGGCGATACAATTTATGCAACCAGAGATGGAAGGAAGGTTAATTATTTAAATAATCTATGTAGAAATAACTTTTTTAGGTAAAAATATCCAAATTGGTTAGAATGCATGCTAACAATATGATGGAAATTGATGTAGCTTATGCTGGTGATATATGTGCAGTTTTAGGATTGGAATGTGCTAGTGGAGAAACTTTTTGTTCTGATCCAAGTATGAATGTACATTGTGTAAGTTTATATTTATTATCTTTATATGATATATTATCTTTTTTCTTTAATTAAAATTTAAACTACTTGTCGAAAACCAAAAATGTGTTGTTTAGTTGAGGAATTAGATTCGTCCGGCGGTTGTTCGACCACTTGCAGATTCACCAGAAATTCTAAAAGTCCTAAGTAAAGAAAGAAATTTAGGCTAAACTGAAAATTATATTTTTAATATTTTTAGACTGGGCGTTACCAGTTTGAGTTAAAACAATTTAAATTAATAAAATAAATAAATTATTTATTAACAAAAAATGTTTAAGTGAAATTTTATTTTTTAAAGCAAAAAGGAATAATGAGTCATATTAATGTAGAAGAAATCCTTTTTATTATTCTTTTTTCCTTCCCTTTTTGTTAAAGAATAAAAACTTTTCCGAGCGGTGTAATAGCGGCTAAACGGAACCTATACCTCGAGCGGTTCTCTCCCCGATCGGAGAGTGCGTTCCTTTATCTTTATTACACCGCTTCTTTCTCACAACTTTTTACAAACAACAAAAAGGGGAAGGAGAAAAAGAACAAAGAATACGGATTTCAATTTACATTAATATTGATTAATGTAAACACTTAAAGCGAAAAATGCAAATAAAAATTAAAATAAATTATGGCCATTGGAATGTTGAGTATTTGAAATCTGGATTGTTGGTCGCTCGGGGCCGTGAACATATTGACCATGTTGAGATCCTACTAATAGAAAAGTTTAGAAATTAATTTTGAATTTATGTCGAGGCGAGCCTCGACAGACTCCCTGTCAAAAACTTTTTTGCTGCCTCACCTAACTCTTCTTCCAATTTTCCTTCACTTCTTTTGTTCAACCCCACGATCGAGGTGTTTCTTTGTTCCTTAAAATTTTAGAAATTAATTTTGAATTTATGTCGAGGCGAGCCTCGACAGAAATAAGGCTGTTGATCCATAAATATATATTAAGGATCCACTTAATAGCTATTCCTACTGTCACACTCTTTATAAACACTAACCACCAATCAAACCCTCCGATCAGGGTGCTAATCTGTGAGTCAGGGAGATTTATTTTGCTTCGCCACTCATGTCTCTCTGCTTGCGGTCTCGGATCATTCATTCGCGCGCTTTTAAACGCGTCCATTAATTCGATTAAATCTATGTGATTGTGTGTTAAATTGTTAATTGTGCTTTGTCTAAAGATTTGTAACGCGAATTCTGGCATTTGTCCTTCCCATGTCTCTAAGCTTAAGTCTTGTGTGGTTATTTCTGTTAATTCTTTTATTTTGCCTGTTAGTTGGTCTATTTGAATCAATTTTCCTTGGAATTCGGTTGATATGAAGCGGTGTTCGTTGCACGATCCGATCTCGGCAACTTCAGTGATTACATGCGTTTTTGGATCCAAGAATCCTGTAATCCATTCTTCTTCCTCTAGGTTTAAACTAATATTTACAGGAATTTTGGTAAAACATTTCCCGGTTGGTGCTTGTATTTTAGTTGCGTTGACTGCACTACAAGGCCAGTATTCTAGCGTGTTTTTATTAACCCAATGCGCTTTTACAAATTCTGTTTTTAATCTCTTTCTCATCAGCATGGTTGCGTCTTTTTCACTTGGTTCCGTGTTTTCTATTTTCTCTATATTCTGACAAAGCATGTTCGTCATTGCTCTGAACCCTTTCTTTAACTCGCGATTTTGAAATAACGCTTCTGCTTGTACGTGTGCAATTAGTTCTGATGTTGTTATCGTCCTTTCAATTTGCTGTCTTTTTCTGCGTCGTGATATCTGGTCTTTTTCCATTAATTTTTCATACTGCTTTTCTGGTATCGCGAATCCTGATAAGCTAATTTTTAATGCTCGACCGCATTCGCCTATACTTTTCGCGTCTTCTTCAAAAATTAATGACCTTTCTGCGTTATTATCGAGCCATATTCCACTAGAATACGTTCCTGGAAACCTTCCTATGTGTTTGTATTGACAGGTTGGGTTGTTATTTTCGCGCTTTGCTGTCCATATAATAACTGCTCCTGTTTCTAATCTGCAATTCTCTTGAAAGTACTTGCATTTTGTTACGTCATCTGTTGGGCTTTTTAATTCCTCTGTGCCTGGTTTTCCCACGAGCGGGATTTTACTCAAAAAACAGTTCCCTGCTTCTGCGAATTGCCATCCTAATTTGAACCAGCTAGGTTCAATAGCTAGAGGGTTGTTCGTGTGTGCTTGGCCATTTTCATCTTCGTTTATTCTACCAAATTCGCATTTTCTGTAACGGATCATGCTTAAGCAATCTTCAGTTGTTATTGGCAATATCGCTTGAGTGGGTGGGTTGTGCTGTTCGTATCCTAACCAGTCTGTTCGATATTTCTGCGATTGACTTAGTTTTGTGCACTTCCACGCTAGCGTTACGAATGGCTCTTCATCTGGTCTGTACAAATTAAGTGTTATATTCCGCAACGGGTTGTCTATCATTTTCCCTATATTCCCACAAATAGATCTTTTTGCTTCAAATCTGACTACTTGCGGAGGTCCTTTGTAATGACAAATCATGGGAGTTGCTATTCCGCTTGGCACGAGCGCCGCGAATGCAATTAAAAATGTTATTAGTCCTAGCATGGTTGATCTCACTATTGTTCTTATTCCCTTCCTTGGTCTTGGATTCTTAATTTTCCTATTTTCATTCTCTGGGTTACCTGACGACGACTGCTTCCAACTGTCCACTTCTATCAACTCTAGATCCTTCGTTAGATCTTCAATATTTTCTTCATTTACTGGCGCTTTTGGCTGTTTTCCGATTGTGCCTGGTTGCAGTTTGAGGCAATTTAAAAATTCTTGAGGCGTTGTTATGCCTTTTTTCAATAAGTTCCATGTCGTGTTGAATGCATTCTTTATTAAATTGGCGCCAGTGGTTGTAATTGAAATGGTGGCGTTCTTCTTTGAAAAGGGTTCTTCAATAAACATTGGTTTATCATCTTCTTTATTTATCAACTTAGCTTCTCTTATGCTCATCCCCCGATCGAGATGTTTTTCAGAGAATCGTTTGATGAACCCTACTATTGTTGTTGCGAGAGGTATATTTCTGATGATGTTGGTCTTCTCTTCAATCTTTCTCGCTATGTCTGTGAAGGATGAATCAAGGGCCTCCTTCTCAAACCCTTCAGGGTAGACCTTCAGAATGTTCTCAATTAAGTTCTCTTCTTGTAAATAGAAGATTAACAACAATAGCAGGTGATAAGACGATAACGTGCCTGAACTTGGTCTATCAATTTCACATCTTTGAGACCATAATTTCATCACTTGATAAACTTCTTTTATTTGAGGATATAAAGAAATCAATACAGCTATGAATTGGCTATTTTGTATCGGATGAAAGCTATCAAACTGTATTTGGATTTCCACAAATTTGTTGTTAATTTTTATTAGAGTGTCTAGTATCGGGACACGAGCATTTTTTCTGATAGCTGCATAGGAGGCGATGAAATGCTTCTTTAAACTTTTCCTAGTTATTTCTAATTTTCTGATTATCTCTTCTTTTTCGGTGTTTTGATCGTAGGTGATAATTACGATGTCTATATCTGAGGTTTTTCGGCTTAACCCTGTGTAGTTACTCCCAATTAAATACGCTTCCCCATTCAATTCTTCTCGTATAAACTCTTGTAATTCGTAAAATTCCGGTGGCACTTCTTCTACTGGTTCATCTTTTTTAATTAATTCTACCAATTTTTCCCTAATCAGTTCTTGCGCGCATTTTATTATCTCCCCTTCCTCACTTCTCTCACCCCGATCGGCGAGTTTTTCCTCTTCCCATCCGATGGCCTTTATCTCTTCCTTACCCTGCTCTCTTCCTCTCTCACCACGATCGGCGAGTCTTTCTTCTTCTCGAATTACCCATCGCAAGTCCATCAACAATCGTCCAAGTAAGTTTTCTCCAGTCATGTTGTCGTTGCGGATACAATTCTCAAGTCTTCTTTCATCCCTAATGTCTACCCCTATCCCCCATGTTCTGTTGACTGAACATTCGAGGATTGGCATTTCGCCCGTCTCCAGCAAAGCTCTTCTTGCGTTGTTATCTTGATGGTATTTTGCTTCCAACGCTGCAATCATAACCTGTTCTCTTCTTCTATTCCACTCAGCCTGATTGAAATATTGAGAGTCTTCGGCGGCACGCTTCATCGCGGCAGGTGTTAATTGTCCGCTCTTGATTTCATCAGCCAGTCTTTGATCTCCACAGGACAACGCTTTATGATAGCAGTAGTACTGTTCTGTGCTGGTCCATTGATGTTCTTCCAATTCAAATCGTGTTGCGTGAAAATTGGATAAATAATAGTCCCTTCCAAAAAAGCATGCTGCTCCAGCGATGATTGAACAGTAAGGTGGAGTAGGCAAGTCCGGATGTTGTTCTTCTCTTCTTTCCCTTTCTTCTTTTCTTCTTTTCTCCCCCCGATCGGGGAGGTCATGACTACTTCCTTCTTCTCCCCTCTCACCACGAGCGGTGAGGATTGGGGTTTCTTCTCTTTGCCTCTTTGCCGGTGGGTCCGGTTGCCTTGCTTCCCTTGGCCTTTCTTCTGCCCTCCTTCCTCTTCGTTCTCTTCCGCGCCGCCACTCTTCCAACCTAGCTTGCTCTCTTCCCCATTTATTTCCAGATCCAGCATTATATTGACGTTGTTCGATAGGGATATTCCAACTTGCTAATTGTAATAAGAGGCTGTGGTAGTGAGGCGTTTCATCATAAAAATATATTTCTGGCAAGTCTGTTGGTCTGCTCATACCGTGGCGGATAACCCACATACAAAGTTTGTTGTTTGAATATCTTCTTTGTAATTCCCGTAAACTTTCCATTAAATCCGTTGTTTGGACTTCCTTCCACACTATGATCGCACGAACGCGATTAGTTACTTCTAACTCGTCCCACAAGCGGGATCCCCACTGATCTGTAGTATACACCATGGCTTTTAAACCCTCTTCTTTCAAGTAAAGTCGAAAATCTGCCACAATGTTGTCGCCAACAATTAGAAGAGGAGAACGCACTTGAGTCACTGCCATTACTGAAACTAAAGAAAAATTAGTGATTATTTGATTAATGTTTTTATTTTTATTTAATTTATTTAATTTTTTCGTTCGTGCTGATTGGACTTCAGGTATTTCTTCTTCACTCTCTATTTCCAGGGGGTATAGGACTGAGGTGGCTCTTTCAAAAATCTTTCCACCAGTTTTTACCTTTACCGTTCTACCTGATAGTATTTCTTCTATTTTGGCCATCTTCCACAACGATCGTGGGCATTTTTCGTGGCCTTCATTCATTAGGACTACCTGATTTAATTTGGGGAAGGTAGGGTCTTTATTTTTGGAACGCCATTTTTCCCTTAAACTCAAAAGATATTCGGATTTCCAGGTTTCCCAAAACTTATGACTCTTTTGCAACGCTTTCTTGTGGGCCTCCAACAATGCACTTCGGGTTGACGGTTGTTCTTCATAGTCGTCCCAGTCCGGTTCCGGACTTAAGTGTATGTCGAAGGGATTGCCTGCTGAGCAATCTAAAATGTCAATGGGTCTTAAAGGGTATGCTACTTCTTCTGAAGTATAATAGGTTAGGGGTCTTTCATTCACAATTCTCTCAACTTCGATCAGGAGAGTTTCTAATTCCTCGTGAGTTAATTTTCTTTTTCCTATGGTTCGATACAAGTGTCGTTTAATGGTTCCGATCAACCGTTCATAGAAGCCTCCTCTCCAAGGGGCAGCGGGAGTGTTGAACTTCCATTGTATCTTATTCAATAGAAGAAAGTCTTGTATTCGAGTACTTGCTATTAATTTTAGCCATTCCTTCTTTTGATTAATTTCTTCTTGGTTCAGGTCTTGAATCACTTTGCTAGCCAACACGAACGTTGGAGCATTATCGGAAATTATTACCTTCGGAGGCCTTCTTCTTCGAATGAATCGAGTTAGGGCCAGAAGGAATTTTTCACTGGTGCAGTCCGTTACGACTTCTAGGTGTACCGCTCTAGTTAGCGCACACGTAAATATCGCTCCCCAGCATTTTATTTCTTCTTCACCTTGTAAGACTCGAAAGGGTCCGAAATAGTCAAGCCCTACGGCTTGGAATGCGGCCCTTCCTGCTGTCCGACTTGTAGGCAAATCGGGTGCTTTTGGGAGTGTAAACGGTTTGGCTTGCCAACGAGCGCAAGCTCCACACCTCATAGCTCCTTTTGCTCTCAGCCAATTATTAATTGTTCGTCGGCTTCTCGTGATCCAATATTCTTGCCGTAGGTAAGTGTTCATTAATTCTAAACCTCCATGTTTGGTGTTCAAATGGGCTCTTCTTAAAAGAAGTCGAACTATTGGTGCTCGATGATTGATATAGATCGGGTTATTGGCCTGGAACTTGAGTCCGCTGTTCGCTAATCTACCTTTCGCTCTAAGTAATTGATCTTCGTCTTGAATGATGTTCAGGTTCCTAGTTTCTTCTTCAGTCGGTGGGTAATGCTCTTGTATCAAACTTAGAATAAATTTTTCCGCTTCCGAAACTTCAGGAACAGTTAGGGATTCGATCTCCTTGTTTCCTTTTCTCCGCACGAGCGCGGAGGCGGCTTTGCGTCTTTTTTCCTTGAAGGCTTCTTTTGCTCGTAGAACGTAAGCCATACAATTGACCAGCCGATTCCAATTTGAGAACCGCGTAAAATCCATTATGAATGGTTCTTGCGTCGCAGACGGCGATTTTTGCGTAGCTGCGAGGCTCATCTCGAATAAAGGGTTTTCTTCTTTCTGTTCCCTTTTTGCGAGCGGGTCGTAAATTCGCTTTGATTCGGGCCATTTTGCTTCCATTTGTCGTAAGAAGGTTGGGCCTTTCCACCATAGATTATGTGACGCAAGTTCTTCTGGCGTAGCTCCTCGCGAGGCGATGTCAGCCGGATTATTTTCTCCGTCAACATGCCTTAATTCGTAATCTCGAATTTTGTTTACCCTATTTTTAATAAATCTATCTTGCTTCTTTTCGCTGAGGGCGTAGTCGATAACGTCGATTGCGTCTGTCCATAAGATAATTCTTTCAATGGGATATTCCTTTTCCAACTGTTCACGAACGAACTTGGCGTATTTTGTTCCTAACATCGCTGCATGCAACTCCAGACAAGGTATGGTTCTTCTTGTCGAGGGCAGGGAGGTAGGTACTACTAGGCTTTTCCCAAAGATTAAATTGCAGTCGAAAGGATCGTCTTCGACTCTCAGATAAATTGCTGCGCCAAATGCGGAACTTGAGGCATCCGTGAAGACGTGTAGTTCTGCTTTTAACTTTTTGACCTTCGAGCAGGCCATTCGCGGAACTGTTAAGTGCGCGCCTTCCCAATGCTTCATAAGCTCCTTCCATTTTTCAGTCATTGCAGGTGATAGGTCTTTGTCCCAACTTAATTTTCCTTCTCGTTCAATCTCTTGTCGGAGTAATTTCGCTGGCAGAATAGCTGGCGCTCCGAATCCGAGAGGGTCAAACGGTCTTGCAATTTGCGCTAAAACTTTTCTTCTTGTTACTTTTTCTTCTTTATAAGTCGGGAATTTAATTTGGAATTCGTCTTTGCTTATATTCCATCCTAATCCAAGGAGTTTACCGTCTTCTTTATCAATTATGTCTTCTTTTGGGAGCTTCTTTATCTCTTCTGGAGCGTTGGCGATGAATTCACGGACATTCATCCCTCCCTTTTCAAAAAGTTTTTTGATTTCGGAATAGGTGTTGTGTATTTCGTTTTTGTTATTTAGTCCAACCACTAAGTTGTCCACATATGCGTTGGTTGCAATGCTTCTACTTAATGGGCTGTCGTATTTTTTCAGGTGGATGTCAATTGTTAATGCAAGATGTGCTGGCGAACAAATGACTCCAAATGTTACTCTTGTAAATCGGTACTCCACGATCGGAGTATTCGGATTTTTTGGGTCTTGAGCCCACAAAAATCTTACAGCATTTCTGTCTTGTGGTGCCAATTCAATCATGTGAAATGCTTTTGCTATATCACAGGTGATTAAAATTGTTTTAAGTCTGGCTCTGAGAAGGATCCCTGCCAAATCGTTATACAATTTTGGTCCTTTCTCGAGACATTGATTCAGTGATGGAGCATTTCCTCTTTTTGCTGCTGCGTTGTAGACGATTCGAACCTTCGTATGTTCTTTGTCATGTCTGAATACCGGGTGGTGTGGAAGATAGTGAATTTTTCTTCCTACTGTGTACTTGTCTTCTATTGGGTCCGCTAATTCAATTAGCCCCTTTTCTAATTGTTCACTAATTATTTGATGGTACATTTCTAATAATTCAGGTGTTTTTCGTAGTCGAGTGAGATTAGACAATAGTTGACTATAAGCCATGTCATAATTTGTTGGGAGTTTCCTTGCTGTTTCTTCATTCCATAATAGTTCTGTCTGATACCTACTTCCATTGAATTTTATTTTTTCTTTCATTCTCTCAAAATCACTTTCAGTGTTACTATCTTCAAGCCCGATCGCTTGTATTCCGTCATGCTTCTTTAATAATGTTAATAATTCTTCATCGGTTGGTGCGGCTTCCATTGTCATTACTTCGTTCAGGGTTGCTTGTGAATAATATTCCTCGCTCATATTTGTTGAGGGCTTTATTTTTATTTTGCCTTCACCATTTATTATTTGACCTAATTTTGTTTTACTTATCCATAGACCAGATGGTAGTTGTTCCTTAGGTTTGACTTCTAATCTATTATAATAATCATTCCCAATTAATATTTGTGGTTTGCCTATTTTTTCATTGATTTCAAGTTTCGTCTTTCGTAACGCTTCTTCATTTACATCCTTCGTTAAAAATATTCTGGTTCGACCTAGAATGCTTGGAAGGGTGCTTCCTTTTAGAAGAATGTCAAATTTTCCAGCTCGAACGCCGAATTCAACAATCGGTTTTACAAATTGTCCTAAGGGTGTTTGGTTTAGGCCTGTGACTTTTATTTCCTTTTCTTCAATTGTTTCAAGTTCTAATTGTTGCGATAATTCTTCATCAATGTATGTCTTTTGACTTCCATCGTCCAAGAATATTAATGCTTCTTGTTCAAGCTTTGGTACTGTTGGATTATATACCTTCGCTTCGACCATTTTTAATACAGAGAATTTAGAATTCTTGTCGGTTAGACAGCTTGGTTTTGGTTCTACAGTACAGCTTACTTGAAGGCTAGAAGAATTAATTGTTTCCTCTTCTTCTGTTGTGAATGTTTTTTGTTCCTGCCTTATAGGGCTTTTCGAATAAAATCTTTTTTGGTGTCGGCATAGTGCTTGGTTGTGGTTGCTTCTATTGCAAATAGGACATAATACTTTTGGCTTCATACATTTATTAGCATAGTGTCCTCTTTTTAAACATCTAAAGCATAATTCTTTTTTCATCGCTCGATCGCGACGTTCATTCGCTGTTCTGTATTTTGTACAGTGTATTGGGGGGTGTAGTTGTTCACATAATTCACATGGATACCTAATTGGACTCTTTGAACTGTGCTCTGAAGAGCTGCTGTTAGAGCGTGCCTTATATGGTGATCCGTTTCTAAATTTACTTCGTTCTTGTTTTGGACTTTGACTTTGGTCTTCATTTCTTCTTAGTCCTTGGAATGGTCGGTTTTCTGTCCGGATGGTGTTTTGTCTTTGATTCCACCTTCGATCAGGTGACCTATAGTTTGGACTTGTGTTTACCCTTCCTAAAAAATTCATTGTCGGTTCTTGTGTACGGGTATTGGGTTTTGACCTTCTTGCTATATTTCGTGCTTCGTGTCTTCCTTTTATTTGATTAATCGCTCTTCCAAAAGCTTTTCGAAATTTATCTGTGTTCCAATTATTATCGTCTTCAGCATCCTTTATTGTAAAATATTTATCGAGTACCTCTGCAGATAATTTGCCTTCTATCATCATATAATAAGGTGCTTGACCTATATTCTGATTTAGGGCTGTTAACTGTCTGCAAATTTTTTCGATTCTTAAATACAATTTTTCATCGTCTTCATAATCATTACTATTTGGAAGGTTCATTAATTCTTTATTTAAATCTCTAATTTGCTTTTGATCATCTCCATAATTTTTTATTAACAGCTCGATCGCCGTTTCGTAACCCGTTTCGTCCATTTTTAGTCCTTCAATTAATGTTTTTGCATCACCTTCTAATACTGATTCAAGTGCGTTGAATTTTTCAACAAAAGGCATAGATGGATCTTCATGAATTAACGTTCTGAATGTTTCCCAGAAATTAAACCACGATTCAATGTCTCCGTTAAATTTTCGGAGTTGAATCTGGGTTCTGAAACTTCTTAGGGGTTGCTCAGAATTATTAGTCGTTGATAGTGTAGCATCAGGATCTTCTAATTTTAGTCTTTGATTTATACCTTCTATATGATCATCCCATTCTTTGATTCTAGCAGAAGCTGCGTTCATTATACGTCTGAAGTCTGCTGCGTGTTTGTTGAATGCTGCTGAACGGGTTTCATGAACGTTTCCCGTTGATTGGGCAATTTGCTGAGACGCATTAAACATCTGATTTCTCATATTTTCATTTTCATCTACCAATTTCTCTTTTTTCTTTTTGGCCCAGTATAACTCTCGCCTCAGATCGGTAGGAGTGGCATTTGGGCCTAATGGAGGGGGGATTGGCGTCTCTATGTGGATCATTAATAAATCCACCGAGATATGGATCATTGTTATGGTGCAGTCCATCTTTTTCTGTTGAGGGTTTTGCCTGTATAATCAATCAGCACGAACGCCGAGAATTTAATTTAATTTTTTCAAAAAAAATTTTCAAAAAACTTTTCAATTTAAATTAATTTAGAATTAAAATTTAAAGAAATTTTCAAAAATTTTTCCCAAAAATTTATTTAGGTTTTTCAAAAAAACTTTTAAATTTTATTTATATTAACTTTTTTCTTTAATTATTTTTTAATACCTTTACCACCAAAGCAATTTCAGAATTTCCAAAAATTTTCCAACAAATTCTTTCCAACAAAAATCTTCAACAAAAATTTTTTGACCAACTTCCAACAAGAGTTTTGGTTGAAAATCTCTGAAATATCAGAAATTTTATTTTTTGTATAAAAAAAATTTTTTAATAAATTTTTGATTGTACCAAGTTGTTTTTGTTGTCTTCTTTTACTTCTTCAATTTTCAAACAGCACGATCGCTGTAGTATTCCTGATTTGATAAAAAAAATTTTTTAACCTTTTTCTTAAATTTAATTTTATTTAGAATTTTTTCGAAAAATTTTATTTAATTTTAGAAAATCTTTAAAATTTTTATTTTATTAAGAAATTTCAAATTTCACCAAATTTTTCTTCACTGACTTACAAATTTCTGGCTCCTGGGTCGCCACTTGTCGAAAACCAAAAATGTGTTGTTTAGTTGAGGAATTAGATTCGTCCGGCGGTTGTTCGACCACTTGCAGATTCACCAGAAATTCTAAAAGTCCTAAGTAAAGAAAGAAATTTAGGCTAAACTGAAAATTATATTTTTAATATTTTTAGACTGGGCGTTACCAGTTTGAGTTAAAACAATTTAAATTAATAAAATAAATAAATTATTTATTAACAAAAAATGTTTAAGTGAAATTTTATTTTTTAAAGCAAAAAGGAATAATGAGTCATATTAATGTAGAAGAAATCCTTTTTATTATTCTTTTTTCCTTCCCTTTTTGTTAAAGAATAAAAACTTTTCCGAGCGGTGTAATAGCGGCTAAACGGAACCTATACCTCGAGCGGTTCTCTCCCCGATCGGAGAGTGCGTTCCTTTATCTTTATTACACCGCTTCTTTCTCACAACTTTTTACAAACAACAAAAAGGGGAAGGAGAAAAAGAACAAAGAATACGGATTTCAATTTACATTAATATTGATTAATGTAAACACTTAAAGCGAAAAATGCAAATAAAAATTAAAATAAATTATGGCCATTGGAATGTTGAGTATTTGAAATCTGGATTGTTGGTCGCTCGGGGCCGTGAACATATTGACCATGTTGAGATCCTACTAATAGAAAAGTTTAGAAATTAATTTTGAATTTATGTCGAGGCGAGCCTCGACACTACTAACAATAATTACTACATAATTTTAGATAAATTTTTTTTCTCGAATTTTTAGGAGTCAATGTTTATCCCTGACCCAGTTATTTCAATGTCAATCAAGCCTACATCTAAAGTTATCTCTGATACGTTTTTGTCGGCTTTGAAACGTTTTTCCAATGAGGATCCAACATTTCATATGGAATATCGGAAAGATCATCGCGAAACAATTATTAGTGGAATGGGTGAATTACATTTGGTAATTTTATAAATTAGCCTTTTAGGGATTTAAGGCTTTTTGTGTTTCTTTATGGGTTTTCTTTCTTATTTATACTATTTACTATAATTATTTTTTGTCCCGATAAATTTTCCATAATTATTTTTAAATATTTTTAAGGAAATTTACGCTCAAAGAATGAAAAATGAATTTGATTGCCCTGTGGAATTGGGACAACCAGCCGTTTCTTACAAGGAAACATTAAAGACTCCTTACAGGTTAGTGGGTGATGTAAAAAATTTCAAAAAAAAAATTTTTTATTCAGGTTTAATTTTCGTCATAAAAAACAAACGGGCGGACATGGTCAATTTGGAGAAATTGAAGGTGTAATTAATCCGCAACCTCCGGAAAGAAATACAATTGTTGAATTTACTGATAATTCTGTGGGTGAAGGAGTTCCAAAAAAATTTATGTCTTCACTTCGAAAGGTTTTAGCTATTTTTAAATTATGCCTATTTTAATTCTTTTAAATATTTAATTTTTAGGGTCTAGAAGCGATTACTAAGGAAGGTCCTTTAATTAAGGCTCCAGTAACTGGGATTGAAGTTATACTTCAAGGTATTTTAATTTAATATTTTTGAGTTTAAGAATATTTTAGATGGAAAAACACACATTGTGGATACTACTGATATTGCAATGATTGCTACAATGGTGAGTGATTTATTATTTTTTTTGTTCCTTTTATTATCTTGATTTGAGGTAATAACGCCTCTAAAATTTCAGCTTTTTTACATTTTACATAATTTACCTAGAATTAATTTTTATCTTAACTAGATGAATATGATGAGAGAAGCATATGAGCGTGCTAATTGGATGTTATTAGAACCTGTAGTTAAAGTTGAGTGTGTAGTTCCAATGGAATTTGAGGTTTGTAAAATTATTTAAAAATTAAAAAACAATTCTAAGAGTCAAGTAGTCAAAACATTAATTGAAAGAAAAGGGATTGTTACTGCTACAGCTACTGGTGCTGAATATTCTACACTTGAATGCGAAGTTTGTTTGAACATTTTTTGATAAAAATTTTGTTTTTAGGCACCTCTCCGTGAAATGTTTGGTTATAGTACAATATTAAGGACACAAACTCAAGGAAAAGGTTTTAAAAAATTATTTTATTTACGATTTAATTTTTTAAACAATCTGGGGAATCCTTTTCATTGTCAGCTTAATTTTTTAAGAAAAGCCCATTCTGGTCTGACCAAATTTTTGTGAACTGAAATTTAAATTCAGTATTATTTTTCAGCTTTGTAAATTTCTAGGTGAATTCACAATGGAATTTAAAAGATATACACCTGTAGAGCCTTATATTCAAGATGAAGTTGTTTATGACTGGAAGGTTGCAAATGGTATAATTAGTCCTGAAAAGGAAAAGAAGAAGCAAAGGAGATGAAAATTAATTTTTGTTTTTGTTATTTTTAGATTTTTTTTTGTTTTTTTTGAATAGTTTTTAAAATTAAAAATTTGTTTTGTTGTTTATTTGTTTTTATCAAAATATTTTTATATATTTTTTCTTTTGTTTTTCTCGCCCTTTGTGTATTCAGAAGCCTCTCCCTGAACTATTCTCTGATAATTTTAAGAATTAGACCTTTAAACAAATATGGATCAACCAACAACTTCAAATGTTTCTACAATAACTCCAACAATAACAACTAATATTAATTCAACACAATCTTCTTCTACTACAACTAGTATCAATACAAATCCTACAAATATTTCAATTTTAAATAATTTACAAAATATTATAACAACTCCCTCTTCAACACAACAACAGCAGACAAATACAACAAATAATTTAATACAAAATACACCTACAACAGCATTAGTTCAACCAATGATTTTTAATAACCAAACAACATTAAAATCTTCAACAACAAATATTTGTCAACAAAAAATGAGAAAAGAAATTTATAGATATACTTGTGAGGATATGTTATTTGCTGCTGCTTGGTCAAATAAAATATATGAAGATAGAAGATTTAGACTTGTAGTTGGGACTTTGTTAGACGAAGAAAAAATTATGAATAATAAGGTTAAATAAATTTTAGTTTTATTACGTACTCCTCAAATAGAATAATTGCAGATTGGGAAGTTGGGTGGTTCTACTTGACTTTATGAGTCCAATCGAAGTTAATGAGTCCAATCGAACTTATGAGTCCAAATAAAACTATGAGTCCAATCAAGATTTATGAGTCCAAACAAAACTTTATGAGTCCAAACAAATTTTATAAATCCGACATGACTTATTATTCTAAGTAAAAATCGTGGCTCTACTACAGTTTATGATTCCAATCACAGTGTATGAGTGCAATCAGATTTTTGTGAGCTACGAAGGTAGGTCGTCAGATCAAGGCTGGTGACGAAAAAAGGGATAGGTTTATGTTGCCAACCCAGAACCCAGCGACCGTTGACTCCCGCGAGGCGCGTGCCGCAAAACCCCGCGCGAAGCGCGGGGTTTTGCACAAGCGCCTCGTTTATGCTCCATAGGTCTAACAACATAATGCTATTCATTTTTAATGTATTATTTAATAAATGTATTATTTAATAAAATCTAATAAAATGTGATTGGACTCATAAAATTCCTATGGACTCATAAAGTTTTGTTTGGACTCATAAACTTTGATTGGACTCATAAAGTTTTATTTGGACTCATAAATTTTTATTGGACTCATAAAGTTCGATTGGATTCATAAACATCGATTGGACTCATAAAGTTCGATTGGACTCATAAAGTCAAGTAGAACCAGTTGGGTTAGGTAAAAGATTTTCTTTATTAGTGTTGAAGCAAGAGTATATTCTGATGATTTATTTTATGCTACTAATTTCCTACTAGTAATTAACTTCAACGAGTATTATCGTCAAATAAGCAGCAATCAGGAGAAATCTACCCATAAAATAAGAATTAAAATATTCATAAAATAATTTTAAAATTTAACTTTTTTTTAATTTAAAAGGTATTTATTATCGAATTAGATGAAAATATTGGAGAATTGGTTAGAAGAGCTACATTCCCTCATGGATATCCAATATCTTCAACGAAATTTATTCCAAATCAGGCAATTTTTATTTTTGTTAATAAACTCTAAAATTATTGTTTTAGGACCCATCACAGCCAGAATTATTTGCTACTACCTCAAATTATTTACGTATTTTTAGATATCATCCAAATAGAGATTTTAATCAAATTCCAATTACATTAGAGTGTGAATTATATTCTGTAAGTTTTTAAATGAAAATAAATAGGCATAGCATATTTAGGGAATTCTTTTTTTATTAAGAACCTTTCGAATAATTTAATATCAATTGAATTCTATTCAAAACTTCCCGCAGACTATAAAACCTTAATTTTGTTTAAAATTCTAAAAAAATTCTAGACTAATAAATCAAACATTTATTCTGCACCGTTGACGGGACTTGACTGGAATGAAGTAGATTCTACATTGCTAGCTACATGTAGTATTGATACAACATGTACTGTTTGGAATGTTGAGGTTTTGTTTAGTTTTAAAATATTTTAAGTAATTATTTAATAGACTGTTCAACAAATTGGGCAAATCAAGGCAATTGAAGGTTCACAAAAAACCCAATTGATAGCTCATGAAAAGCCTGTGCATGATATTGCTTTTGCAAAACTGGATAGTGGGGGAAGAGATCAATTTGCTACTGCAGGTTTGTCGTAAACTTTAGCAATTGGTAAAAAAAGCGAATTTTGATTTCATAAATTATTTTCTGTGTTAGTTGAACGGATACCCTATACTGGGACCACTGACCAGTGCTAGAGGTTTTTTGATTCCGACTCCTACCTTTCTCTAATATTTTTTAAATATACTATAAAAATTAATTTTCAGGTGCAGATGGCAGTGTTAGGCTCTTTGACCTTCGTTCACTTCAACATTCTACGATTTTATATGAAGATCCAGAAAAACGAATGTTAAATCATGTAGCTTGGAATAAACGTGAACATACAAAATTGGCAACAGTTGCACACGAATCTTTTGAGGTAAAAATTTTTTAACGGTATTTGGATTGGCATTGGAAATATTTTATATTTTCTTGTTTTTCAATTTTTCGTTGCCTATAACTCATTCCAGAATCATTTAGAGTAGTGTTTTTCTTGTTTATTTTTGCGGCTTCTATTTAAAAATAAAAGATTATTTTTAGGTTGTAATTTTGGATATTCGAGTTCCTTGCAGACCTTTAGCTCGTTTTGGAAATCATAGAGGATTCATAAATGGAATAGCTTGGGCACCTCATTCAACAGTACATATTTGTACAGCTGGTAGTGATCGACAAGCATTAATTTGGCAAATGAATCATTTTAATAGAGATGAACCGATACTTGCATATACGGCTGAAGGAGAAGTAAAATAAGAATTTAAACTTTTTTTTTTAAATTTGATTTTAGATTAATCAAATTCACTGGTCTAATAATTTTCATCAATGGATTAGTATATGTTTTAATAAGAATATGGAAATTTTAAGAGTTTAAAATTATTTTTGATTTTTTAAATGTACATATATTTTTAATAAAAATAGTTCTGAATTTTGGAAGCTTACAAGATAAAAATGTTTATTGCAATCATTAAAGGATTACATAAAAATTTTCAATATTAGAAAGAGAAAAGAGCTCTGGACATTTGTCTGCGTTGGTTCGAAAGACATGTTTTGACTGGGGTAGCACCCCGAAACCCGACGAATTTTTAGGTAAAAACCCCGACCCGAAGGCTCAACCCCGGCAAACTATTTTTACTTGCAATTTTACTCGTCTTTAAAATTTTTCCCCCTAAGAATTTTTAAATTCTATTTTACTCAATAATTGTTTAAAATTTATGGTCACAAAAGTACAGAAAATAAATGGTGAATTAAAATCAAATAGTCAAAAATAAACAAAAATAAATCATGAGGAGAGTGTTAAATGGTTTTTGAGATCGGTTCAATTCTTCATCATTTATTTGTTAAGTGGTTTTTTCTTCTTATTGGTAATAACAAAATCATCATCATCGTCGTCATCCTCTATTATCTGGCGCCGTTTTTCTTTCTTCTTAACAACTACATCAGGATCAGGTTCATCGTCGTCGTCGACTATTTGTCGACGTTTTTCTTTCTTCTTGACAATAAAATCAGAATCCGAATCACTATCATCTTTTACTTGTCGCTTCTTTGCTTTTTCTACCTTCATTTTTGGTTTGATTTTCCCTGCATTTGCTTCTTTAGTTTCCTTCTCTTCCTAAAATTATAATTTTAGAAAAATATTTTGTTAAATACCCAACCTGTGCATCCAAAGCATCCAAAAATGTTTTCAAGTCTTCCTCGTATAAATCAAACCATTCCTTTCCTTTCAAAATATTCAATTCCTTCTTTTTTGCTTCACTTTCAGCAAGCAATTTATCTTTGTCTTCCATAGATAATTTCCAAATAGCCATTCCAACTAAATAATCATAGTCAGAAACCTTCTTTTCAAGTTCGACGTTGACAGCTTCATTTTCTTCAGCCTCGTCCTGAAAGTAAAAAAATATTTTTAAGATTTAGTGAGGATGAAGTTATGATCGATCAAAATTGTCCCAATGAATTCGAACCAAATGACCTTTAGTCATGGTTGAATCCAAAAATCTAATAACATACGAGCTATACGCAGGCTATGTTTTGTTATTTTGCACAAATTAATCCCCGCATTAATTTATAATTACTATCAAACATTCCCCCAAGTAATTAAAAATATTAATAAAAATATATATTACTCACCTCTTCCTCATCTTCGGTAAGATTCGCTTCCCCACACATTTCCAATTCCTTACGTTTTTGTTCATCTTTCCACTGCTTTACAGGATCTGGTTTAAATTTATTCTTTTGCAATTGTTCAATAATTGCAGACTTCCTTTTGTTCTCAATTGGATTTCTCCATTAATTTTCATCATAATAAAGCGAGCCTTTTCACTTAATTGATTACTTTGTGCTTGCAACATTCCTTCAAGATATGCCTTCCTCTTCTTATACAATTCCTTTCTGCAGTCAAAGAATTCTTTGCATATTTGTTCAGGCGTTTCAAATTTACGCAGACAACCTGCTGCATCAAACAAAACCTTCAAAAATTTTTAAATTAAAAAAAAATAACTAAAAATAAATAACCATGTTCGAAGTATTAATACTTGATTTAAGCGAGAACACATCGTACAATCCCTTTTGTTCTGCTTTTGCCATGTCATCTGGTTTTAATCTACAAATAAAGTGCACAGTAGTGTCTGTATGATATTCTTTGTAGTCTTGAAGTAGTTGCGGTTTATTCTTCTCTGAGCCATCAAACATTGGTTCAATAATTTTCTCCTTGTAAGTTTGTGTCCAGGTTTTGACGGGAAGTTCGGTAATTTCAACTGTGCCATTCTCAATAACATTAATAATGCCACGAGATTCAAATTTGCCATTATTGTTGCTACCAACTATTTCACCAGTAAAACCTTTATACCATGGAATCTGAAAAGAAATAAAATTAAAGTTAAACAAACATCTCTGAAATTACAAGATAGTTAGTTAAATTGGGAAAACAAAAATATCCCGGACATTCAAGGATCCAGAGATGACAATTATACATTCAAAAACAAAAATTATTAACCATAGGCTGAAGAGGCTCTCCTTTGATTAAACGACGCATTTGGTCGACCAATTCACGAGGATTATAATTTGGAACTACTGTAGACCATCCAGTCCCAATACCTTCAGCTCCATTTGCAAGAACAGTTGGAATAACAGGACAATACCATTCAGGCTCAATTCGTTGATTTTCTTCATAAAGGAAACGAAGAACATTTTCATCAGATGGAGGGAAAAGAGTTTTAGTTACAGGACTAAATAATAAATAAGTAATTTTAAAAACATTCAAACACAAACTTAAGTTGAGTGAAAATATAACGAGGTGAAGCATTATCTTTTCCTCCTTGTAATCGAGTACCAAATTGACCAATTGGCATTAACAGATTGATGTTATTAGAGCCAACATAATTTTGAGCCAAATTCACAATTGTTGACATTAATGATTGTTCTCCATGATGATATGCTGACATTTCACCAACAGCACCAGCCAATTGAGCAACTTTGACTTCTTTTTTATCGGCGCGTTTGAAACATGTGAAGAGAACCTAAGAAATATAAGAATATAAAATAAGAAATATAAAAGAAAAACAAAAGATAACCTTCCTCTGTCCAGGCTTCAATCCATCTACCAAACTAGGAATGGAGCGTTCATTGTCTGTATTCGAAAAAAGCACCAATTCTTTATTAATAAATTCCGAAAAGGTAACACTCCGAGTATCTTTATCATAAAGATAGATATCCATATCTCCACGTTCACGGCGCCGTTTTCTGTCCTAAAAATAAAAAAATTAAATTTTCCATGAATTAAAATTCACCTCCATCCATTTTGTTAACCAATCCTTTCGATCTTCAATTTTCTTTTTGGAAAAGGCTAATTCAATTGCACTGTCATCATCTTCATCTCTATATTTGAAAGGAATGCGATGGCGAAGCATATTTGAGAAATATTCTTTTGCTTCAATGGATGTTGAAGTACCCAATCCTTAAACAAAAAATTACTTAATAAAAAGAAATTCCAATAATTACCCTTATAATATTTTATTTTCCAGGATTTCCAATTATCAGTTGATTTTCTCCATTCAACATATTCAGGGATTGAAAAGAAACTGCGAGATTCTTTTCCTTTAGATGCCTTGACAATTGGAGTAATAAATTCTTCAACAAAATTACGCCGAATTAAGGAAGGCCAATTTGAATGAATGAAGTTGATGACCAATCCTTTGATGTGAGAACCATCTTGATCCTATAATAAGAAAAAAATTAATCCTTATCCTTCATAAATATTGGTGTCTGTAAGTACATCACAAATTACAAAACAAAATACAATCAAGTTCCCCGATAATAAACTTATTTAGAGAGAATTCACAAAAATAACAGTATTTAAAATTACCTGATCAGCCATTATCATAATCTTTCCATAACGAAGAGAATCCAAATCGGCGTCAACATCATACTTCTTTTTATATTGAAGACCAATAATTTTAATCATATTATTAATTTCAGCATTGTCAGTTATCTAGAAAAAACAATTCCTAAAAATTAGGCAAAAAACACAACCTGTTTATGATTTGCATCTCTAACATTTAAAAGCTTTCCACGAAGAGGGAAAACACCATAAAAATCTCGACCGATAACTCCCAAACCAGCAACAGCCAAAGTTTTGGCTGAATCTCCTTCAGTTAGAATAAGCGTACATTTACGAGAATTACGAGTTCCAGCTTCGTTCGCATCTTCCAATTTGGCAACACCCTTAAAATAAAAATTAAACTAACAAAGATTCAAGAAGAAACCTTAAGCTTCGCAGTCTTTTTCCCTCCAATTTTATCTTTTTGCTGATTCTGTTTAAATTGAACCCAGTTCAAAACAAGATCGACAATTCCACATTTTTGTGCTTCTTTCAAAAACTTTTCACTCAATTCACACTTTGAACCAAAGCTTTTTGCAGGTAAAGTAAGCGTCTCCTTTGTTTGTGAGTCGAATGCAGGATTCTCAATTAAGGAATTGACAAAAACCCACATATGATTCTTTATTTGTGCTGGTTTAACCGCCATATTATTCTTTCCAACTTTCTTCTTTACAATTTCAACAAGACTGCCAGCAATTTGATTAGCAACTAAATCAACATGAGTTCCACCCTAAAATATAAATTTAAAACTTAAGCTTTCTTTTCCAAAAAAACCTTTGGTGTAGAAATGCTGTTAACAAAAGAAACTTGTTTAAAATTTCCAGTGTCGGAAATACACAAAGCAACCTCCCAACGGTCACTAACAGTCTCAAAAGAAACTTTGACAGGAGTACCATCATCATTATGCAGTTGACTGGTGTATTGCTCAACATATTGTTTAAAGCCTTGACACTAAAAATTTTTATAAAAAAAATTTAAAAATCAAAATCAAACAGGGATTTTCTTTCCATTCAGAAAAACTTTAACTCCACGAGTTGTCCCAGCCATATCATATGCTCGACGTGACATTAATCCAATAATATCATCATCCAATTCTTCCATTTTGAAAAGCTTCAAATCTGGTTGAAAAACAACTTTTGTGTAATCATCCTTTGTACTATCCGAAATTGTTGCTTCCCCTTGCTTTTTCATACTATTAACCCAAGTCTTAAATAAGGGAAATTACAAAGGTTAAAAATCGAAGAAAAAGACCTGCTTGAATTTCCGACCATACTCAGAACTAGAAGTTTCAACAGTAAACTTTTTGCTAAAAATATTGGTCAGCTTAGCCCCATAACCATTTCGACCACCAGTTGTCTTTTTCTCGTTGTCATTGTAGTTAGAAGAGGTAAGCAACGTTCCGAAAATCATCTCTGGCACATACATCTTTTCAACTTTGTGCATAACAACAGGAATTCCACGACCATTATTCCAAACAGAGATCGAATTATTCTCCCTAAATATAGAAATCAATTTCAAAATAAAGCAAAACAAACTTGTCAATATCGACTTTGATTGTATTCATTTTGGGATCCCTTTGTTTATTGTCAGCAGCATTTACAAGAATTTCATCAAATATTTTGTACAATCCAGGCACATAAGATATTTCGCGATAAACAAGTTTATCGGCTTCTGAATCGTAGACCCATGTCGACTAAAATAATAAATTTAAATTAATAGTTTACAAAATTAAATATTTTAACACACCGTTTGTGTGTATTGAATAGATCCTATATAAGTATCAGGCCGAAGAAGAACGTGTTCAAGCTGCGAGACTTTCTTATAAGTTGCCTCAATATCCACTGACATTGTCCGTTTTTTCCTTATTGAATCTCTAAAAATTGAAAAAAATTTATTGAAAGGTAAAAATAAACATACAAAACTACTTTCCTACAAAAATTGAATAATTTTAAATGCAAGTTGTTAGGTGAGGTAAAAGTCGGAAATATATTTTTAAAAATTTCTTTTGAGATTCTAAACTGTTTTCTGAAAATAAATAGAAACTATCAATAAATTTATGAAAAATAATAAACAAAAAAGAAAAACACGAAAAAAATAAAAATGAAGAAAATTATGCATAAGAGAAACTTATAAGTATACACAAAAATACAAGCCAAACAAATTCAAAAAAAGATTAAACTTGGCGTAATGGCGGGTTAGGGGACGTTTGGGAATAGATTCTAAAATACTAAATGTAAACTGAGACAAAAATTAACGAAAAAATTAATAAAAAATAATAAAAATACAACAAAATGAGGAAAATCATGCAAAAAAGTCTTATAAACAAAAAAATTAAAGCGTACAGATTTGAAAAAATTCAATTTGGCATAATGATAGTAAAGGTCGATTCAGTGATAGTTTGCACGGTTCGGTACTACGCGATACTCTCGAAATGACGAATCGGTATTTTCCGTTACTTGTAGTATTGTACCGCAATAATCCCAATGCCGAACACTATTTAGAACCATAACATTCTTGATTTTCGACCAATTCGAGTAATTCTCACTCAAGAAACAGGATTTATATTAACAAGGCACAATAACGACCCTGGCTATGAACTGGCCTTGTCTGTCAGAGTCTGACTATTGTACAAGAGGGTACGGCCCACCTTGTCGCGGGCCACCTTGTCGCGACCACCTTGTCGCGACCACCTTGTCGCAGGCCCACCTTGTCGCAGGCCCAGCTTGTCGCAGGCCACTTTGTCGCAGGCTTTCCTTTGGTTTTTATTTCAAGGCTGGCCTAAACTTCACTCGCCACGTGCCGTACTTCATCCCACGGCTACAACGATTGGAAATATGGAAGGTTTAGAATTTCTATTTTGTTTTCTAGGTTTTTTTTTAATTTTTTAGTTGATTTCCAGGAGTGTTTTTTTCCTTTTATTACTTTCTCTTATCCGGTTAAAGTCTACCGGAGTTTTAACAGAGTAAAACCGATCCAAATTACTCCAGAAAACCCCGATCGTGCCCAGAAGGCCTTTTTTCTACCCTCCATATCAGCATAAAAAATTTTCAACCTTTGCGACAAGGTGGCCTGCGACAAGGTGGGCCTGCGACAAGGTGGCCTGCGACAAGGTGGTCGCGACAAGGTGGTCGCGACAAGGTGGCCCGCGACAAGGAGGGCGTGTCCCTGTACAAGAAAGGCAGAAATGGGCAGTGATAGATTTGTTAAAAATGGGAAGACAGTGGTCAATATCCTCACATTCAAAGCTTTCGAAAGATAAAAGATTTATTCGAATTGGTTGAAAAGCTAAAGAGATTGTCTGAAATATGTATGGCTCAGGGACCCAACTGGCGGGACTCAATAATCCCCCGCCCTAAATTTTACCGTATTTGCAATAAATATTTGGCAGCCCATAAAGGGTGTGCGGGACACGCCCGACTAGTCGCGGGCCAACTAGTCGCGACCGATTAGTCGCGGCCGACTAGTCGCCGGCCAACTAGTCGCGCGGCCAACTAGTCGCCGGCCGATTAGTCGCCAAGCTTTTTAGTTAAATATTCTGATTAGTGACCGGCAAAATTATTTTTCCGGGCCCGGAAACCGGATTTTGGGTAAAATTTCGGTATACAACACAGATGCCGATTAAGTCGAATGATATGTCATTCGAAAGAGCTCTTCGAGCTGAGCCGAATGACACCAAAATCAACGATATCTGTCTTGATTTAACAAAGAAGGTTTTCGCGGAAAAAAGTTTTTGCCGCTGCGGAGGAAGCCGGGCATGTCGAGCGGAACGACGGCCGCCGCTTCGCTACGGTCGCCGCGAGCGAAGCGAGCACGACCGCAGTGAAGCACGGCCATCGTGTAGCGAAGACCATGCCCGGCCTACCCTCCGTAGCAGCACAAAAACAGTTTTTCCAGCGAGGATTCAGTTGGTCATAACTTTGTTCAGAATCATCCAATCGAGCTGATCTGATTAAAATACTATTAATCAGATAGTATTTGAAGGATATTTAATTAAAAAGCTTGGCGACTAATCGGCCGGCGACTAGTCGGCCGCGCGACTAATCGGCCGGCGACTAGTCGGTCGCGACTAATCGGTCGCGACTAGTCGGCCCGCGACTAGTTGGGCTGTACCCAGTAGTGAACGACATATCGACTTTTTCTTAAGGAAAAAAAGTCGTTTTAAAAAAATCTACAATTATTCGCGAACGACTTTTTTTTAAACACACAACGCCAGAACTACGTAAATATCGATGTTTTGCGCCAAACGATTGCGAAACGACTTTTTTGTGTCTCTTTTTCTCTAATTTCACATTATATTTCCTTTCTCTTTTTCTATTAATTTTCGTTCGTGTAGTCTCTCCTTTGGAATTTGCAATTTTCCATTTTTATAAATGTTCAGTCCCTTTTCTGTAATTTTTAGGGATTTTTCCACATATATTCTTACTAGATGGATGAATTTGAAAATGAATTAAGAGTCGCATTCGAAAGCGGCGATCTCGAAGAACCTGTGACACCGTCATCGAAACGTCGAAAATCCGATATCCTTAAGGGATTAGATCTAGGAAGTCCGAAGAGTAGGCGATCATGGAATGAAAGTAAAATATTTGGAAGGTATACGTAAAAAATTTCAATAAATTGTATTTATTATTTTAAGCCATTTCGATTGCGTCATAGACGATAAAGAAAATCTGACCAATCTTGTAGTTTGTAAACAGTGTTATGCGACATTCAATTACACGGGTACACATAATCTGAGGTTTTTTTACTATTAGATGGAACGAATTTTTTCCAAGCAAAATCTTTTTGAAGCTTATATTCAAATTGTTTCAATGTTGGAAGCACCTTTGAAAATACTTGAGGTAAAAAATAATATTGAAATTTAGAAAATTAAAATTTTAGGCCGAAAATAAATGTACACTGAATAGACTAATGATAGAAATGATCAAATTGGAAAATGCTTGGAGAGGAGAAGCAAGAGGAGATGATTTGATCAGAGCAGCGTTAGCCAAAAGTGGATTGAAAGCCTTTAACAGGAAGATGAGTGAAATTTTCATTGAAAATCCGGAAAGTCTTTCCATCATCAGATGTGCTGCTTACCTTGATCCTGCCGTTTGTGGAATTCTTAAGAAAGTATGTCAAACGAACTGCCATTGGGGTGACTATGAAACGGTTTTTATTTAGATTTTAATATTGACTTATTAAATTTTAGATACAAAAAGCCGTTAGAAATGTTGCAAAACAAAACTTTCCGGAATGTTTACGCCCACACGTGGAAAACGGTTTTTATTTAATCCAGAATAAGTTTAATAGAAAATTTAGTTTCACCAAGTCTAGTTACCTTTGGTCAAAATGCAATGAGGACTGAGATAGATTTTGAGATGGAACAGTATGAAACTGCATGTAAGAATTTGGGGGGGGGCATAAGCTAGATTTACTTAAATTTTGGAAAGAAAATTCAATGAAAATTCCACACCTTTCATCCATTTCTAAGCATTTTTTAGCAATTCCTTCTTCTTCTACTTCTTGTGAACGTATATTTTCCCGATTTTCTCCTTTAGTATATGATTATAAACGAAATCGTTTTGACCCACATACTATTTCTACACTTATTTCATTACAATCATTATTTAAAGATGAATAAAATTTTGTTGTTTTATTTTTTTAAACTTAAACAAACGAAAACCTAACAAAAATTCCAATGGAGAGACAACGACATAGAAAATTAATAGAAAAAGAGAAAGGAAATATAATGATAGAGCAGAGAAAAAGAGATACAAAAAAGTCGATTCGCAATCGTTTGGCGCAAAACATCGATATTAACGTAGTTCTGGCGTTTTGTATTAAAAAATAGTCGTTCGCGAATAAAAGTAGTTATTCGCCGCGAATCGACGAAAACGTAGATATGTCGTTCACTAGTACCCAGGGTGTGCTGCTGCAAAGCAAAAGCTTCACTCGAGATTTCCGAATCTTACACGATTTTGTAACGCTTCCTCTCATCGAGCTAAAGAGACTGGTATCGAAATTGATAAGGGCCAGAAATTTTTAAGCAAGTTATGGCTTTTATGGCCGCGCACCCTTTGGCTGTACCCATAAATATTCTTATTTTACTCGAAGAATACTTTTTCACGTTTCATCATTTCCGCACTTTGTTAGATAATTTTGTAATAAATTTAGTTAAAAATGGGCCGTCGTCCAGCTCGCTGTTATCGTTATATTAAAAATAAGCCTTATCCAAAATCACGCTTTTGTCGAGGTGTTCCAGATCCGAAAATTCGTATTTTTGATCTTGGTCGAAAACGGGCAACTGTTGATGAATTTCCGTGTTGTGTTCACATGATTTCTAATGAAAGAGAACATCTTTCTTCTGAGGTTTATTTTCTTTTTTTTGTGAATTAATTTTAGTTTTTTCTTTTAGGCGTTAGAAGCAGCTCGTATTTGTGCTAACAAATATATGGTTAAAAACTGCGGAAAGGATGGTTTTCATATGCGTGTTCGTATTCACCCGTTAGTTTTTAATATTTTCATGGTTAATTATGACCTTTTGTTTGTTTCATGTTTTATCTCATTTATAACATAGTCTTTTTCCATAAGTTTAAGCTTCTTAAGCCATATGTGAAAAATGAAAAGTCTTGGACATAAATTAACCGTTTACTAAACAGCAATCTTTGTTTGAAGTTTGCTTTGTTTAATCAAAGCCTTAAGTAGAAATTATTTTCCTTTTAAGATTCCACGTGATTCGCATTAACAAGATGTTATCATGTGCTGGCGCTGATCGCCTTCAAACTGGAATGCGAGGAGCCTTTGGAAAGCCACAAGGACTTGTTGCGCGTGTTGGTATTGGCACTGTTTTGATGTCTGTACGTGTTCGTGATCAGGTTTGATTAGACTTTAATTTCTTATAACTATTTATTTTTAAGCATCAAGCTCATGCTTTGGAAGCATTCCGACGTGCTAAGTTTAAATTCCCTGGACGTCAATATATTGTTGTCTCTCGAAAATGGGGATTTACTCAATTTGATCGGGAAGTTTATGAGAATTATCGTAAAGAAGGGCGTGTTGTGCCTGATGGGGTGCATTGTAAGCTAATTAGAGAGCATGGTCCTTTGACTCATTGGATCAAGAATCCGATATAAGATTTTATTTTGATTGGTGAAATGTTGAAGGATATTTTGTTAAGATAAATTTGTTGAATAAAAATTTGGATATTTTCTTGTTTATTTCGTTAATTGATCGATATTTTTATATTTTATTTGTTTCGAATTTGTAATCATTTTATTATTTTCTTTTTTATATATGGATTTTTCTGATCTCTTGTCGCGTCAAATGGAGAAGCTGAATATGGCTGATGCTGAACGTAATGAACGCAGAGAGGCCGCAGAGAAATTTCGTATGGTGATTGGGACATTGCTGGATAAGGATGAGGGTTATGCTTATATGAAGGTTTTTTAAATATTTCTCTAATTTCTCTCAAAAATTTATTTTTCAGCGAAAGCAGACAAAGCCAAAGGAATTAATTCCATTTCGTATTGTCTATACTCGTGAGTTCATTCTGCGTTGTTCTTCTTCGCCATATTCAACACTTCCACCAAAGAATATGCCTGGAATTGTTATGGAAATGCCTGATATCGCTGCTAAATTTCCCCGTAGATTCCTTCGTGCTGGTTGAGAGAAGAAAGAAAAAGTAATAACAAAAAAGGAAGAAAGGTTATTAATAAAAAAGAAAATGGGTATAAAAAAGAAAAGGATCTCTCTCTTTCTTTTAAATATATTAATTTTGTTTTATTTGATTGTTTATTTAAAACTTGAATATTTCCTCTAATTATTTATTTTACTTGGCTTTAAAAAACACATATTGTCTGAATAAATTGTTTAAATATATTTGGTGGGTGTAAAGAAGTTATTAAATGTTTTTAAAGAAAATATTTTTTAAGATATAAAAGTCGTTTCTTTTTTTCTAAAAAATTTTTTAGATTAAAATAATTTAAATGTTTTCATCTTTTCGATTGACTTTTAATTTATTTAAAAATGTGAAAGAATTTCCTTTTATTCAAAAAGACTTTGGATCAATCAGAACAATTCATTCAACTTGTATTCTTAATTGGGATGGATTGTTGGATGTTTGTTTTTAAATTTAAAAATTAATAATTTTTGGGTAATTTTGATGAGGTTTATTTCCTAAGCTAGAGATCATCGAAATTTGAATTCTTTTTCCCCCTTTAATCCCTCAGACACACTTATTAAACTTGTAACGAAAAAATATAATTTGAGTTGATCAAAAAGTTGAGGTCTTCAGGGTTGACTCCGAAATTTAATCTCTTATAAAAATTTTGAAAAATAAGTTTTCGATTATAATAAAAATATTAACTAAAAGGAGAATATTAATTAATTTTTAAATTAAGCACAAATATATAAATTGGCCAATTAAATATGAACATCAACCAAAAGATAGAAGGCCAATTAAAGGATATCATTACATTAAAGGAGTTGTTTTGAAAAGTTTTTTAAATTTTCTTTAAGTAAAAAATTTTAATTTTTTTAGCTTTAATTAAACATCCAAAAAAACCAAATTCTGGGAATAGACAATGTGCTTTAGTTCGTTTAGATACTGGAAAGGAAGTTATTGCTTATATTCCTGGGGAGGGGCATAATTTGCAAGAACATAGCCAGGTTATTTTTTACAAAACTAGATAGTTGATGTGAGGTGGAGGGGGGGGGGTGAGTGAGAGACAGAAAACTTTTGTAATCAGACAGACAACTTCTAGAAATAGGAGAAGCTTTTCAATTTTATTAACAAAAATATTTAAAGGTCCATGTTCGAGGTGGGAGAAAAAGAGATTTAATTGGAGTTAAATGTTGTATTGTTAGAGGAGCTTTAGATTGTGCACCTGTTAGGAAAAAGAAAACAGCTTAATTTTAGAGGTGTTTTTTGTGAAAATTAAATAAAATTTTGGAGAGAGTTATAGTTTACCTTTAAATATCTTTTAAAAAATGAATTTAAATAGAAAATCCTTTTATTTATTTATACACAATACAAATCAACAACAACAAATACATACATATATTCTTTTTATTTTTTCCCTTCTCGTTCCGATAGAAATGCCGATATTGTAGGGTAAGGATCCACTTCCTCTTTTTTCAAACCCTCATTCTTAATTCTTGCCTTAAAAGAATATAATTTAAATTAATTTTTGAAAAATAAATAAAGAAAACCTCTTTTGCATCTAAGGCGAATGATCTTGGTTTGATTGGTTCATTACTTAAATGCTTAAAAAAGGGGGAAATTTTTATTAAAATATTTTTAATGTAAGGTATTTAGTAGTTAGTATATTCGCCTTCTAAATAAGATTAAAATTTTCTATCCCCTTTTGGAAAATTCGAAATATTTTAGACTCTCTCTTTCCCTCCCTCTTAAAAATTTATTTTTTTCCCTGGAGCCACCCCCTTTCCTTTTTAATGTTACTTATTAAATACTTACAACATCGTCCAAAAGTGATTGTGAATTATCTCCATCATCCCCCTTTTTGCTACGTTTGTGTTTCTTTGAACGTTTAGATTTTTTGGAATGTTTAGACTTTTTAGATTTTTTAGAGCGTTTAGATATCTTTTTGGGTTGTTGTTTTGAATGGTTTTTCTTAGCTGTTGTTGGCTCTTCAGAATTAACTTTATTCTTTTTTTCTGCATTGTTTGCAGGCGGAATTGGAGTAGTTATTTTTTTACCGGCATTGACATCAACTTCTTTCTAAATTAAAAAACAAGAAGGGATTAATTTTAAAATATCTTTTACCTTCTTTACTGGAGATTTAGTTGTCTTTTTATTTGTAGTTTTGGTTTTCTTCGTCGTTTTCGTCTTTGGCTTTTCTTCTTTCTTCTTCGAACAATTAAAAAGAGTAATTGTTATAGCAGAAATTGAAAGAGAAAAGAATAAAACTAGAGAAGGTGTTGCTGTTGTTGTCCAAAACATTTTCTTTTGAAGAGATGCCAAACAACAAAAACCGTTGAAGAAAGGTATTCAGGAAATTTAAGCAGCAGAAAGGAGGTTATCGGGAATGAAGACATTTGTTTAGTTGCTTTTATAGTCAAAAAAACTTCTTTTTTTGATTACCACAATTGTGAATATTTAATTAACATTTACACTCTCCTGAATGAATTTTTTGGCTATCATTTCCCATTTTTAAAAACAAAACTCATTTAAAATAACAATTTATTCCAATTTAAAAAAAATACAAAAATCAAAAAGAGATTAATTTAAAAATAAAAAAAACATTCTCTCTAAAAATATTCGCTAATAATATTTGAGAGAATTCCTCCATTCAATTAAAATTTTAATAAAAATTGCAAAAATAATAAAATTAAAAAATCCGGGATTGTTTTTGGGGGAGGAGGCTAATTCAATATTTGATATATAAATAGATAATTAGTTAAAACTGTCAACACAGCAATTTAAATTACTTTCAAACAATTTTTTGTAATTTCTCGACTCCTTCCACTGAAAAATTATTTTAAAAAAATTACTAATAAATTGCTGTGTAACTAAAAAAATAACTCAAAAAGGCACACAAACCCACAATAAAAATAACAATAAAAAATTCTTTTAAACTTTCCAAAAAATTCTTTTTTCCTTTCATTTTCTTTTAATGTTTAAATATTCCATTAGGTAAATGCTCATTTCCTTCTTTTTTAAAATTTGCCAATTTTTTAGCTAATTCTGGACGAATTTCCAATTTTTTTGGTTTTTCCCAAGGAAAATTAGAATGTCCAAAATGTCCATTAGCGGCTGTACGAGAATATATTGGACGTTTTAAATTAAGTTCTCTTTAAAAAATAAAAATGGATTTTTAAAAATTAACTCTAAAAAACCTTATAATAACTCCGGGACGTAAATCAAAATTGTCATTAACTATTTGAAGTAATTCAGCCTCAGTTAATGGACTTGTTCCATAAGAGATTACAGCAATAGATAATGGGTGGGATATTGCTATTGCATAAGAAACCTTTAAATGAAGAAAATTTTTAATTGATGATAATTGGAAAGAGGAATTCAAAGAATTCTCAAAAATTAAAAACAAACCTGTACTAAACATCTACGACAAACTCCACCCTTAACCAAAGATTTAGCCACCCAACGAGCCCCATAAGCAGCAGAACGATCAACTTTTGACGGATCTTTTCCAGAAAAAGCTCCCCCTCCATGTGCTCCCCAACCTCCATAAGTATCAACAATTATTTTTCGTCCAGTTAAGCCTGCATCGCATTGAGGCCCTCCAATATGGAAAGTTCCTTTAAAATTGGGAAAGAATTTTGGATAATTAATCAAAAATTCCTTACCACACGGATTTAAATAATAAATTGTTTTTTCGTCTAATAAATTGCTTGGAATGACTTTTTTAATAACTTTCTCTAACAAATCATGACGAACAATTTCCAAATCATTTTCGAATTGTTTGTGTTGGGCAGACATTACAACCTTTTTTTAAAAGAAAATAAATTTTAGATTCAAGAAAGAAACTCACAGTGTGTACTCTAATTGGTATACAAGCTCCATTATTGAATTTATATTCAATTGTTAACTAAAAAAGTCAAGAAAAAATAAATTGAAGATTTTATAGGGAAAGAAATTTATTAATAAATAGCCCAAATTTTAATAAAAACCTGTGATTTAGAATCAGGTAAAGACCATTCCAATTCCCCTTCTTTTCTTAATTTACATAATTTAGCTTGTAATTGGTGTGCAAGAAGAAGAGATAAAGGCATAGCCTCATCTGTTTCATCAGTTGCATAACCAAACATTAAACCCTTTTTTGAAGAAAATTTTATTTATATTATATTGAGATTTAAGGAAAATAATTTAAGAAATGTCAGAAATATTAACCCCTTTTTCCCAACAAAAATGAATTAAAATATTTCAAAAATTTTCAAAAAAAATTTCAATCAAAAACCTGATCTCCAGCCCCAATATCCTCGTCACATCTATTTTCCCAAACACCTGCAGCGATTTCTGATGCTTGTTGCTCTAATGCAACCATTACATTACAAGTTCTATAATCAAAACCTTTAAATAAAAATTTATAAAATAAATCTAAAGAATCTAAAGAAAACCTTTACTAGAATCATCAAAACCAATCTGTTTAACAACCCCTCTAACTAATTTTTGATAATCAACGTGTGCTTTACTTGTTACTTCTCCACAAAGTAAAATCATTCCCGTCTTTGTAACAACCTCTAAAAAAAGAAAATATTTAAATTACAAATATAATCCTTTGCCAAACAATTTTTAGATACTTTTTAACGTTTAACAAATCCCAATTTTTCCTCATTAAAATTTCGAAAAATTTCACTAACCACAAGCAACTTTAGCATTAGGATCTTGTTCTAAATGTGCATCCAAAACAGCATCCGAAATCATATCACACATCTTGTCTGGATGTCCTTCCCCCACAGATTCACTTGTAAACAGAAATGTTTGTTCTCTCGCTTCTAAATAAATTTTATTGAAAAAAATCTTTTTTTAAATTAAAAACCTGGAACAATATCAACATCCATTTTTTGTTGTTTAAATTAATTAAAATGTGAAAATTATTTAGTAGAAAATTAGAAAAATCTAAAAAATAAAAGTAAAAGATGATGGAAAAAGATAACAAAAGACAGAAAAACATCGAACGATTTTTACATAAATTAAATAAAATTACATCATTTTTTATAAAAATTATTTTAATTTCAAAAGTTTAAAAAATATTTTACTTTCTGTAAAAAGGCAACTGTTTTTAAAAAAATGATTGATTGAAGTAAAAAAATATTTCTTTAAAATAAATTTAATTATGTAGACAAACTTTGTTAAAATAAAAGTAAATTAATTAATTAAAGATTAAAAAGCAAAAGAGAAATTATTTTACTTTTTAAAAAGAAAAGTAGACAAATAAAAAAAGAACTTTCTCATTCAAAAAAAGAAAATCTTTTAAACAAATTAACAAAATATTTATTTATTTTAATCTACTTAAATTGTGAACTTTTATTTTTTTAAAAAGTTTAAATAAAAGTTAAAATAAATAAATTCAATTAAATAATTAATTTAAAATTAAAAATAATTTTCAAGAAATATTTTCGAAAGAAAATTTTTTCCTTTTTTAAATAATATCAACATTTTAAAATTAAACATTTATTTATTTATAAAATATTTTTGTTGTCTCAGATTCAATTAAAGGCAAATAATTAAATAATTCTGTTGGATCCAAAATATAATTTAAACACTTTAAATAAAAATATTTTTATTTATTTAAATAAAAACCTCTTTATTTAATTTTGAATAATTTTCTTCTTTTTTAGTCCATTCTCTTATCAAATATAAATTATTTTCTTTTTCACCATATAAACGTGTATCTAAAATTCTAACCATCACGTGATCAACTCGAAGATAAAAACGACACAAAACAAAAAAAGTGTCAGGCATTATTCTTATTCTAATCATCATCTTTGAAAAAAAATTATTTTTTTTTGTTGTCTCCGAAATAAATCTTTTTTAAATAAAAAAAGTTGAGGGCAAAAAACTGCTTTTTTTATTTCTTGAACTTTTTTTTAGATAATATCAGAAAATAAAAAAACAAGAAAAATAAGGATATTAAAAAAGGATTTGAAAATTGGAAATAATTTCTTGGAGGGGGGGATTAATTTGTTAAAAAACATTTTTAAAATTCGTAGCAATTAAATATTTTTTTAAATTAAAAATAAATTACTTGTGCACATCCATTATCTGCCAATTCATCCTCATATAAAGCAATTTGTGAATAAAATTGAATTGGATCTTTTCTTTTTAATTTTTCATAATTTATTTTAACATTACTATTCCCCTTCTCTATTTTTATATTTTTTCCCAAAGTACCTAGAAAAATTAAAAAAATATTTTTATTTTTAAATATATTTTTTTACCTTTATAATTACTTGAATATGTCCAATCAAAAGGTTTTTGGAATTCTCGAGATAAAGTTTCTGGCCGAGCATTTTGCCAAACAGTACTTGGGCCGACCTAAATTTTAAATTTTTTTACAGAAAAATCTTATAGAAAAATCTTAAAATGAAAAAAAATTTACTAATTAAAAAAATTTATCGGAGAAACTTTGGCTAACACTAAAATATTTATTAGCAATTTACTATGTCGAAAATATTTAAAAAAGCATTCTAACTTTTCTTTGAATGAAAATTGAATTTAATTTAAAAATATATAAATTTACTTTAAAATCAGGTAATTGTTCCTTATTAACTTCTTTAAGAGCATCAAAGGCATTAAATTCAATAACAAGATTTCCATTACAATAAATTGCAATTTTATTAAAAGGGAATATCATTTCTGGTAAATGAGGTAATCCTAATTGTTTTTCAAAGCGACAGACCTTTAAAAATAATTAAAAATAATTAATTCATTAAAAATAATTAATTCATAAAACCGTCAGGCAAATCAAGAAAAAGAAATTTTTTTTATAATTAAAAAATAAAACCTAAATTTTAAAAAATTTATTGGAGAAACTTTTTGGCTAACGAGAAAATTTTTTTTAACAATTTACTTATAAACTTAAGATACGAACAATTAAACCATTTTTAGATTACCTGACATTGATCTTCTTTAATATTTTCGTGTCTACAAACAGATTCAAGTATATGATCCTGTATAGACACAAATTCTATACAATTATGAAATAAATGTCTTTCCTTTAAAAATAATTTTTTGTTCAAAAATAAAATTTCGAGAAAAAACCTCTTTTCTATTTTTCCCCAAAGCAGTAATTAATACTTGATTGTTTAAATTTGTTTTTTGATGTTTTTTAATTAAATCTGAATTTGAAATTGGTGGAAATTTTGTGTCTTCTGATGATGTCGACTGCATTGAAATAAATAAAATAATACAATAATGTAGAGATTCTCCTTTGGAATATTTTTATTTTTTTTTAATAATTTCAAACAAAAACTATTCAAAACTAAAATATTATGTTCCTTAAAACACCTTCTAATAAATACAAAAATTATATCAATATTTTATCAAAATTTAAAAATAAAATTCTTTCATAAAATAATTCTTTTTATAAAACAGAATTATTTATACAATGTTCAAACAAACTAAATGAAAATTAAATTTGTAAAAAAAATATTTTTTTAAATCATTCTGTATATTTCTCTTTTTAATTATTTCCCGAATTATTGTAATTTGACTCAGTAAATGAAGAAAAAGGCTAAAAATTTATTTTTTTAAATTATTTTTATTTAAAAAATAACCCCTTGAGTTGAATTATTTGGCAAAGAAGTGGCAGAATTAACGTCAGAATTATTTACATCCATAGAATCTAAAATGTTTTAATGATTTACAAAAGCAAGAATAATTTGGAATTAAAAAATTGAGAAATTTTCGTTTCATAAAAAGTAACTAAAAACCCGAAAGAATAAACACCAGTTTAAAATATGAGAAAATAAAATTAATCCCAAACCTCCACTTTCACCTCCACTTTCAGAAGTACTTGAAGGTCTCGATTGATCTCTTAAAATACTAGAATCATGTTGTACCATACAATTAACAATTGATTCAAGTGTTTGACGAACAAAAAGCGCAAATTGATCCAATTCATTAAATACCTTAAATTTAAACTAAAAAAGATTTAAAAAATTCCTCACAGCTTCCCCATTCGCATTTGATTGAGGCCTTACTCTAATACGTTCATTAAACATATTAGCAATTTGTTCACCTCTAATAGAAGGAATACGTTGACCAGATAATGAACGATTATGAAGAATTTGATGTGGTTGTAATTGTGGAGGTGGATGAAGACCCAAAGCTATAGTTTGTGGGTCATTCCAAAACTCAGCGTCTCTCTTTAAAATTTGAAAATAAAAAAAAATTAAAAAATATTCACCGGATTGACTGCAAGAATAGGTGGATGAACATTAGGTAAATGCGGACCCATTGGCAAAAGATGGTCTGTAGATTGAGAACTAATGCCAACTAACATAATATTACGTGGCTACAAATAAAAATAATTAACAATAATATATTTTAATAAACTAACAGTTGGACGTGGATCAGCAGGTCTAAAAGTTTGTTGTCCCGTAGAAGCAATACTCTGTGATATTAATTGATGAACATGATTTGCAATTTCTGGCGGTAAATTTGAAGGAGGATTAAAAAAATCAGATGGAAGAGGCACTCGAGGTGGAATATTTGGTTGATTTTCATTAGAATTGGTAGATGAACGCTCAGAGGAAGAAGAAGTGTCATCGTTGTTTTGGCGAGACATTACTTTAAAAATAAATTAGTTAAATAATATTTTAATATAAAAAATATTTTTTTAGAGAATGAACTAATATCTTTACATTGTTGTGCAAAATGAGTAAATCCATTAATGACAGAACTTAAAGTACTAGAACCAGAAGCTCTTGTTTGATGACGGGGCAAAGAATTCGAACGTGAAGCTTGGGTAGCTTGAGTTCGAGATGTTGGTGTCTGACTAGGCAAATCTAAAAAAGAAAGTAAATTTTAGTGATTATTAAATATAGATGTATATTTATTTATTTATATATTTATTTATCCAAAAAAATAGAATACTTGTAGAAGCATCAGAAAATAAAAGAGAAATTTCAGCCCGTAAAGGTTCTTCTATTCTTCTATGTTGGTCATAAATAGGATATAAACGATTATGTTGATTTTGATTTAAATGTAAATGAAATGCACTAATTTCAATATGAATATACCCAAGAATATTTTGAATACGAGAAATTCCATTACAAAAATAATTAAGTAAACGAGATGCATAAGAATTATCCTAAAAATTATATAAAATAAAAAGTTTAAACAAAAAAACCTCCAAATTATGATTTAAAGCAAGAATTTGATAATAACGATTCATTAAATGTTCATTGATTTTAGCTTCAATAATAGACAAAATAATGAGAATAGTACTCAAATCATGAGAAGTACAATGCCTAAAAGTAAAAAATTGAAAATTTCCGAAAATTATAAACGAGCAAACCTAACAATAGCCGGATGATGTAAATTATTAATATGCTGAATATGGTCATCATCATTAGGTATTTGCCAATTATTTAACTGTTCAATTAATGAACAAATTTCAATATCTCTCTCATTTTGAATTAAATTATTCATTTGCACTTCATCACAAGCATCAAATGCATGCATAACCCACAAAATATTTGCAATATTTCTATATTGCCTTTCAATGTCCAATTCTTGTCCATAAATTATTAAATCAATTTTATCAATTAATTGAGACTAAAAAATAAAATTTTTATTAAAATACCTTTTCTTAAACCTTAATCAAAGCAAAAAGCCATGCAAGACTTTTAATTGAATTTTTTAAATTGTCAAAACGTTCATATGCGGAACTATCAATAATAAGCTGTCGAATACTTCGAAAAGTAACATTTATTAAAAAATCATTATTGCGTGGCATATTCGTAACCAAAGCGTGTTCTGTCTCCATTCGATAAATATTTCTTAAAGTTTCAGTAATACCACCAACAATTGTCTGAAAGAAATAAAAATTTTAAAAACAAAAAATCTTTACCAAAGCATTATTTGGCTCTCTAAAAATTTGAGTTCTTTCAAACGGCACTTGACCATAAATAACATTTTGAGTAACAATATGTGGCTGATTTGCTGCTGTATAATTAATTTGAATATTTGGTGGAAATTGATGTTGTTCAGTTGAAGAAGAACTAGAAGTGGTTGGATTATTAGTTTGAGGAATTGGTCGAGTAACAACATGAACAGCCATTTTATCTTCAAAACCACAATTAATAAGCTTTAATGAATTGTCATTTAAAGGCTTTCCTCGAAAAATTATTCGTTGGTCATCTCTAGGAATTAAAGTTTCTTCAGCAATTTTATCACGAAGTTGTGAGATTGTACTCTTAAATAAAAAAATTTAAAAAATAAGAATAAATTTAAAAACCTGATCATCAATAATAATTGATGCATCTTCACGATCAATCAATTTTATAGGTAAATTAATTAAAACCATCTATAATTTAATAAAAATTCTAAAATTAAATAATTTTACGTTATGTAAAACTAGAAAAAAATAGAAAAAAATGAATAAAAAAATTAAACGGATTAAAAAAGTCAACCATTTGTTTCTTGAAAAAAAAAGAAACGAAAAGAATTACTCGCGATTTCGGGAAATAATTAAATTATAAATTAAATTTATGAAACGATGTTTTGTTTTCTTAAAATTAAATTGGTAAAACAAATAATTTTTAATTATTTGGTTAATTAAAAATTGAAGTTTGAAATTTCGACATTTTGAAATTTCAAAATGTTAAATTTTAAAATAACAAATTAGTTGGACGATTGAAATGTCAAAAGTTGATATTATTTTCTTAACAAAAGATTGAAGACCATTATTTACTTGTTTTTAATATTTAGATTGAATTGATTGTTCTTTTTAGTATTTTTTATAGAAAATATTTACTTAATTAAAGAAGCTGAAGTTATTAGAGTAAAATGTCTAATCCAGCATTAAATACATTTTATTCATTATCTACTATTGGAATTTCAATACTTTTAATTATGGGTTTGTTTTTAGATGATTTTTAAAGATAAATTTAATTTTTAGGTTTTTATTATATGTTTACTGGGCAAGGTGATCGTTTTGATATTGCATGGTTTTTGACTGAGACGCCTCCTCATATGTGGGCTGGTATTGGCATCGCAGCTTCCCTTTCTCTTTCTGTTATTGGAGCTGGATGGTTTGTTCTTATTTAATTTGTTAACACTTTCCAATGAGGAGGTTTGGTCTTTTTTGAATTAAAATAAGTCTCAATCCTGTATTTCAAACTTGATCCGGACCTTGCTTTTCTCGATCAATTTAAAATTCGCAAACAAAACAAAGGTTTAATCGATTTTTAGGGGAATTTTCACAACTGGAGCATCAATTTTGGGTGGAGGAGTCAAAGCGCCACGAATTCGAACAAAGAATTTGGTTTCGATTATTTTTTGTGAAGCAGTAGCAATTTTTGGAATTATTATGGCCTTTGTTTTTGCTGGAAAATTTGCGGTAATTTCTTTTATTTTTGTCAAAAATTTTATTTGATTATTTAGCCTTTTGATCGAAATACTGCCACTAAAGAAGTTCTAGCCAAAAACCTCGCTGCTGGATATGCAATTTTTGGCGGTGGATTGACTGTTGGATTTAGTAATTTAGTTTGTGGATTGGCTGTTGGTATGTGTTTTTTAATTTAATTTTTAAACGAATTTTTTTAAAGGAATTGTTGGTTCTGGTGCTGCACTTGCAGATGCAGCAAATCCAGCATTATTTGTTAAAATTTTGATAATTGAAATTTTTGCTAGTGCTATTGGACTTTTTGGTATGATAATTGGAATTGTACAGGTTAGAAAATACATATTATTAAAAACAATTTTTAGGGGGGAGGGGGGATTTTTCCATTTTTTCAAATAAAAACTGAAAACATTTTGGCGAGGAGTTCATAATTTTCCTTTTTCCCACAGAACTAAATTTTTGACTTTTTAGAAACTATAAATTTTTAGAATTATTCTCCCTTTAACATATTCCCTTAAAAATAAAATTCCGTTTTTGTTACCTATATTTAAATTTAATGTTGAAAATTTTTATTTAGACAAACAAATTCACACTTGGAATGACTTAAAAATGATTTGTTTATTCAATCCAACATGTACTACTGCTGAATTATTTCCAGAAAAGAGGTTTTAAGCATATAGTCTTTTCCATTTTTTAATACATTTTACTAGATTTTTTCTTGTTTTTGATTCTTTTCCCTTCTCATTTGTGTAAAAACGAAATTTTTTAGAGAAAATATATCAACCTGATAGGAAGATTTCTGAGATTTCGATTATTTAATTCTTGTAAGACTGGCGGCCGCTTTACTATTTCTCCCTTTTATATTTTCTTAAATCAGCATTATCGTTTAATTCGGCAAATCTCTTGTTTAAATGACCCACTAAGTCATAGCTTAAATCTTTTTTTAATGGTTGTGCTTTGCTTTTTATTAATAAATATATAATTTACCTAAACTAATTTAAATCACAAATTAAATAATAATAATCCGAGAAAGTCGTCTCTTCCTTTCTGGACATGGACAATAACTTCCATCAGAGCCAGGCTCTCCGTCTGCTCCTATAAACCCGGGAGGTGCTATAATGTTTTAAAAAATTATTTTTTGTATCTAAATTGAACACTCACCGAAGAGGCCAGGAGCGCCAACCTTACCTTTTTCACCTTCTGGACCAGGAAGTCCTTCTCGACCTTGTTTTCCAATAACTCCAGGCTCTCCAATTATCCCTTGAGGGCCTTGTTTGCCAGGCTTCCCCCGAAGGCCAGGTTCACCTTTTTCACCAATAATACCTTCCTTTCCTTGTATTCCTTGTTCTCCTACCATTCCTGTTCTTCCTACTTTTCCTGCTGGTCCTTCTTCTCCAAGTGGACCTGGTTTTCCTTTATTTCCAGGTAATCCTTTAGGGCCTCGCTCTCCTGTTAGACCCTGATTTATAAGAAATTATTTTTTAAAGAATTATCTTCGCTAAACTAACTGGTAATCCAATATTCCCAGCTTTTCCTGGCGCTCCTTTCCTTCCTCCCGGACATTCTCTGCACATTTGATTTTCAATTTTAGAGATGGGTTCAGGAGCCTTTCCTTGTATCCCTGGCTCTCCCGGAGCACCATTATGGCCGTCAGTACCCGGTTCACCTACAATTTAATTCCTTTTATCGTTTATCTCAAAATCGAGATATAACCTGGTAATCCTGGAGGTCCTTCCAAACATTGCTCCGCATTCTGCGTGCATTGACAAACCCCTTCCGGTGGGAGAGGAAAGTCATTTACAAGTGCCCGATCGCCTTCAGACTGTCTCTTTGCTTTTTGTATTTTATCTCTTTTTCGATATTTAGAAAGTTCAAAGAAATATTCACTTTCTATTTCCCTCCAAATAACCATTTCTTCATTTAAATACAAAAGTATTCGAGTTGTTTTATTAGAGATATGCCAATAGATCCTAATATGTATATGTGGATTATTTAATCAAAAAATATTTTTCTAACCAGAAAGTTATACAAAAGATACTTATTGTTGAAATTATTGCCAAACAAATACTTTGTTGCATTTTATTTTTTTAAATTAAATCCAAAATTGAGTTTTTATTTTTAACAAAAATTCAAAATACAAAAGTAAAAATTAAAGATTAAAAAAAGAATGTCTTTTAAAATGAATGTCTTTTACTTTAAAAATGCAGTCAATCCTTTATTTTTTAAAATTACCCACAAAAGTAATCTCAAAATAATTTCCTTTCCAAACCGATTACTTATGAATAAAACAAGCCAGTTCTAAAAAGTGTGTGGTCAAAAAAAGAAAGAACTGGCCACCCGTAAAAAATAATTTACAATAAATAAAAGTGTGTGTGGATGTTGTAAAAACAATTAAAAATGTGGCAAAATGAGTTGAAAAATTATTTTGATGGGAATTACTTTGATATTGGGTTTTTAATTTGTTTATTTTATGTCACTTCTCGAAGTTATTAATTTGCCAGCAAAAATTCTTTTTTATTAGATTCGTTGCATAGTAAAATCTTCTGGTGATTCTTCTGATCCTTCTAGCCAGACAATATCCCCAGTTAAGTGTTTCTAAATTAAAAAATATTACTTTCATGAAAAAATTATTTCCTGAAAATAGAATTCAAACTTCCCAAAAACTCCCAAAATTCCTCAGAATATTTTAAAAAATCCCCACCCCCCCCCCCAGATTTAAAAAAAACTTTTAAAAATTACTTTATTGTTGTCACTAATTATATTATAGTAAAAACACGTTCTGTCTTTGTCATTATTATATCCAGGCACTAATAAATCAAAAAATGTTGCCCCATCATCCAAAGCTTCAATTGTATGTAAATTAGCCATATTTGGTTCTAAAATAGCCATCTTTAATGATGAAGATTTTTCTGTTGGTGGAGATAAAATTACTTGGCCTTTAAAAAGAAAAAATTGACTTTAAACATTTTGTAAAAGTTATGGAAGATAAATGGAATTTATTTTTAAATTTTTAGAAACTAAACGGGATGTCTAAATTTTAATTTATGTATAAGAAAGAAAATTAAAAAAATAAGAGGAAGCTTAAAAATCGAAATTTCTTTAAATATTTAATTTAATTCTCTCATGGAGAGCAACCTACCTTCATATCTTGCTGGACGTAAAATATATCCAGGTTTTGCATTAAAATTCGGATTATTCTTTCTTTGTTGTGAAAATTGTTTATTTTCTTCATTTGCATCTAACCAAGAATATGAAGATACTTTAACTTTTCCACGTAGAGGACGTATAAATCCAAACATTTTTGGATGGTCGTGGAGAGGAATATAACAACCAGAAAAACGAAATCCAAAAATTGACATTTCAAAAAGATCGGCTCTTTCAAGAACGGGAGAACAAAAAGTACTTGCCCACATAGTTCTTGGATCAACAGCTTTGTGTTGTAAAAATTGAGAATCAAAAGCAGATGCAAGTTCACGTAATTTATTAATTATTGCTGCTGGCTCTGAAAATGAAAAATTTTAAATTAAAATTAGTTCTTGCTTATTAAAACCCCAAACTGAAATGAGTGGATAAAATTCAAAAATTAAATTTTAAATAAAAAAACCTTTTCCATGATCAGCAGTTCCATTAACCAATTCAGTCCCACAACATTTTGAATGTCCAATTTTCCTTTCTTCAGCTTCAACTTTAGAACATTCCAATAATCGTCTACAAAGGGCTGCCAAATCCCCCAAAATTTTATTTCTTCTAGCATTAATCATTTCTTTTTCAGTAATCAAAGGGAAAGAAGATGATTTTTGATTATCCATAAAAATATTCCAAAAAATAAAAATTTAAAATATTAAAAACTTTAAAAAAATTAAAAAGAAAAAGGTTTTTTATCTTCCTTTTTTTCTAAATAATTTTTAAAAAAAAATATATTCTTTTATTTTAAAAAAGAAAGTAAAAGGCACACAAAAATAGATAGGAGATCAAAGAATGATTTAAAACAAATAAATTATTGAAAGCTAATATTTGCGGACTAACATTGACTGACGAATTTATTGGAAGAAATTTAAAGGAAAAAATATAAAATTGGAGAAAGTTTCAAGAGAAAAATTTTTAAATTAAATAAAAAAGAAAATTCTAACAAATTTTTAGCCAAACTTAATTCCAAAAATAAATATTAATTAAAGTCCGTAAAAGTTAAATCCGCAAAAATAAATAACAAAAAAACGTTAATACATACAAATAAATTCCTTTAAAAATATATTAATTCCTTGTTGGCCACATAAAGCAAATAAAATATAAAAATAAATAAAATATAAAACAATTTCGTACTTTGAATTTTGTGTGCTCCGTGCAATAAAATAAAAATGATGATGATGATCGATTCATGAGACACTGTATATACAAACAAAAATAAATATATAATTTGTAATGTTCTAGTAGTGACATTTCTTCTCCAATAAAATAAAAGAAGTAATTAATTAATAATTAATTTTGCATGTCCCAATTAATTAATTTTCTCTAAAAAATATTAGAAAAGAATTTAAATAATATTTTAATAATTTTATGATTAATTACACAATTCTCGCTTTCAATCATTAAGTGGAACATATTCAGACAAACGTCGAAAAAAGGGAAATGACCAAAAATTTTGTTTAAAAAATTGTTGCCCAAAAATTTTAAAAAATATTTTTTTTAATTTAAAAATAGTCAACAATTTTTTGTTAATTTAAAAAAAAAAGAAAACAAACCAAAAATTAATTTTTTCTAATAAAAAACTACTCCAATTTGTATTTAAACAATCATTTAAATTATTCTTTAATTTAATACACCAATTTAAAATATTAAAATTATTTGAAGTTAATTGTTGAATTAAATTAATTGTTGTTGAATTAATTGTGGAAAGAGAAGGAAATATTGGAAAATAAATTTTTGAAATTTTTGTAGAATTAATAAAAAGAGATGCTGACCAAATACCTTTTTAAAAATAAAAAAAAATTTAAACATAGAAAACTTTTGGGATGGAAATCAGTCGGTACGGATATATTTGGATATTTCAATGTCCTATTGAAGGAAAGAATAGCCAGGGGTCCTCCCCCGGTCTCCTCCCGAAATCGACCCCCTGGCTACGCTCTTGTGTTTTAGAGCCAACATAAAATCCCGAATCTCAATATATCCCCCTCCTTCCCTACTTCCTGGATACCCTTCACTTCCCCCTTTTTAAATTTCCCAAATATTTAAAAAATTACCAGAATTAACATTTGGATTTTCTTTCAAAATATTTTTAAATTTAATATCAACAAACTGAATACCATTTAAAGAATCATAACTTTTAATTTTTTCATTAAATAAAAATTCATCATTCGGTCCATTTAAAATTAAATTTACATTTGGACTTGTCCAATTATTATTTTTTTTATTTAAAATTAAATTCCATTTCCATTTTAAAGTAAATAAATTATTTAAATTCTTTAGAAAATTAATTAAAATTAAAAATTAAATTAAATAACCAAATCAACAATTGCTGGATAAATTCGAAACACTTCTTCTTTAACATCAAAACCAATTCCAAATTCAATTCCATCAATTAATTCAAATATTCCTTCTTCAGTAATTATTTGAGAATCTTTTTTATTTTGTTGAGAAGTAATTTGTTCAATTAAAAACTAAAAAAAATCGAAAAACTTTTAACAAAATTGCTTTGATAAATAATTTAAAAAAAGGAAAAAAGATCCTTTAGAAAAACAACAGAACTTTTAATTTAAATTACCTCAAATACTTCAAATCCCCCTCTTCCTTCTTCACATTTCATTTCAATTTGAAAAATATTTTGAAATTTTGCAGTTGAATTTAAACGGAATATAAAAATATTTAAAAGACGATTAAATAAACAATTATTTTTATTTATTTTTTCAATAAATAATTTTGAAATTAAATTAATTAATTCAATTTTTGAAGCTAAAATAAATTATTTTTTAATTAAAAAAATAAATTTTTTTACAAAAAGGAGAATCATTTGAAGTTTCATAATTAAATATATTTAACCAAAATGATTGAGTAAAATTAAAATTTAGTTGTTTTTCTTTAAATCGAAGTACTTGTTTTTGTAAAAAATTAATTGGTTCTATATCAATAAAAGAATCAAATTTTCGTCCAAAAAATAAATTCTTTTCTTGACATCTTTTTTTGATTTAAAAATTAAAATTTTAAATTGAAGAAAACCTTTTTAAATTAATTTTCTTTTCCACATCAATATTTTTAACAGCCAAAGGTGAACAACCACACCAATCAACTATTGGCTTAAATGCTGAACAACGACACCCTTGCTTTCTTTCCCAATTTGTAAAACGCAAATTTTGGTTAAATATTTGATTACAAAAATTTTTTGAATTAATTGAAAGCTAAAAAATTAAATAAAATTATTACAAAATTTTGAATAAAAAAACAAACTGTGTGGAAAAAACTTTCTAACGGCAACAGAATTGTCGTAAATAATAAACGCAGGTTTGCAGGTAAATCTTCATTAGAAACAGAATATTTTGCCAAATCTCTGTGTATAAATAACCAATCAGAACCTCCATCCAAACGAAGATTTAAAGGAAAATCATTTCTTTTAGCGACTCTCCACATCCTTCTTTCACATTCCAAAAAATGAAAATTAAATCCCTGTTTGTTTAAAAAACTTGCTGTATTGTAACCATGACTGCTCAGAAATGATTTGTTAGAAGAACTTGAAAAAAATAAAAAATTAATAAGAAATAGTAAAGCAGGCTGGACTATAACAATTAAACACTCTTCTCTCCTTTAGCTAGTGTAAAAGGTTATTCGGCGGCTGGGAGCGAACCAGCATCTTCAGAAAGACAGAATTGAAGTAGCTATATACTTTACAAACTCAAAGAATTAAACCAAACAATTAAACCCTCTTCAAAAAATATTTATTTATTTACTTTTCCAATTGTTTTTCCAATTCTTCCAAAGAAAGTAAAGGCATATCCTTTTCACTTAAATTTATAATGTAATCCCATTCAATTTCCAACTCAAAAATTGATTGATTAATTACAAAAAGAAATAATTCCAATAAACTAGTTCCTCCCCAAATTGTTGCAAATCTTTTCCTCAAAACTTTAAAATTAAAAAAACCTTTAACTTCAAATTCTTTTTGGATTTTTAACATTTCTGGGGAAAATTAAAATTTTAAGAAAAATAAAAAAGAAAGAAAAAAAACCTGAATATAAAAATTGTTGTCTGATATCTACGTGAACAAAATAAAAATGTTTTTGGCTATAAATCATTCCAAGAAGACGTCGAATTTGGAGATAATCACGTCCATTTAATTGCAAAAGAAAAAGAATTTTAATTTTATTTAACGAAGATTTGCCGTCAAATGGAATAAATTTTGGAAGAATTTTTGTTTGTTTATCTTAAACAAAAAATAATAATTTAAAACCTCCCAAAAACCCCCCACAAACCTTTAATTCCCGTTTTATAAACAAATAAAGTTCCATTTCCACCACAAAATAAAATTTTCATTCCCGGACAGACATAAAAATTACACAAAGTTTCATTAACAAAATCTTCATTTTTATCAATTAAATAATTAAAACAATAACAATTAACACCAAATCCAACACCTAAAAATTTTTATTTAAATTTTAAAAAATAAAATAAAAAACCTGCAAAAGAAAATCCAGAATTTAAACATTTTTGAATACAAAATTCTGGGGAATTTTCTGAAGAAAAATTAAAAGAATTTTTAATTAATTTATTTATTTTAGACAAATAAAAACATCCAATTTTTGTATTTTGTTGTCTCAAATCTTTTAAAAAAATCTTTAAAATTATTTTAAAAACTCAAACAAACCAAAATATTCTTCACAATTATTTTCAATTTCTTCAATTTCCCAATAATTATTAATTTCACATAATTTTGATTTAATAAATTGTTTACAAAAATTTGTATTTATTCTTGAAATTGCTGAAATAGCCAAATTATTTTTTAATAAAAAACAATTAATTTCTTCTTTTTCTTCATAATTCTTAAATTCCTGTAAATTTAATTTTAAACTTTTTTATTTAAATTTAAAAAGAAATACTTTAGTTAATTGAAAATCAAGAAAAGACAATAAAAGATTTAATAAAATAATAATTAAAAATAAAATTAAAAATAAAAGATTTTGTTTAATAATAACCATTTTAAATTGTACGTAAAGAAAATAGAAAAAGAGGAAACTTACTAAAAAGTCTTTTTTTTCTTTTTCTCTTCCCTAAAAAATAAATATTTAAACAAGAAAGCAAAAAATAAATAATTATTAAAAATTTCCATTAAAAATTAACTTTTTTAAAAAACAAAATTAATTTAATCATTTTTATCAAATAATTTTAAAACTTCAATACACATAAATACAACACAAAGAAAACATAATTGTTGACAAAAAATACGAGGGAAATTAAAAAATAAATATTTAATTCCTTCAATTCCTTCACAAATAAATTCTAAAATAAAATTCAAAATATTTTCCTCACTCTCCACAAAATCTTCTCCTCTTCCTGTCAATAAAGAACTGCTAATACTTCCAGCAATACTTGTAAGACTTTCAGGGTAGGGATCCACAAAAACTTCAGAATTTGTGTTTATCGTTGTTGGATTGTTTGGGATATTTTGTCGATAATTTTCAATAATATCTTTAAAAAATTAATTTGTTCTAATTAATTTAAAAGAAAATACCTTTCAAAACATAATTAGTTTTTAATCCACTACTGGAAAAATAAGTCAATTCAAAACATAATACACATTTAACATTAAATACTAATTTTGAATTAAATCCTAAAAATAAATCAAAGATTTTAAAGTTTAAAAATTATAAGGTTTATGTCACAAAAAAGGGTATAGTAAATAAATACAAATTTATATTTTAAACTGCCCTCTCCTCTTTTCCGTGCCTGCCCTCAAATTACTCCCTCCTAGTTTTCACTCACATTTTAGATGTTTTCTAGCCCGATATTTGCCACTTTTTTGTTCTTTTGTATTTAAAATTTAAATATTTTCGGATCAAATTTATATATTTTATTAGGTAAAAACAGGGAAACCGATCATCAAAGCTAATAAAATAAAAATTCATAGGTGATATAAAAGCTGATGAAAATTTTTTTAAATTGTAAGTTTAAAAATGAAAGGCAAGAAAACTATAAAATATCTAAAAGGTATTAATTTAAACCAACCAGGATTATTAAATAAAGTTGTTTGTTTTAAGCTTTCAAGGCATTCTGTACAGAAAGTGTGTCCACAACAAAGTTGTTTTGGCTCAGAGAAAAATTCTCTACAAATTGGACATTTAAGAGAATAAATAAAATTTGTTAAAGACATATTACAAATAAATAAATATACAACTAAAAAAATAAAAAGAAATAATTTTAGAAAAAAAAGAATTATTTAAAATAAGATCATTCACAAAAATTATATTTTTCTTTAATTTTCTCTCATTAATCTACACTTTTATAACAAATAAATACATTATGCCAAATACATAAATAAAATTTGATCAAAACATTGATTTTAAATATGTCGATCGTAATGTTGGTAGTTCCTAGGAAATCCTTCGGGTATCCAAAACTGATAACCGACCCAAAAATTTCCAGATACCCAGGATTTTCTCGATTCCAAATACCCCCGTTAAAGTTAACTCAAATATATTTTAATAGTTTTTTTAATTATTCAAAAATTTATCGAGAATCAAAAAATAATTGTTTTTAAATGTACACACAATTGAGGTTTTTATAAACAAAAAGTTTTTAAAAAAATATAATTTTAAATAGAATTTCTGTGTTTTGTTGATTGGTTAGTATGCCTTTTCATATGTAACTAAAAAATAAAAATTATTTTAAATTTTTATTTATTTATTTTTTACCTGTAAATGGTCTGAACGTGCAAAACAACGACTAAAAAAATAATTATTTTATTTAAAAAGAAAAATAAACATACACACAAAATGAACATTTAAACGGTTTAGCCCCTGTATGTTTACGTAAATGTCGAGTTAATTCATCACTTCTAGCAAATTGCCATTGACAATTAGGGAATATACAAATATAGGGTTTTTCTCCTAAAAAATAATTTTTTTAGAAATTTTTCTCTCAAATAAAAAAAATATTTGTTTAAATAATATGTAAGTACTTTTAGTTAATTAATTAGGTATTTACTTGTAAATTAATTAAAAAAGAATTGCCGAAAAAGAGATTTATGAGAAGAGGGGGGTTCTTAAATAAATATATAAAAATACACTTAATTTGTAAATAACCAAGAGAATTACACAAATATATTTATTTAAACTATTTAGTTGCCCTGTCCTCTCCCCTTCCCTCTCCTTAAAACAAAAGGAGGAGCGGCCCTTTGGTCAAGATTTAAAAAGAAGGCGGAAGTTGAATGAGAATACTTTATTTGTGTCAAAAGTCTCTACTACCACAAAATTATACTTGTACTTAAATGACAGGTAAAAAGAGAAGTATCAAAAATGTGCGCGGAAAAGGACGGGAAAAAAGTTTTCAAAGTATTTTTATTTTCTCTTTGATCATTAAAACAATTTCTCTCTAAAAATCCCGCATTTTGAAATGACCGAGAAAAAAATCTTCATCAGAAAATTGCCACTGTAAATATTTAATAGTGGGAAAAGGAGAGGAGATTAAGTTGTAAAAAATGAAGAAATTGTAAAAGTATATGTGCGCGTAAAGGAAAGAAAAATATCAAAAGTCTACAATAATCAAAAATAAAATATTTTATTTTTTATTTTATTTTAATTTTTACCAGTATGTAGCCGTTGATGTGCTTTTAAATGGCTTGATTTTGTATATACTTTTGTGCAATCTTTAAATAAATAAAAGATTAAGAAGGAAAAAGTTTTTATTTTTATTATTTAATTGCGCAATAATATTTAAATAAATTATTTTGGAAGAATATTTAGTTGGAAAGAGATTCATGGGGAAGGAAAAAGGATTAAAAAAAGAAAGAAAAGATTTACTTAACTCCAAAAATATTTTTTATTAAAACTTAATTTTTTGCTAAATTTATTGCCCTTTAATTTTCCTATTTAATTTCAATTAAATTTATTATTACAAAAAACAATAATATTTAATATCCTTAAAAGTTTTTTTGAAAAGAAATTTCTATAAAAAAATGTTAACAACAACAACAATTAGTTTCTCAGAACAAGAGTTCAATATTTCACCCATTGCTTAAAAGGTACTGTAAAAGAGAAGAAAAAGAAAAACTAAGTAGATTTTTAAAATCCTTTTTTGTTTGTTTATTAATAGAAAAATAAACTTTTAAGTTTTCGGATTTAGGGGTTTTAATTATTTTTACATGGACCAAGAGAGGGTTTAGAGGCATAAACTCTGATTTTTCAAAATCAAACCAGTTTTTATTCGAATTCTTTTTTCGTCAAAAAACTTTTTGAAGGATTGACTTTTGAGGAAATTTTTTTTGAAATTTTTATTTTATTTAAAATTTAATTTTAAATTTTAAATATAAATTACTTGGAAAGCAGCATTTATGTACTCTTTTATGATTTAATTCTTGACGACTTTTTCGAGGCATTCGACGTGTTGATTTTGGATTGATTGAACTTGGGGGGCAAAATACTTTTGCACTAATTTCTGGAGGTAATACAGCTGCTAATGTTGAAGATAAAGAATTGGTAGAGGATGAAGAAGAAGGAGGGGAAGATGAAAAGGGGGAAGTGGAAGAAAAATTTTGAATTTGTTTGTTATTTCGTTTAGATTTTACAAAATTATTAACAAAGTTGTTATTTAAATTAGTTAAAAATGAAGCAGAAGAAGAGGATGAGGAAGAGCCAGGAGAAGTGGAAGAAGTTGAAGATGAAGATGAAAATTCCTTAAAAAGAATTTTTATTTAAAAAATATTTTTTTAATTTTTACTTTTTCAGAAGACAGAGGAGGAGAATTTGTTGAGAAAATATTTGTTGAAGGAGGGAAGCTGGATTGAAAGGGAGGAGGAACAATTAAATTTTCTTCTTCAATAAATTCTCTAAAATTTAAAATATTTAATTCAATTAATTTCCAAAATTATTTACTTTTTTAAAGGAATTAAATCCAATTGAGGGTTGTGGAAAACTATATTTTGTCCAGAATTCGGATTTTGAAGTAAATTATTGCAAAATTGTTGTTGGGGGTGGGGAATTACTTCATTTTGTTTTGATTGTCCAAAAGCAGAATTAAATGAAGTTTGTTGTTGTTGAGTAAATAAAAGTTGAGGATATTGGGGGGAATTATTATTATTAGAGATTATTTGTTGTTGTTGTGTATTCTAATAAAAAAAATAAATTAAATTATTAACCTCTTAATTCTTAAGGTAATTTTCATCATCCTAATAAATTAAAAGTCTTTAATGATCTTTTCTACTAAATTTTCCTCATTAAAAATATGGAAAAAATTAAATTTTTGAAAGGGGGGGGGGGGGGGGGGAGATGGAAAAAGAAAGATATTTAAAACTACTTGATAATCAATTCCATAAAGATTTGTTGTTTGACATTCAATTATTGTTGAAGGACATAAATTTGTAAATATTTCGTTGGAGGAGGAGGAGGGGGGAGTTGAAGTAGAAGTTGGGGATTTTGATGGAGAAATATTGTTGTTGTAATATTGTTGGTGTTGATATGGCATTGAATTTGTTGTTGTTAAATTATTTTGTTGAGAAGAAGAAGAAAATGTTGAATTAAAATCTTTTTAAAAATTAAATTAAAAAATATTTTTATTTTTTAACAAAACTTTTTTAATTTTAAATATCAATTCGTTATCATTTTTTCTTTTAAAATATAATTTCAATACCTTTTTTATAACACCTTTTTCCTTTCAAATTTGTAGATAAAAATGAATAAAAAAATAATTTTTATTTTCGCGGGACAGCTTTTTTTGTTTGTTTAATGACTGGCATTGCCCCAATAAAAATATATAAATTAAAAAAGAAAATTATTTTTTTAATTCCTTTCCCGACCTTTTAAAATAATTTTTTAATGTGAATCATCTTTAAAAATATATTAAAAGAAGATATTTAAAAGAAATTTTTTGGATTAAATTTAAAAAATAATAATTTTTAGAGGAAAGAAATAATTGAAATTAAATTCCAAAAATTTGAAAAGAAAAAAAATTAATCGGAAGTTGAAAGGGAGGGGGAGGGAGGTTTGAATTTTTGGATTGAATTTTAATATATTATTGACAAGATTCTTTTTAAATTATTTTTAAACATTATTTAAAATAAAAAACTTACAAAAAGATTTTTCTAAAATAAATTCTTCTCCCCCTTCTTTTTCTTCCTTTTGATATTCAAAAACGTCGTTAAAATAAAAAATAGAAGGCCAAAAATATCCAGATAATAAAGACTGGTCATTAAAAAAGAATTGTTGGTGTTGCTGGTGTTCATCTAATTTTTGATAATAATTGTTGTAATATTGCTGCCATTCACGGAAATTGTTTTGTTGGAAATTAGAAGAATTGTTAAATGATGAATTTAAAGTTGTTAATTGTTGTTGTTGTTCTATCATATTTTTTAGCTGTTAAAAATAAAATAAATGTAAAAAATTAGTACCAAAATTAGTAGAAAAATAATAAAGGGGATTTTTCAATTGTTTTATTTAAAAAATTAAAAAATAAAATAAACATTAATGAAAGAATACATAAAATTTTGAAGAAAAAAATAAGTAAAAGTATTTAATAATAATTTTTAAACATTCCCCCCGCCCACTCATTTATTTATTTTTCCTTTATAAACAATAAAAAATGTTTTGGTTTGTAGAGGAAGAAGGAGAGGGGCGGTCGAAAGAACGGTATTTTATGTGAATGGATATATTTAGAAGAAAATAATGCGCGAAAGTAATGAAAGGAATTTATAAATTAAGAAAGAAAATCGAGATAAAAACAAAATTAAATGAACACAAAAATTACTAAAAAATATCTTTTACAAAAAAATTTTAATTTAAAAAAATAAGAACAAAAAACAAGACAAAAAAACTTATTAGCAATTTATCGTTATTTAAATATATTAACCAAACACGCGCACCTAAATATTAAATTACCTAAAAAATAAATATAAATATTCTCCTTATTTTTTTAAATTAACGTTTATACTAAATAAAGAATTAAGAAAGAAATAAGCTTTGGCTGGATCAATTTCTTGTTCAAATAAAACAATTATTATTATTATTGTTTATAGAAAAAATATTTTTAAGGAGAAAAAGCAGTAAAAAATATTTTTATGTATTTAATTGTGTTTAGGGTAAAATAAATAAATATTTATTTTTAGCAAATATATAAAAGTTTTCCTTTTTTAACTTTAATAAAAAGATTTTTTTTTACAAAATAAAAATAATTTGGAATATGCTTGGAAATTTAAATAATTTATTTTTTGGTGTAAAAAAATAAAAATATCTCAGAAGAAGCTCGCTCTTGCCTCAAATAATTTTAAAGAAAATTTATAGTAATTTTAGTAAGAAATCCCAAGCATTGATTCTATGAAGAAAAATAAAATTGGAGAATGATAAAAATAAATTTGTGATATTCTGATTTGTCTTCACAAAAAAGGGGAACTAAAATTAAAAGTGGCAAGAGAGAAAAGAATATTTAAATATTGTAAATAAATGAGATTTTAATCAGGCATGTTCACGGCTACAAATTTCAATATCAGGATAAAAATTCTGGACTATACCTACATTATATCTAACCGCGTCACTTCTTTACCATACCCGTCCGCGGATATCCTCGGATATATCCAATTATTCTCAAAACGGTTTGAATAAAAAATTTTATTGGCAATCTATGTATTGCTTTGGTCAAAAAATCTATACCTTGACAATACCGGGGGCGCTGTAAAATTTTTTTGCTTTGCAAGCGGAAAATATCTGAAGTAGGCAATCAACAATAACATTTTCGACTTTTGGGTTATACTTATTGGTTCTGTGTGCTTTAATTTAATGCCGCAGCGAAAAATTGATAAATTTGGAAGGCCAAAAAGCCAGAATTCTTCATTTTTAGGTCTTAAGTTGTGCTTTTTTAGCGTTATTTTAGGTGCTAAATACCTCCAACATATTATAATGAATACTAATAATTTTTTATAAAAAATATATTTTAAATAATTACATTTATTAATTTATTTAAATAGAAACATTTCTTATTAGCAAAAAATTTTTTCATTTCAGATCTGTTCCAACATTAAAAGAAATAATGGCAAAAATGCTTGTTATAATTAATTTAATTTTTATAAATTTAATTTTAAATCTAAAATAAGGCTTTCCATTTTCTACCAAGTTTATTTAATTAAATAAATATGTATATATTTTTATAAAACTTTTTAAAAAAAACAAAAATTATTTTAATAAATTGTTTAAATCAGCTTAAATATTTATTAAATTTGTTGCCAAAAATTATTTTTATTTAAATATTAAATTATAAAACAAAAATAAATAATAAAATCTAAAAAAAGTTTTAATTAAAAGAAAAATAATCTTTGAATTTAAAAAAAAAATTAAAATAAAAAAATAATCACAAAATTTTTTAATATTTTTTTCTGTTCCCCTACAATCCAGGATTAACACCAAACAAACATACCACAAAAAAATTTTTCTTCTACAAAATTGGCAAAAGCCTTTTTTTTCTTAAATTTTCTTATCAAATGGTCGTTGAATTAGTCACTGATTAAACATTTTTAATTTGTCTAAATGTGTCATACTTTCATAAAATAAAACACAAAAAAAAATAATTTTAAAAATTATTTTTCAAAATTATTACAACAAAACACACAATTTAGAACCCAATTAAATTTAATTATAAAGAAGTTTGTGAAATGTCAAAAATTATTCTGCAAAAATATATATATATAAAAAAGTAGAAATGAAATATCAAAGCTGTTTAGAGAAAGAAATAATTTTTTTGAATTTTTAAATATTAAATTATATAAATCCTTAAAATGTTATCAAAATCTCGGCAAAAAATTCTGAAAAAATCTTTTTTAAGCAGAATAGTAATTCAAAATAATATTTTCAAAAAACAGCTTTTTCTACCCATTATTAAATAATAAACTATTTTTTATGTCAAATCAAGTCAATTTTCATCCCTTCATTTCCCCCAAACATTTAGCGACTCTTGAAAACCGTCGTAAGACTTATGATTTAGTATTGGCTCATAAAATCTTACATGGATATACACATCTTGAACCAGACAATCTTTTTAAGATATCAAATAGAAAAAAATGTTATTTATTATCTAAAAGTCAAAATTCAAAATCATCTAACTCATTTGTTAATAGGGTAACTAAGATGTGGAACGTTTTAAATGACGAAATTAGGACTACAAAAATAACCCCTAGTTTTAAAAATAAAGTAAAAGCAATACTTATTCAATAGATCTAATCTAATCTGTTTTTATTGCTATTATATAAAAAATAAAATCAATTCTTGTAAATTCCCTTAAATTATAAATTTTATTCTTTAAAGCCTATTGCTCTAAATATAGAATATTTTTTCTTTATTTTTCTTTCACTCTCAAGAAAATTTTCAAATTGATAATGAATTTATTATTTAACATTATATCTAAAAAATTCAAAACTTCATTTTTGCCAATCCTCCCTCATATCTTTATAATTAAATTTCGAATATAAAATTTGGCTTATTTATGAGAGAATAACTGCTTTAAATACAAATAAAAATATTATAGAACAACAAGGTTAATCGCAGGCGATAGAGAAAATATTTTTAAATCCTAATAATAAATTCAAATCCTAAAAATATTTCCAATTTCTAAAAATCTTTGAAAAAAAAAAATTTAAATTGGTAATTTAATATATTAATTTGGCATTCTATCTAAAAAATATTTTTATTTAGATGACAATCTTTTTTTCTCTGTCATCCGTGCTATTTCTCTTTTGATGATTCATAAAATTAGAATTTTTTTCTTCCCCTTTTCTTAATTTTTTTTATTGAAATTTATCATTTTTTATATTAATTTTTATTTTTTAAACAATATTTTTTTAAGGAAATTTTTAAAAAAGGCATTTAATTGGGTAATATTTTTTTGTGGCATGTCTAAGCGCAATTCTTCAGAATTTTCTCCTTTAAATTTTGCAGCAAATATGACAAACAACGAAAAACGCAGCAAAATTGTTGAAGAAATTAATTCTTTAAATTTTGACAAAATTGCAACAGAAATGGAACAAGACAAGACTACACCTAATTGGGCGAAATTAATTATTGGACAAATGGGCTCTCTTCTAAAAATTGCAGCAGACCTTCTAAATGAACAACAAAATTCTTATGGAAATTTTGAACTTCATTTACAAAAACAACAACAACAATTTGAGGAAAATGAGCGTCTTCACAGCATAGTGATTACTGGATTGGAAGAAAGTCAAAAATCAGATGCTCTGGAGCGTGTGAAGGAAGATCAAAACAAGGTTTTAGAAGTTATTAATATGTGCAAAGTTGACATTGGTTTGCCAACTGCTATTTTTCGTATGGGTGTTAAAAAAATGAATTCTTGTCGTCCAATTAAAGTAAAAATGCCAAGTAAGGCAGCGGTTAGGGAAATTTTAAGGGGCAAAAAATATATTATTAATAATAAAATCAATACAAACACACATTTCAATATACGGGTTAGGGAGTCTCTAACCGCTTCCGAGCTTAAATCCCGTTCAGACCTTGTTAAAAAATGCTTTAAAATGCGTAGTGAGCACCCCGGTGCTGACTATGTCATTTATGCCTCAAATATAATATTAAGAAGTGAGATTGACAATTTCAAAAAAACTCTTCCAAAAAACTAAGAAGTCATCTCACTTCTTCTATAAATAAATATACTCTAAAGCCGACTATTTCTCATGAAAAAAACTCTAATTTATTTTTGAACAAAAAAATAAAAGGATGTCTTATAAACATTCGATCTTTAAAAAATAAAATCGATGAAATTTCTTGTATTTTAAGCGCTTGTAATTTAGATATCTTGTTTGTAACAGAAACTTGGCTTACAACTGAAACGCAAGATGTTTTTAACCTAGATATACTTGAAAAATTTAATATAGTTTTATGTAATAGAAGTAATCGTAGGGGAGGTGGCTGCGCTGTTTTGATTAAAAAGCATATTAAGTTTTTCGTTAAACAATCCATCTCTAAGTTCAACTCAGAAATAATACATCTACAAATACAAAATTCAAAATGTATTAATTTTATTCTCATCTATAGACCTCCAAATACTAGTATCATTCAAACTAAAAAACTTCTTAAACTGATTGAATCTTTTGTTTCTTTTAACTGTATCATATTAGGAGACCTCAATTTTGGAACCAAGGATCTTAACTGGGTTAATAATATTCCATATTGTAAAAATAGCTTAGGTGATCTATTTCTCAGTTTTTTCAATTCTATGAATTTATCCTCTACTACACCAGGTCCCACTCGAAACGATGCTTATCTAGATGTTTGTTTAACAAATAAACCTGATCTATTTCAAAATATTTATGTTGATGGGTCCTTGTTTAATTCAGATCATGATGCTTTAATCTTTGATTTATCATTCCCTATAATCAAAAAAGAAGTCAAACCAATCAAATATAGAAAATATAATAAGGCTAATACATCTTTATTAAATAGATTTCTATCTTCTATTATACCGATTATATCCACTCAAAATTATTATTTGGAAGATAAATATAATCATTTCATAGACAACATCTTAGCATCTCTTAACTTATATGTACCTGAAAAACTTGTAACTAAAAAAGATCTTAGACATAATTACCCTGCTCACTTGAAAGCATCTATTAAAAAGAAAGCCGAAATTTATAGACAAATTAAAACTGATAAACTAAAATATAAAGAATTATATGATAGTATATCATTGCATATAAAAATTCAGACTAGAAACTTTCATAATAAAAAACAAAATGCTTTTATCACTAAAAATAGAGATTCTATTCATAAATACCTTAAAAAATTTAAATATACGAATAATGAAATTCCAGTGCTTTATTATAACAATAGTTATATCACTAAATCAATAGATAAGTCTGAAATTTTTGCTGATATCTTTCTTGAAAATTTCTCCAATACTAATATGCAATATAGCCATAATAACAATGAAAATAATCAAATACCTATCATCGAAGATGTTGATTTTGATATAATTGATATTATCAGTTTCATTAAAAAATTACCTAACAGAAATGGTACTTCACCTGATAATATAAATTATAAAATATTAAAGATTGTACTTCCCTCTATAGCTCCTTTTCTATCGGAAATATTTAGAATATCACTAGATTCAGGTATATTACCTGATATATGGAAGGAATCTATAATAATACCATTATTCAAAAAAGGAGAAAAATCAAATCCCGAAAATTACAGGCCTATTGCATTAACATGTGCCATATGCAGGGTCATGGAAATGGTTCTTAATAAATACATTGTTCAATTTCTGTTAGATAACAATCTATTTAGCAAAGACCAATATGGATTTATAAAAAATAGATCTACTACAACACAACTAATCACTACATTAGAAGATTGGTACGATGCAATAATGGGAAAAAAGAATATTGACTGTATATATATTGACTTCAAAAAAGCATTTGACTCAGTACCACATGATCTCTTAATCAACAAATTATATAGAATAGGTATAAGAGGAAAAATTTTAAATTGGATTTCATCATTTCTTTCTAATAGAATTTTCAGAGTTAAAATAAACAATGAATTATCCAAACCCAGAAATATTAAATCAGGTGTACCACAAGGATCAGTTTTAGGCCCACTATTATTTTTAATCTATATAAATGATTTACCTGATATAATCCCAAATGGTATAAAAATAAAACTTTGCTGACGATGTTAAAGTATATGTTGTACACAAAACAAAAAATGAAAGAATAATGCTTACAAATGCTATCAAAAATATTGAACAATGGTCAACCATATGGAAATTAAATATAGCTATTAATAAAACATATATAATCTATCTTGGTAAAAATAACCCTAAAGATCAATATAAAATTTTTGATGCAACTATAAACGAAGTAGATTCTATACGAGATCTAGGCATTATAATTGATAATAAACTTAGATTTCAAGAACATGTACAAAAAATTATTAGGGCAGCTTATATAAAAATGAATTTCGTTTTCAAAATAATTAAGTCTAAATCTATAAAAACTTGGCTTACTATCTATAAAAGTTATATAAGACCCTTACTAGAATACTCTCCTGAAACATGGAATCCACAACTAAAATCTGAAATTAACAAACTCGAAAAATGCCAAAAATTCTTTACAAAAATCCTACTTCGAAAATGCTCATTACCTTATATACCATATTTACAAAGATTAGAGTTCCTTAATCTTCCTACTCTTGAAAACCGTCGTAAGACTTATGATTTAGTATTGGCTCATAAAATCTTACATGGATATACACATCTTGAACCAGACAATCTTTTTAAGATATCAAATAGAAAAAAATGTTATTTATTATCTAAAAGTCAAAATTCAAAATCATCTAACTCATTTGTTAATAGGGTAACTAAGATGTGGAACGTTTTAAATGACGAAATTAGGACTACAAAAATAACCCCTAGTTTTAAAAATAAAGTAAAAGCAATACTTATTCAATAGATCTAATCTAATCTGTTTTTATTGCTATTATATAAAAAATAAAATCAATTCTTGTAAATTCCCTTAAATTATAAATTTTATTCTTTAAAGCCTATTGCTCTAAATATAGAATATTTTTTCTTTATTTTTCTTTCACTCTCAAGAAAATTTTCAAATTGATAATGAATTTATTATTTAACATTATATCTAAAAAATTCAAAACTTCATTTTTGCCAATCCTCCCTCATATCTTTATAATTAAATTTCGAATATAAAATTTGGCTTATTTATGAGAGAATAACTGCTTTAAATACAAATAAAAATATTATAGAACAACAAGGTTAATCGCAGGCGATAGAGAAAATATTTTTAAATCCTAATAATAAATTCAAATCCTAAAAATATTTCCAATTTCTAAAAATCTTTGAAAAAAAAAAATTTAAATTGGTAATTTAATATATTAATTTGGCATTCTATCTAAAAAATATTTTTATTTAGATGACAATCTTTTTTTCTCTGTCATCCGTGCTATTTCTCTTTTGATGATTCATAAAATTAGAATTTTTTTCTTCCCCTTTTCTTAATTTTTTTTATTGAAATTTATCATTTTTTATATTAATTTTTATTTTTTAAACAATATTTTTTTAAGGAAATTTTTAAAAAAGGCATTTAATTGGGTAATATTTTTTTGTGGCATGTCTAAGCGCAATTCTTCAGAATTTTCTCCTTTAAATTTTGCAGCAAATATGACAAACAACGAAAAACGCAGCAAAATTGTTGAAGAAATTAATTCTTTAAATTTTGACAAAATTTAAACAGAAATTAAATTAATGGACCTTCTTTTTAGATTTTTGATTTATGTTTTCTATTAAAGCACCTTAAATAAAATAGTCGGTACGGAGTATATTTATTTAAACAAATAAATTAATTAAATATAAATTTATATGTGTTTTTTCCTTAATTATTATTGACTTATTGTTTTTTTTGCTGTTTTTTTTTATATATATTTTTATTACATCTTTTAAGTGCCACACTACGACATTGTTGTCGGAGTAAGTGGCACGCCCTTTCGATGACATTTTTTTTTATGTTGATAAATAAATAAATGATAATGAATACTAATAATTTTTTATAAAAAATATATTTTAAATAATTACATTTATTAATTTATTTAAATAGAAACATTTCTTATTAGCAAAAAATTTTTTCATTTCAGATCTGTTCCAACATTAAAAGAAATAATGGCAAAAATGCTTGTTATAATTAATTTAATTTTTATAAATTTAATTTTAAATCTAAAATAAGGCTTTCCATTTTCTACCAAGTTTATTTAATTAAATAAATATGTATATATTTTTATAAAACTTTTTAAAAAAAACAAAAATTATTTTAATAAATTGTTTAAATCAGCTTAAATATTTATTAAATTTGTTGCCAAAAATTATTTTTATTTAAATATTAAATTATAAAACAAAAATAAATAATAAAATCTAAAAAAAGTTTTAATTAAAAGAAAAATAATCTTTGAATTTAAAAAAAAAATTAAAATAAAAAAATAATCACAAAATTTTTTAATATTTTTTTCTGTTCCCCTACAATCCAGGATTAACACCAAACAAACATACCACAAAAAAATTTTTCTTCTACAAAATTGGCAAAAGCCTTTTTTTTCTTAAATTTTCTTATCAAATGGTCGTTGAATTAGTCACTGATTAAACATTTTTAATTTGTCTAAATGTGTCATACTTTCATAAAATAAAACACAAAAAAAAATAATTTTAAAAATTATTTTTCAAAATTATTACAACAAAACACACAATTTAGAACCCAATTAAATTTAATTATAAAGAAGTTTGTGAAATGTCAAAAATTATTCTGCAAAAATATATATATATAAAAAAGTAGAAATGAAATATCAAAGCTGTTTAGAGAAAGAAATAATTTTTTTGAATTTTTAAATATTAAATTATATAAATCCTTAAAATGTTATCAAAATCTCGGCAAAAAATTCTGAAAAAATCTTTTTTAAGCAGAATAGTAATTCAAAATAATATTTTCAAAAAACAGCTTTTTCTACCCATTATTAAATAATAAACTATTTTTTATGTCAAATCAAGTCAATTTTCATCCCTTCATTTCCCCCAAACATTTAGCGACTATGGCTTCCTTTCCTTCCCTCTATTTCGCCTATCAAAAGGATTAATTATGTACAAATGAATGATAAAGGTTGATTGAAATGTGACAATAAGCAACTGAGTGAGCGACAATTCGATATTCTTAACTCGATAAACTTGGACTTCTATATTGGAAGGAAGGAAAAAAGAGGCATAGTCGACAAAGGATCAAAGAAATGAAGGGAAGAAAACAATTAATATAAACAATATAATTACCCAAAAAATTTTCTTTTATTTAATTTGTACCCAATAATGGCTCATTTTCTCGTCTATGTTCCCTTGCACTTTCTTTGCTTAACCAAATCAGCTTTAAATCGTGGAGGAACCTTTTCATAAGGCATAAAACAGAGAGAATATTCTATTTAAAATTTTGAAATAAATTTTAATTAAAAATATATTTACCATTAAAACAAAAAGATAGAAAACCCAATTCCAACCAAAATTATTTTGTATCAACGGAATAAATAATTGTCCAAAAGCTGAACCAGCAGAACCTGTTCCATCAATTAAACCAGTCACGGTGGACATTGCCTAATGTATTTTAAAATTAGCTTTTGACAAAACAAAAATTTACTTCAGCATTTCCAGCAAGAGAAGATTGAGAACCAAGATCAACAGATATTGTACTAACAATTAAATTATAAGGCCCAGAAATTGTAAATCCAAGCAAAGACATTCCAATAATATGAAAGAATGTGTTTGGACCTAGACTAGCATATAAGAAAAGTAATGGAACAGAACAGATTAACATAGAAACCAAAACAGGACTTCTATGTTTAAGTCGATCCTTAAAAACAAAATTATTTAATTCAAATGATTTAATTAATAAAAAATTTGAAAAAGGCAAATATACAATTTAATATTTAAAAAAGGTGTGTCGAAAACCCGTGTAGGTACTTTAATGAGAATAAATTTGTTTCTTTTCTTTTTTGCTTCATAAAGTCCGATTTATTCTGGTAAAGCTTGAAAAGTACCAACTATTGTACTAAATCTAGATATAGTGTTAAAAATGTTGACTTGCCTATCACATAAATTTCTATTTTCCTTTTAATTTTGGCAAAATAAAGGATCATCTTCCCTATAAAGATTTTCGGATAAAAACGACGGATTTTTGGATGCAAAAAACCCATAAACTTTCCTTTCATCCAACTTAAAACACTTATTTGCTACATTTAAAAATTAAAAAAAAAACAAACAGAAGCCATTCCACCAAGTATAGAACCGAAAATTCCTCCAATATCATACCAAATAGAAAGTTGATTTGCTTCTGCTTCATTCCATTGATATTTAAAAGTCAAATAAAACGGAAGCCAGAAGAAGAAAGCATAATTAACAAATTTAAGACATGCATTACAAAGACAATACTTAAAAAATAATTATTTTAAATAAACAAAATATAAACCGGAAGAACACTAGGAAGAAAAATTGCTTCGCACATTCTGATAGGTCTAGGTGTTGATGTTCTTGGACTAAAAAAAAAATGTTATGATTACTATTAAACCAAATATAACCAACTAGAATTTATTATATTTATTTTTCCCTAAAGTTCGAGCAAATGGGGAATAAAATAAAATACACCTAAATAAATGGTAAAACAAACCTCATAAGTTCAGCAGTTTCCTCATCAGATTCGACAGAATGTATTCCATTAGAGATTACAGTCCTTCGCTCAGTTGGCATTTCAACAGTCAAAGGATTATGTACCAATTGAGGTTTTGGCTTAACAAAAAGTAACATAATAATTGCTCCAATTAAAATAATTAAAGAATTGAAGACAAATGTCGACTTAAAGAAAAAAAAAGTTTTAAAAAGAATTTTATAAAAAAAACCTGATAACCCATTGGAAGGGTAAACGAGGCAATAATTGCACCTACAATATTTCCAACTGGTTGGCAGGCTGACCAAAGTCCCATAACTGCTCCCCTATTTGTTTGGGGAAACCAGTTTGCCTATAAAATTTGAATTTAATTCTTAAATTTAAAATTATTTAACCATAATTGTAACTTCATTAGGCCAACCACAAGCTTGAACTATACCAAATAATGACCAAGTAAAAAGGTACCAAGGCACTGAATACCAAGCAAGCCAATAAGGAAGTGAACCAAAAGCAGTTAACTGAAAAATTGAAGTAATTTTTATTTATGAGATATTTATACAAAAATTTTTAAAAAATTGAAAATAAACCGTCAATGCAGATCCAACCATTCCAAAAACAACAACACAAAGAGGATTCATTCTATCGCCTAGCCATCCCCAAAATACAAGCGAAATAGCATAGAAAAACATAAAGAGAGCATCAAGAGAACCAAGAAAATTCTGTGCGGAAGATAAATCATTAAAAAGTGGTTGATGATGAGTAATTGTTGAATTTGCAATCCAATCCTCAGAAATTGAAGCTTTAACACCACTTAAGGCTTTTCGAGAAGAATGATATAAAGCATAACTGGAAAAATTATTCATGAAAAAAATTGGTGAATTTTTAAAAATAATTTTTCAACAAAAAAACTATTGAATCACAAACACATAAAATGCAAGTCTAGGAATTATCAAAGTTATAATTGCTATCAAATTAAAAATTAAGTCGATTAAATTGAAGTAAAAACACCTTCAAATTTTTAAATAACCAAACCTGGAAAAAGTCAAAACAAAAACAATTAAATGATCCTTCCGCACATAAATCATTAGGTTTTCTGAAAAAATTATATGTGAAAGCTATTAATAAAATTTTAAATAAATGTAATAATTCAAAAATAGAGAAAATTGTTGGAAATGCACAATAAATAAACGTGGATTTTATCTAAAAATGTTATTGATAAATTTGTTTAAAGAAAAACGATCAATTGTAGACATTTAGTAGATACTTAACTGGGATAGAACTTGCCCCGCATTTGAAAAAAGGCAAGGGATTTGTAGAGATAAGACGGATTTGTATGTATCAGGCGACGTATAATTAATGAGGATATCGGTGCCTTAAAGGGCATATCGAAGGATTAACAGATTCGGAAGATATCGGTGGATTAAGGTGATATCAGGACTCAACAGGGCGGACTCAACTGTACTGCTTGATTACGGGACACGCCCTCCTTGTCGCGGGCCACCTTGTCGCGACCACCTTGTCGCGACCACCTTGTCGCAGGCCACCTTGTCGCAGGCCCACCTTGTCGCAGGCCCACCTTGTCGCAAAGGTTGAAAATTTTTTATGCTGATATGGAGGGTAGTAAAAAGGCCTTCTGGGCACGATCGGGGTTTTCTGGAGTAATTTGAATCGGTTTTACTCTGTTAAAACTCCGGTAGACTTTAACCGGATAAAAGAAAGTAATAAAAGGAAAAAAACACTCCTGGAAATCAACTAAAAAATTAAAAAAAACCTAGAAAACAAAATAGAAATTCTAAACCTTCCATATTTCCAATCGTTGTAGCCGTGGGATGAAGTACGGCACGTGGCGAGTGAAGTTTAGGCCAGCCTTGAAATAAAAACCAAAGGAAAGCCTGCGACAAAGTGGCCTGCGACAAGGTGGGCCTGCGACAAGGTGGGCCTGCGACAAGGTGGTCGCGACAAGGTGGTCGCGACAAGGTGGCCCGCGACAAGGTGGGCCGTACCCCTTGATTACCGTAGTTTTAAATATTGGTTGAAATGTCAATTTCGAAACACAAAGTATTTTTTCTGAAAAACATAAATTTTTTAATTCGGAGTTTCTTATCCATTTAATTATTTTTAAGTTAGTTCAAATTTCTGAGATAAGTGTCCAATTATATTTATATATTTTTTCATTATAACACTTTTCAGCGACCTTATACTAACCCCTAATCTAGCTAACAAATATTGTTTTACCATAAAAATGTTGACTAACACAGAATATGCTCAAATGATGGAAAATTTGGTAATTTCGACAACAAGTTCACCACCTTCATTTCCGATTGACAATTTATTGCCGACTTGTGGTTTGGACAGCGGAACTATTCGAGTTTTGGACTTTTCTAGTCCGAATCGTTTTTTGATGATTCGTGACGAAGAGATTATAAAACTTGCAAAGAATGGCGTCAATACTAAATTAATACAACATCAATTGCATCACCATGGTGAGCTACGACAACGTCTTTATGATTTGTTCACTGAACCTGCTAAGGGAAAGGAATATCTTTTGCGAATGGCTACTGACAATAATGGGAATTTCCTCATTCAAGTGAATTTTCGATAATTCTACAAATTTTACTACAAATTTATAGGAACTTTTGGCAAGCGAAAACCGAACCTCAAGCCTGCTTATTCGTGGTCTTGAGGAGATTGCTTCGACTTTGGCATTAAATCGTTATGGTTGCCGAGTTCTACAGAAACTTGTTCAAACCTTGCCGCCACATTCTGTTGAAGATTTAATGAATGTTAGATTTGCTGGAATTGAATTTCAATTGATTACCGATCAAAACGGTCAGTTTGTTTTTTATTGCTCTAGACATTCTTGATATATGTCTTATCGGGTTGTAGGTGCCAAAAATTTTCTTAAACTTTAAAAATTTAGGTAATCATATCGTTCAATATATTGTTAACAATCTACAACCACAAGTCTACCAGAAATTCATTGAATCTTTAAATAAGTCTGTTGGTCTTAAGCAAGTTGTTGAAAACAAATATGGTTGTCGTGTGTTGCAATGCGCGCTAGAAAAGGTTATTCTGATTTGCCATCAAAACAATGGACAGCAACGGGATGCTACCACCAAGAGGTTTAATTTCAAGAGTTTTCAAAAATCATCTTTAATTTTCGGTGAGAAGGCTTTTCGAAAGCATTGATCTAACAATAAGACGAATTTCAGTTAGAAACGTGTTTCTAGTTATCAGGAATAAATAGCTTTCGTATACTCAATGGGAAAATTGCTCTTAGGCTAATGGTTGGGAATTGTTATAAGCTCATTCAAGAATTTCCACTTCTGATTTTACAGTATTTTGGGAAGATAATTGTTTTTTTCGTTTTTAGTGCTGCTTATGAAATACTTCATTTAATGATTTCGACTGTTTTGCAACATGCTCGCTCATTGGCTGAGCAGGAATTTGGTAACTATATTGTGCAGGCTATTCTTAAAGATGACTTTTTGGCGAGACAGCGCTCTTATATAATTAAGCACCATTTTATGTAAAAAAATATTTTAATTAAAGAATTCTTTAAAAAAAGTTTAGGTCTAATATTTTGGAACTGTCACAAGGAAAGTACTCTTCTCACGTTATTGAGGTAGCTATTTCACATGCAGATGAAAAGTCTCTTGAGGCAATATTTTTTGAAGTGTTTGGAAGTTATGACACTGACAAGTTTGATTATTTTTTAAAATTGATATGTTCAAAATTTTTAGACGCGGTCAAAATGCTCTTCATATTATGCTTTTCCATCAGGTACAGATATTTTAAATAAATTCTCAATTTTTATTTAGTATGGAAATTATGTCGTTCAACGAATGCTTGAAGTAGCGATTCAAGTGCGATTGGGACAACGCCGTGGAAATCAGCAATGGTTTGACAAAATTGTGACTTATGCTTACAGTGTTGGTCGACAGCTTTCACGTTATTGTGAGTAATTATGAGGAAAATTCTTAAATTGGCATCTCTGGGGAAAAGAGGGGGCATTGTTCGACTCAGCACCCGTTTTTATCCTATATATGACATTTTGAGCATTAATATGGGTGGGGGGGGGGTGTAACAAAACGGAAAACTAGATATGTAGAACTGGAAACTTATTAATATTCGGTAATCTAGTTTACTGGTCTCGGGGAAAAAATTAGGAAAGAGTGCTGTTTCGATATTTTTGCGGGTTATTAGTAGGTAATAGAGTGTGCTCAGTCCGAATCTGAGCTTAAAATTTGTCTATTTCGAACCCCGGACCCGAATTCGACCAAGTCGAATTCGGGGTAAACACTTCGAAATTAAAATTTTAGGGCTAATCTGACACAGCAGAAATGAATGGTATCAAAGTTGTGATGTTTCGACAACTCTGGACGAAGTTATGATCAATTAAATACACGCTTGATTAAACTTCCTTATACAAATCAGACACCATAACTTCGTCCAAAGGTGTCGAAACATCATAATTTTGATACCATTCGACTCTGCTCGAATAGGCGTATCAGATTAGCCCTAAAATTTTAATTTCGAAGTGTTTACCCCGAATTCGACTTGGTCGAATTCGGGTCCGGGGTTCGAAATAGACAAATTTTAAGCTCAGATTCGGACTGAGCACACTCGGTTACCTACTGGAACCCTCAAAAATATCGAAACAGCACTCTTTTCTAATTTTTTTCTCGGGACCAGTAAACTAGAAGATTACCTAATATTCTTATCCCCCTTCTAAAAAACGAGACTATACTATTACAAGTCTAAATAAATTATTTTTAAGCATCTGGAAAGAAGGTTCTTGAAACTATCAAAATGACTCTGGCACATTTGGCGCCTCCTCTTTTGCAAGTTCAAATGCCGCAACCATTACCTCAATACTAAATATAATTAATATAGAGAATATTTCTTTACCAATTTTCATTTTTAAATTATAAATTCCTGCCTATTAACCTAAAAAGAAATACGATATACTATTTTTGATGTTATATATCCACACGGGGCAAAAAATATTTAGATTAATTTTTATATTAAACTTTTTTGCCCCATTTTGTTATCTTTATATTGCTTGTTATTCTCTCAGACAATATGCTCAATGAACATATTAAAATTGTTTTATTTATTATAAAAATGATTACTTTTTGATCTTTATTGATTGTATTACAAAGTTTTATCGGTAATACTTTGGATGAGACCCCCCACCCCCTCTTTCTCCAGTTTCCTTGACCACTTTGACTTTACTATATGCTTGAGTTAAATATCATTTGAAAGGGCACTTCGAGCTGGGTCGAATGATACCAAGATTGGCTGGATTTGGTGATCCTGAACAAAATTAAGGATGTAAAGAGAAAAGGGGGGGGGTCTCAAGCAAAGTATTACCGCTTTATCAATTGTTTTTTACAATTCAAAATATTTAAAATCAAAATAAATCAACAAATTATTTTATATATTTTTCCATGAATTTTCTATGAAATTCAGAACGTATAGCATCATTAATAAAAGATGGAGTCTTTTTACGTTCATCAATTCCACGTGCACAATTCTTGAAGACGACATCATCATCCCACCGACGTTTAACTTTAAAGTCAGTATTTTGAGTTAAAAGAGGATTTCCATGTAAAATGTTTTCTTGACGAATTTTCTCCTGAAAAATAATTTCTAACGATTGAACATGCTTGGGTACTCTTACCCAAAGAAACCTGTTTATTAAATAGCTTGGATTTTCTTATTTACGAGTCGACCCGAGGTTTGTGAATTAAATTAAAAGGGAAAGCCAAGGATTGCCTTAATCTCAAACAGATTAAAATTGTTTTATTATCTTTAATTCTCTTAGAGTTCACATAACTAACACTTGCGTGTCAGCCCAAGAAATCGGTTAAATGTAAGGATGAAGCCCGAATATTGGAAATATCAGAAAAGTTGAATAATATTATTGATTTTTATATATACCTGTTCTTCTGCTTCTTTAGATTCTCTTGCAGCTTTCTCAGCAGCCCTCTCCTTTCTAATTCTTTCTAACTCAGCCATTAATTCAGCTTCATCATCAGAATCATCATCCAAATCACTATCTTCTAAAACATCATCTTGTGGGAAATCTGCATCCAAATTTTGAGGATCATCTAATCTTAATTAGAAAATAATTACACAAATTTTTTCAAAATTATACTTTGGTCGTTTCGAAATACTGCTAGATCCTGAAGTAGTTCTAGATTCACGGGAATGTCGATCTTTTGAAGTTAATTGCTCTTTTTCTTCAACATCACGACGAAGATCCTAAATAGAAGGATTGATACTAAATAATTCCTTTAAAAACCTTTGTATTAATTTCATCAGGATGTGCTTGGCCTTTTTGGCGATATTTTAAAGTCATGTGAGACGGCATATCTCTACTAGAATATTGTTGAGATAATTTTGCCAAATCCCCTTCATTTCTTCCTGTGCCACCTTTTGCGGGATCGAAAGTTGGACGGTGAGCAGTTGTCATGTTTTAATTAAATTTTTTTTCTAAAATACAAAATAAATTTAAAATAAAAAATTAAATGATCACAAAGATAAAGAAAAAAATTGTATTAGTTTGTAAATTGTAAAAAAAATTAGTAAAAAGTTGTCATCTTGCCAAAATGAGCATTTCGCCACTCAAGATATATAAAACCAAAGTAAGCGAGAAGTATCCAAAAATCTGTGAGTTTATTAATTTAAAGGGATGTAGTTCTAGGACAGACTCTAAAAGGTTATTTGTTAGAAGAGCCTCGTTAAATCTAATATCTTTACTTCAATTTTTTCTCATGAATGCATGAACATACTTTTACCTTCACACTTAATGTTTTTACCTGTTATTCTTTACATATGTTTTTAATTTTTTTTGATATACGTATTTTCTCCCCTTTTTTTATCCTATCACTATAGAGTATATATTGATGAAGGATTTACGTGCCCGCTCAACTCATCTAATCCTTAACTCATCCACACACCCAAAAACGCTCAACTCATCTAAACGGCTAAAATTCCTTAACTCATCCACACGGCCAAAAACGCTCAACTCATCCAATCCTCAACTCATCTAATGCTTAACTCATCCACACGGCCAAAAACGCTCAACTCATCCAATCCTCAACTCATCTAATGCTTAACTCATCTACACGGCCAAAAACGCTCAACTCATCCAATCCTTTGGAACGAGACTATTGAGTACCAGTCGTTTGAGTCCCTGGCCGTTTGAGTCCCTGGCCGTTTGAGTCTCTGGCCGTTTGAGTCTCTCGCCGTCTGAGTCTCTCGCCGTCTGAGTCTCTGGCCGTTTGAGTCTCCGGCCGTTTGAGTCTCTGGTAAGTAGGGTCCATGACCAGTTGAGTCCATGACCAGTTGAGTCCATGACCAGTTGAGTCCATGACCAGTTGAGTCCATGACCAGTTGAGTCCATGACCAGTTGAGTCTCTAGCCGGTTAAGTCCCTGGTCAGTTGAGTCCCGGCCGTTTGAGTGGTTGATTACCGCCGGTTGAGTCTTGGGCCGGTTGAGACTCAACTGACCAGGGACTCAACCGGCTAGGGACTCAACCGGCCGATATTTCAAGGATTGGATGAGTTGAGCGTTTTTGGGCGTGTGGATGAGTTAAGCATTAGATGAGTTGAGGATTGGATGAGTTGAGCATTTTTTGCCGTGTAGATGAGTTAAGCATTAGATGAGTTGAGGATTGGATGAGTTGAGCGTTTTTGGCCGTGTGGATGAGTTAAGTGTTAGATGAGTTAAGGATTGGATGAGTTGTAGGGTAGCCAGGATTTAATGCTTTCAATTATCCTCTCTTCCTTTTCATCACTTCTTTTTTTCATACAAACATACACTTTATATTAATAGTGATATATAAAGGTATTATGTAAAAGGGTACATGTATGCAGATAAGTAGAAGAAGAAAAAGAGAAAACTAAACAAAAAAGACTTGTGCATCAAGAAGATTTTAACTAAGGGAAATTTTGGGTGCTGATTATGAATTTAAGGTGGCTATCATGCCATTATTTTAACTAGCAATATGCCGATCTTTATTTAAAATTTAAAAAAATTAGAAAAATTTTCTTGGGGGAGATTTGTACTTACAAATCATCTAACTTAATGTTTTCTATTTTAATTTTCACGTTTAGCTAAGGCAAGATAGTTTAAATCTGCAAAAAATATTATTTTCTATTTTATCTATTTCAAATGTCTACAACGGCAGGAGGGGATGGTAAACCAACTACACACACAATTCCACCACCCAAAACATCTGGAGCAGCAACTGGCGGGCAACAATTAAGTGCATCTGCAAATCAATTTGTGGATAAGATTGACCCTTTTTCTAAGCGTGGAAATTCGAGACGTAGAAGGAGACTTGTTGGGAGCAGTCGGTATCATACTGACAATGAACCTGATTTGGTACAGCTTCCGTTGATTAAAGGTTATATTGAACTTTGGAAAAATTAACTTGATTCTATATATAGATGCATCGCAAGCAGAACAAACAAATTTGGCGATTCAAAAGCTTCAACAATGTCAGAAGATTTTTGATTTTTATGATCCTGTTTCACAGCTAAAGAGCAAAGAGGTAAATTTTCTTTTGGGTAAAATGATAATTTTGGGCACTCTTTTCAAATTTATGGTTTTATTTTTCCTTTATGATGCAGGATCATTGAATTCGATACCTTGTTCTGAGACCATCCTCTAGCTTCTAATCTTTTTTAGTCTAGTATCTGACTACATTAACCATTTTGTTGTGCTAGTTTGTCTTCCAATTAAAATTTTTAAAATTTAGATTAAACGAGCTGCTCTAAACGAATTAATTGACTATACAACTGCCACTAAAAATGCTGTTTGTGAGCCGCTCTATCCTGAGATTATTCGGATGGTTTCGAGAAATATCTTTCGTGTTCTGCCACCTAGTGACAATTCAGAATTTGATCCAGAAGAAGATGAACCCACTTTGGAAGTTTCATGGCCGCATCTTCAGGTATTTTTTATATTTTCTATTATTTTTATCATGTCTTTGGACATCTTATCAACAAAATGTAAAATTTCTTTATTAAAAATAGCTTGTCTACGAACTATTTTTGCGATTTCTCGAGTCTCCTGATTTTCAAGCAACACTTGGTAAAAAATATATCGACCAGCGTTTTGTGCTTCAACTTCTCGAACTTTTTGATTCTGAGGATCCTCGTGAACGTGACTTTCTCAAAACAATTTTACATCGTATTTATGGGAAATTTCTTGGACTTCGTGCTTTTATTCGAAAACAAATCAATTATATGTTTTTGTCTTTCGTGTTTGAAACAGAATCGTTTAACGGTGTTAGTGAGATGCTGGAAATTCTTGGGAGGTTTAAAAATTTTTTTGAATTTTAAAACTAATTTTTTAGTATTATTAATGGATTTGCTTTACCGCTAAAGCAGGAACACAAAATATTTTTGGTCAAAGTTTTACTTCCATTACATAAGCCTCGGTGTTTGAGTCTGTATCATGCACAGGTTTTTTTTATGAAAAGAATTTTTTAATTATTTTTAGTTGGCTTATTGTGTTGTGCAATTTATAGAAAAAGATTCTACTTTAACTCCTCAAGTGTTCGACGCATTGCTCAAATTCTGGCCTAAAACATGTAGTTCTAAAGAGGTTTTGGATTTTTTACTTAATTATTAGGTTCTATTTAAATAGCGCCTGTATTTTCTTTTCTGCTGTCTTTTCAGATTTAGCCATTTCTGGGCAATTTCTGATATTTTCGTATAAATTTTTAAAATTTTCATCTCCGGTCTACACAAATTCTGTTAAATAACTTTCTAAATGCTGTCGCTTTCCCCTTTTTTGTTTTTCCACTTACCCATACTCACAAGCACTGCTTTCTAAAATCCTTAATCATTATGTGTCACCTTTTGTAATTCTGACATGAATAAGAAGTAGGAAAAGAAATTGTGGTTGTGATCATAGCCACATTACCAAATATTTTAAAGGTTATGTTTCTTGGAGAGGTTGAAGAAATTTTGGACATTATAGAGCCTGAACAATTTAAGAAAATTATCGACCCGCTTTTTAGACAACTGGCTAAATGCGTATCAAGTCCTCATTTTCAGGTTTGAAAGTCTTAAGGTTGTTTAAAATATTTTTTAGGTTGCCGAAAGAGCACTTTACTTTTGGAATAATGAATATATTCTCTCATTAATTGAAGATTGTAGTATTCATGTCATGCCAATCATGTTCCCTGCACTTTATCGTATTAGTAAGGAACATTGGAATCAAACAATTGTAGCTCTAGTATATAATGTTCTTAAAACATTTATGGAAATGAATGGAAAATTATTTGATGAACTTACGGCTAATTACAAACTTGAAAGACAAAAGTATTTTTTACTAGTTAAAATTTATTCTTTTTTTTTAATTTTTAGAGAAAAGAAGCGTGAAAAAGATCGTGAAGAACTTTGGAAGCGAATGGATTCAATGGACATAAATTCAATATTGGCGCAAATTGAACAAGGAAAGAATGTTCCAGAGCCAAAAATTCTCGAGAAAACGTCTCTGACACTTTTTATTGAAAAAGCTCCAAATTCAATTGTTCCTCCACCGCCTGCCGCTGGGGGGAATGGTCAAGAGGCTAAAAGTGGACAACAACAAGTGAGCGGAACGAGAGAGAATCGAACATCACAGTCACAAAATCCAGAAGGAGGTAACGAGACGGTAGTTGCTTCAACAGGCGAAAATATGGCTGCAAATTCACAAACAGCCTCTAGTGGAAAGAAGTCTTGATTCAAAGTTTGGAATTGTCAATAATTTGAATCTAACAAAAAAAATTTTAGCAACAAGAGTAAAAAAAGACTTAAATATTTTCCTGCTTTGGATCAGCTTGTTTTCATTTCAATGGGTGAGGGATAAAACACAGTCCGGATATTAGAGTAAAACATACCGTCCACATAGTTATTCTTTGTTAGTCCCCCCTAATATCCCTAAAATTTTTATTTTAAATTTTATTTTGTAACTAAAACGGACATGTTTTGTCTCGACACGCCTTTCAATAGTGTGTAATCAATATATAAAATTAATTAGGGATTGGACGAAAAAATATCTTAAAGTTTAATTTGTTCATTTTTATATCAACGAGTACTTCAATCCTTAGATAAAATAAATTCCTTCTTCCTGCCGCTGCTCCTCTTTTTTATTTTTTTCTACCCAGCCTGCCAGGCCAGCACATATTAAGAATATTTAACAATATAATATTACCAACCCTCTTAAATATTTTGTTCTGCTGTTCCTGTGCCCCTCCCTCACTTTACCAAATATATAATAGGAATGATAATGTTCTCTCTCTCTTTGATTTTCCGAAGACTTGAAATATATTTTTGTTTTTTACTGCATGTCCACCACAAACTCATTACTCCAGACTTTGTCAAATATTGTCTAAATAAATTTTTTAAATATTGATTTTATTGTTTTGTTAATTTTTAAGTAAGGGGAATTTCATTTATAAAAAGGGGATAGGAATTTTAGATTTTAAAGTATACGAAACTAAAATAGTGCCCTTTAGAGGGGGTTGAAAAATAGTACTGCCGGCAGTACTTTGAGGAAATACGGCTATCAAGCCTTACACGACAGCGAATATCTTCTCCAAAAAGGAGAATACAGTTTTATCAATTTCTAATTGATATAAGAATCTGGCAATAATCTTTATTCAACACTTGGAATATAAAGAATTTACTAATTTAATATATTCGAAGTATTTTTTTATTTTTACTTGAAATACAATTACAAATTTGTAGAAAAATCAAACCAGTGTTAAAAAGAAAAAAAATGTTTAAAAGTTCAGTGAAAACGCCCCCATAATTAAATATAAACCCTCTATAAATGACAATGAACTTTAAAACTTGAAAGAGATAAAATAAAAATTATGTTTCCTCTTCCCCCTCTTCCTTAACATTAATACCAATACTGGCTGGTTGTTGGCCTGTATTGATAATTGGTTCAGTATTGGTAATACTTTTATTAATAGAAGCATTACTATTTAGTAAAACAACAACATCATCGTCATCATCTAATATACTATCGTCATAATCTTGTTTAATTTGGGATGATGGATGTTTCTTGTTTGTAGCAATTTTCTCCAAGTGTTCAATTTTCTTTGAGAAATTTTCGACCTCGGAGTTGTGAAATTTTCTTATTGAATCAAGTAAAAGTCGAAGATCAGTCTGAAAAAGAAATAATTAAAATAAGGAAATTAAATATTTTAAACAAAAGGGGAATCTGAAAACAGAAGGATCCGCCCAGAGGGAAAATCGGGATAATTCCTTCTCCAAACTAAATAGGAAAAAAGGACCCCCTATTTGATCTAAATTAATTATTCCCCCCATTACTTCAATTCATTAAATGCTTATTAAATTATACAAAACAATTTTAAAAAAGTTAAGATAAAATTAAAAATATGTAAAACAAAAGGAAGATTTCTTTAAAAAAAGCGAAAAATACTCTTGGGAATTAAAAAATATTTCAAAGAAATAAACAATCTCTGCTTGAAAAAAAGCGTCTCAAACATTAAAATATTTTTACGTTTTTATTTCCAAGTTTATTTTTCCCGTTTTTTAATATGTTGTTCTCTCAACTATACAAACAATTATTTACACAAAGATTAGTCAGCAAAAAAAGAAATTTTTGGAGAGAAAATAGGCCCTTTTTTAAACAAAACTAAAAAGTATTTTTTAAATACAAAACTTGATTTGTTTGATTTTTTATATGGCAATATTAGTAGGTATTTTTATGACAATAAATAAAAATAATCAAATATTCTCTCTTCCCTCTTACATTTACAAACCTCAAAAAATTATTTTTTTTAATAAAAATATTTCTCTAAAAAATGCAAAATAACAAAATAATTATTGTTATTTTAATTTTATTTTCATTAAATTATGTAAATTCACAACAAGCTTATTGTTGGGATTTAAATCCTTGTATTGAATTTAATTGCCCACAAATTGGACCGAGGTTAGAATTATTTTGTATTTATTTAAAATATATAGATTATGTCCACCCGAAAATGTATTAATTTATTATGATTGTTGCCCAACTGATGGATGCTGCCCATTCATTAAATGGCCAAATTTGTATGTTTAATTAAAATCGTGTTAAAGTGACCGTTACTAGACATTAAAAAAGGGGTTTAGCATTTAGGGATTTTTCTCAGAATCTCAAAAATAAAAAAAATGGGGCTAAAAGTCAAAATAAATTACTAAGATGGTCACCTTTTAACACCCAATTACCCAAAAACTAAAAACATTTTCACAACAATCATTAATTTTTTTAATTTTAAAAACCAGATTATTTCTAATTTTTATAATTATTCTCTTAATTGCTGGCTGTATTTGTTGTGGATTCTTTTTATTAACCGATGCCAGACAAAAAGTATTTCACAGAAAACAAAGAGAGGAAATAAATAATCAAAGAATTAAAAGAGAAACAGGAAGATATATTAATGGATTTAATCACAAAAATCATTCAACAACTATTGTTTAAATATTTAAAAAAATTCCTAATTTTAACACCAAAAACAAAAAGTATATTATTTAGGAATTCTACAGCAAAGTATAAAAAAGTCTTGATTTTTGATAATTCTTTTCCTAACATTTTTCCATGGATTGAGGAAAAAAGATGGGGGGGGGATGGGGGGGGGGTGAAAGGATATAGATATTGATAATATTCTACTTATAGTTAATATAAACTGGTTTAATTTATATATGCGTAAACAAAAATGAAAACAAATTGAATCTTGATGAATAGGGACTACTACTAGGAAAAGAGAATTTTTGTGTACAAATATTGTCTCCGTTTTCGTAAAAAAGAATAAAAATTGTAAACAAACTTCTTTGCCTATACAAAAATCCAAAAAACTTACAGAATGTCTATCCACATTATCCTTTTCTGCTTTCGAAATCCCCATAACCATTGGTTGTTGCTGCTGTTGTTGTTGTTGTCTAATTTTTGTTATTTCTGTTTCGTGTTTTGCCCGAATGTCAGCAATTATTTTTTGCCAATTTTCAGCATTTTGTTTTTGCCTTTCTTCCATTTCTGTTTTTTCTTTAATCCAAATACGCTCCCTCATTTCAAACATATTAATCCTTGTTGCATAATTTCTAAATTAATTTTAAACAAAATATTTCAAAAAATCTTTTAACCTTAAAATTTATTTTCCTATTAATTAGTCCAAAAAAATCATTTTAAAAATCATTCCACATTAAATATAATTTAATCTAAAATTTCCCATTTTCCCCCCAAAAATTAAACAAAAAACCTATTCTTTTCATTTATTGCATCAAAATTTGCCTCCATTTCTTCATAACGAGGTTTAATTCGTTTTAATTCATCTTCATAAATTGTAGCTCTTGAAAAATTAGAAAAATTTTAATTTTATTTAAAAAAATTAAAAAAAAACTTTTCTCGAAATTCTTTAGATCCATCAAGTAAATCAACACATTTTTTAGAAAGTGTAGAATTTCTTTCATTTAAAAACGTCACTTGTTCACTTAACATTCTCGAATTATTTTCTGAAGCATCCAATTTTGCTTTTAATTCATCTCTTTCAGAAACTAGAGCAACTTTTTCTTGTTGAAGTGTTTCTACTCCAATCTCTAATGTTTTCATTACCTAAAAGAAAATAAAAGTTAAAATTTGAAGACAATCAAAAAATTGAAGGTAATGACTAAATTTGACAAATAAGGCAACAAATTTAATAAAAAGGCTTATTTAGGACAAAAAACAGAGATTTACGTCTCTATGGGCCCCTATCCTAAATTTATCTTTTTAATAAAAAAAGTCAGATAGAATAATCATTTAAAATTACCACCCCCCTCCAACAAACCTCAACAATTTCAGCATTCCTTTTAACAACAGCATTATATTCCCTTTGTAATGTCAAAAGTCTACTTTCCGCATAAGATTTAGCAGTGTTTGTGTTTGAAAGTTCAGTCTCCAAACGAATTACTTGAGATTGAGCAGCAGCAAGTTGTAAACTTAAAGACTCATTTCGAGATTCAAAACCTAACGAAGATGAAGAATTTGGTTTTTGGGCAGAAGTAGAATTGCTTCCTCCATGTAAATAATTTAAATTTGTTGAATGTCTAAAAAAGAAAAAGAGTATTCCTTTCTAATTATTTTATTTTAATTAAGGCAAGGGCAAAAAGGGCTAATCGAAATAGAGAGAAATTAGGGGCTACCTAAACGATACTTGCCAAAAATCTTATCAGAATAATTTATTTATATAAAAATTACCTTGATTCTTCTTTTCCGTCTTTTTTACTACTTTTGTGGTATTTTGAAGGAATTGGAATTTTTCTTACATCATCATATCTTCTGCCATTACTAATTGATGAAGATCCTTGATAGCTCATTTAATTAAAAAAAAGATTTAAATTTAAATGTAAAATCTGAAAAATAAAAAATCAAAAGAAATGAAGAAATTAAAGATTTAAATAAAATTTGGCGTCGGCGAGACTTTTGTGTAAGATCACGCCGAACCGCGCCACGCCAAATTGCTGGCGCCCAAACGTGGCGCACCCTTTTGTGGTGCTCCTCAGAAAAAAGATTTTCCGAGTCCGAAACGTTACACATTTTGAACCTACTTTATTAAATGAATCTGTCAATATATTTTTTCTTTTTCAGTCAATATTCGAACAAATTATGGGTAGCAATTCGAATTATACGCCGCTTGGACAAATTAGAAGATGGCCAAAAAACGAAGAGGAGACTTTAGGTCAGCAAAGCACTTCTGCTGGATTGTTAGCACCAATTCCTGGAGAACAAATTGGTTTTTGTTTTATTTTTATTTTACTCAAAATCTTTTTTTAAAGGCATTCAAGGAGAGATTTTGGTCCGTGCTCAATTAGCTACGGGTGCCTGTACAAAATGTGGGTATGTTGGCCATTTGCCTTTTCAATGCCGTAATTTTATCCAAATAAAGCCAAACCAAAAAACGGAAATTGATATTTCTTCAACAAGTTCTGAGGAATACACAACACCTTTGACATCAAAAGAAGGTACTTATATTTTAATTATTTTGGAAATTTTTAAAATTTAAGACAAGAAAAAGCTCAAAAAAATGAAAAAACGTCAAAAGAAGGAAATGAAAAAATTGGAGAAAAAAATAAAAAAAGAAAATAAAAAGAAATATAGAAAGAGAAAACATTCATCTTCTTCTTCAGATACTAGCAGTAATTCAACAAGTTCAGAAAAAAGTAGAAAGAGGCACAAGAAAAAATCAAAGAAAAAGAAATATTTGTAAAAGTTTGTTTGAATTTTTATAAAAATTTTTTTGGAATTTATTTTATATTTTGAGATTTTTGGAAATTATAGATAACAAATTTAATATCAGATTTAAGTTTAGTATACTTGGAAAATGAAAAAAAAACCTATAATTTATTTACAAAAAGTTTAAATAATTTTTTTGAAATATTTAAATGTTTGTTAAATAATAGTAAGAAATTACTAATTTAAAATAAAAACTTAACAACAAATTTAATAAAATAGCAATATTTATTTGAATAAAAATCATAACAAATTAAACCGAAAGAATCATCAAAGAAATTTTTTTCAATTTATTCAAAATCATCAAATCTTTAACGACTAAATAAAATATTTTGGTCAAAATTACTTCGAGCAGAAACTCCTCGGCCGCGTCCCTACAAACAAAATTAAAATTTATTTTGATTTTTATAACTTCGCATCCTTTCCTTCCCCCTCAAAAGTTTAATAATGGCCGACTTTTTCCTTCCTAAATCTCAATCCATTTCCATAGGACATCCTCAAATAAGGATGTTATTCATTCAGAGACCCCTTTTTTACTTAAAAAATTCGAATCATAAAATTTAAAATTACATAAATTTCTGCAGAAATATTTAAAATTTTTGGGATTTTCTTTAATAGTAATTTCAATTTAAAAAACTTAAACAAATTTACCAAATTTCCCCTTCCTCTACCAGCCGTTTGATTTGAAGAATTAGAAACAAGCCCACTCAACAAATTACTTCCACTCGTACTCGATGAAGTTGAAGGCTGCTGACTTTGTTCTTCCATCAATCTTTTACTTCGAGAAACATAAACCTTTTTACCCCTTCCAACAGCATATTTTGAACTTTTAAGTCTTTCTCTCTAAAAAATTTTGGTTTTTTTAAATTAATTTTTAGAAAATTTTAACCTCTTCTTCTAATTTTTCCCATTCATCTTCAATTCCAAATCGTTTTTTGTAGCGTTTAGCAAGAATTCTATCGGCATTTGGGCATTCACTGCTGCTGGTATTGTTTCTCATACGAATCTTTCTAAATTTTTTAGAGTTAAACATTTATTGGTACAATAACGAATTTAATGCCCCCTTATATTTTTTCTCAAAATATTCATAATAGGCAGACTTCCCCAATTCCACTAATGGATTTCCCTTTGGCATATTCAAAATTGTTTTTTTTTACAATTTTTGGAATCATGTTTCTCTTTAATATTTATACTTGTGAGCGTAATTCTTTTGTCAGCTTCAGATAACGACGCTGGAGGTCAACTCACTTTCGGTCAAGTGACCCTGGAGGTCAACTCCAAATACTTGGGCGGATAATATTTGGAGTTGAAAATCAAGGTACGACTCTCCAAATATTTGGAGTTGACCTTCAGGGTCTGTTGAACACTGGGGAGTTGATCTCTAATACGGATGGAGCCATCTAATCTCGTATTCCCAGAACTGTCAATTTGGGGCAGATTTAAACAAATCCTCTAAAATCTATCTGTGACGATTTTTTGGGACTAATATTAAAACAATAAACAAATAAATACCTATTTCTCTCCAATTCCAAAAAAGATGCCGCTTGCTCCCGATGAATTGCAGTTCTTTTGTCAGCTTCAGATAGCGGATAATGATAGGTTGTTACCCCATCAGAATTGTCAATCTCAATAAATTCTTTCATGTGTTCCGAGCGTAAAAACTCTTGAAAAGAATTGAATCCAAACTTCTGAGCTAATTTGAAAGGATCGATGCCGCTGTCTTCACTGAAAATTAAAAAACATTTTAGAATCTTATATGTCAGAATCTTCACCCCCGCCCCCCCTCCAATTAAATCTCTCAAATGCTAGTCATTTGAAAACTTACAAAATATGCAGTCCCAAATCCCAATCTCGAATATACCCAATTTCATTTGCCTTCAACGTCTTAAAAATCTTTTGACAAAAATCTTTTATTTCTCCACCAAAATCCACATGTTGTTCATTACTTCCACCAGAACTTAAAGTAAAATTTTGCAAATTAAACAAAGTTTGCTCCTCAACCATTTTTTAATAACTAAATAAAATTTCTACAGAAATAGTATTCCCCAATCAAAAATACACATAACAAAACATTAAAATAATTTTGAGATAAAACACAAAATAATCTCTTTTCTGATCCAAATTTAAATGTAAAAAATTAGAAAATTAATGTACGACCGTTTTGTCGCGGGTACAGCCCAAAACTGCGCAGGCCAAAACTGCGCAAGCCCAAAACTACGCAGGCCAAAACTGCGCAAAACTATTTAGTAAAAATAAATAAAGGAAAAAAATAAAGAAAAACATTCTCATAACGAACAAGTTCAGCTACATATACGCAGAGTAGTTAAACGGATTCGACTCCGGCACAAGATGCACCACAAAATAATGAAAGTCGCGCTGTTTTGATAATTCCTCAGAAATACCAACGTTATGAATATAAACCTGGAAAGAAGATGAGCAAAGAATACTTGTTTTTGGTCGAGAAAGTTCCGAAGGTTTTTCTGAAGGTTTTTAGACTAACTAGTTAAAGGAAACTAACTAGTCTCTTTATTAAGCTTGGACACATCTTATTGAAGACTAACTAGTTAAATTTAAACTTATTGTTAGGTTATAAAACTATGTTTTTTTCCTAGTTTATTATCCTGGTTATTGAATTTTTTGTTAGAATGTTTTACATTTAATAAATTTTGATGAACACCGAATTTTAAAAACGGAAGGCGGAACAGCAAAAAAAGACGGAAAGCAACGGAAGAGACTCCATCCTCTAGTTAGTTTTGCGCAGTTTTGGCCTGCGCAGTTTTGGGCTTGCGCAGTTTTGGCCTGCGTAGTTTCGGTCGCGCAGTTTCGGTCGCGCAGTTTTGGCTCGCGCAGTTTTGGGCGTGTCCCTTTTGTCGCAAATCACAGCATCTTAACCTGTTACTTTTAGCCGTTTCAGTGGCACTGAAATAAATAAAAATACTGTATCTTTTTCTTTTCCCCACTATTTTTTTCGCGTGCTATTTTCTAAAGATTTGGGGGTTGCAATTTCGAGAAGCTTAATCTCGAAAGAACTCCTTTTAAAAAAAATTTTGTCCAACCCAAATAATGAAACGGTGTCTTATAATGAAACGGTGAAACGGTGTCTCTTAACTTTGTTTTAAAACCAAATTTATTAATTCTTGGAATGGGAAAAATTTTTTTTGAATGGCCAAATACACCAGTTTTAAAAAGTGAAAAATTAAAATAAAAATTTATTTAAAAAATTCATTTTACTTTAAAATGACATTAAATGTCAATTATCCAAGATATTATTGGGATTTACACTTTATATAAGTCATAATGATCGATTGGGTTCGAACCTTACACTTAAAGTGGGCGCGCTACCAACTAAGCCACAAGTACCGCGATGAAAGTCAAGTAACAGCGTCTGCCTATTTTAAGATGCTGTGCGCAAAGGCTGAATGTATTACTGTAGTACTTTTTAAAGTTTAATATAAAGTTAAAGTTTAACAAATTTCTAAATATAGTTCAAAAATATATATCAACCCGATTCCTAACTAAAACCCCTTTTGTATTAATGAACAATAAGTTTGGCATTTAAGTCTCTCAAATAATTATCCTCCCAATTCTTTACTATAGACTAATTATAAAAATTTAATTTAAAAAATAATTAAAATTTTTAACAATGCAATATTTATCACCATAAAATGCAATATTTTATGGTGATCAAGAAATATATCGAGGCATTTCTTCAAAACCTTAATCCTCCTATATCTCTCCAAATCTAGTGATATCCCCTAGATTCCTTAAAATAATTTGCGAAAGTTTACTGCCTTTATATATCCCAAGAAGGAAGTATACAATTTTCTAAAATAAAACCACTTTATATAGGAATATATTAAGTGAAACTTCAACAATTATCTCTGCATTAGGTAGCATTTTGTATATCCCCTATAGATAAATGATAAAATAAAAAATATATAGCTAAGCCCTCTCAAATAATTACCCTCTACAACGAGCTGTTGAAACATAATTACCCAGGGCAATTATTCGAGTATATTCGGCACTTATATTTGTTATCTTTTTAATAGTTTATTTCTTCTTATCTTTCTTCATTTTTCTTTCAAATTAGAAAAAAAACATTTTTTTCATTAAATAATAAAGAGAAATAATTATTTTATTCATACTTACATATTTATATTTTTTTTTGGAATTTTCTTTTAATTTTTACATCAATTTAAATATTAGGTAAATTTTATATACTTAAATACATCTTTTAAAAAAATTTATGTTCAGTTTTTTTAAAGTAATACAGATATATTATTTTTTTGGAGTTTTTCCTAGGGTTGTACCCCGAACGCTCGGGGGCGGGTATGTCGGGGTACGGGGTTTTCCAATTGTTTCGGGGCGGGGTTCGGGTCGGGGGAGCAAAATATGGCCGGGGTTCGGGTCGGGGTACGGGGGTTTAGTGGAAAAATTTTTAGAGAAAAAAATGCTCAAAAATAATTAGAAATCGATATATTTTCGCTGATTTATTCATAAATTAAGTAGGATTTGGAGAAATTAGAGGGGATTTGAAGGGATATAAGTGTATAACTTGGGATATAAGTGGATCTGGAGGGATTAAGTGGGATTTTTAGGGATTAAATGGTATATCTAGGGATATAAGGTGATTTGGAGTGATTTTTGTTAGTTAAAGGGATATTAGTGATTTATAAGGATTTGATGTATTGCGGATAAGGGTATTTGGACGGATATCGGGAGATATCTTCAATTAATCCTTAAATCTCCCACGAAATCCATGGTAATTCATCTACATATATCCGTTAAATTCGCGTAATACTTTTAAATCCATTTTAATTTAAACCTTAGATCCCTTTGAAGCGATTAGGTGTGTTATTGAAGCGATTAGGTGTGTTATTTTTTGATGTACCTAATCGCCTGGACACAGCGATTAGGTACATCAATTTCTCAGTGACATTGAATAATATCGGCGGATATATGCGGATTCGTAAGATTATGAGTTTGAAAAGATTAAGGGGGATATCAGTGTTTTTGAAGGATATCTAGGGAATTTGACACATACAAGTGTATTAACTGGTCGGGAGTTCAAGATGGATATAGTGGTAAATTTAGATATCTACCCTTAATCGATTAAATCCCCTTATACTCCTCAATATCACTCCAAATTAACTAATATCCTTCTTGATTTTCCTCAATACCCCTTATTTTATGTCACTTGTGTTTAAATGTCCCGAAATTTGCTCAATTTTATAATAATTTGGATATTTTTTGAGAGCTTTTAATAATTAAATTTTTTGAAAATCCGGGTCGGATCAGGCATTTTTCAGATAACGAACTCAAATTGATTTAGAATTTTGAAATAAATTTTCTTATGATAAATGAAAAAAAGGGTTGTAAAATAGTACTCCCCCCTGAATTAGTACTCCCCCCTTAAATAGTACTCCCCTTTGGAGGAGAGTTGAAAAATAGTACTCCCGGGAGTACTATTTTAGGAAATACGGTATCTGCTAAAACCAACGACTAAGCCACTCAACCACAAGTCTCTTAATAAAGAAGGAAAGAAAATTATGATATTTCATTCATTTTTCTTTCAAGAATAATAAAAGCAAAGTAAAATGGGTGGAAATTTTTTAAATCTTCTTCATTAATTTCTCCAAAAAATGACATTTTTTAGGGGTATAAAACCCCGAAACCCCGAAACTTTTTGGGCCGGGGAACGGGGTTTTCACTTTTTTTCGGGGCGGGGTTCGGGTCGGGGAGAATCGTGAAAAAATCGTTCGGGAACGGGGTCGGGGTTCGGGGTACGGGGTCGGGGTACAACTCTAGTTTTTCCTTTAAACAAACAAAATATTTTAATTTTTATCTACATAATTACCTAGTACAATAAAAATTGTTTTAATAATTCAAGTTAATTTTAGATATTAAAAAAATGAAATTAATTAATTATTTAATTCTAATTTTTATATTAAATAATTTTGTTGTTTTATCTGATAAAGAAAAAATATTTTTAATAAAAGAATTGCCAGAAGAGAGTTTAACAACTGTAAGAAAATTTATATTTATTTTTTAAATAAATAAATTAGCCAGAAATAATTGAATATTATGGATATAAATGTGAAATACACAAAGTTTTAACTGAAGACGAGTATATTTTAGAAATGCACAGAATTCCTTTTGGAAGGAATTTTAAAGGAATAAATAAAAAACCAGTTATTTTTCTTCAACATGGATTATTGGCATCTAGTGCTGACTGGGCAAGTTTACTTTAAATCCTCTCCTAACCCGTTTACACTTAAGATTTAAATATTCTCCAAACTAAGTTCCCTTCCCTCATATACCTTCTCGTTAACCAACTTATACTACCTAATTCCTTCAAAACCCCTTCAGATATTTTTTCCCATTTCCTCCTATATTTCCTCTCGTCCATAATTCTTATCAATATTCTTTTAACAACTTCCCTCACAGATAACTAATTTGCCCTATCAATCATTGGGATTTTTGTTAGCAGATGCTGGCTTTGATGTCTGGCTTGGAAATGTTCGTGGCAATTTTTATTCGTCAAAACACAAAAAATATACACGAAAAGACCCCCAATATTGGAATTTTAGGTAAATAATTAATTAAAAATTCTTTCAATAAATAGATAGTTGGGACGAAATGTCATCTAAAGATTTGCCAGCAATGATAGACAAAGCTTTAAAAGTTAGTGGACAATCAAAATTATATTATGTTGGACATAGTCAAGGGACAGAAATTATGTTTACACAATTGTCTAATGGAAATCCTGACTTCTCAAAAAAGGCAAAATTTATTCCTTCTTTTACATATTTTCCCTCTTTTTTCCTTTTATTCTTCCCCCTTTTTTATTAGATAATCAAATTTTTTGCATTAGCACCTGTTGCTTCTGTCAAATACATTAAGGGGTTATTTGCAATAATTGGTAAATTATTTGGTAAACATTTGGGAATTCTTAGTTGGCTATTTGGTTCACATGAATTTCTTCCACATAATTGGGCAACACAATTATTTGCAAAAATGATCTGTGGGCAAAGCTGGGAAAACCCGTTTTGTGATAATATTCTTTTTCTTATTGGTGGACCTGAAACTTCTCAATTTAATAGGGTAATTTGATCGGGGATTTTTTTTGTTACAGATTAAGTTCGAAAAGTATTTGAGCCTTTAATTTAAGTTGAAAATTAGAAATTTCGATTTTCTCATAATTAGAAAATACCGTTATTTTTTCAAGCCTCATGGGATCTATTTGAAAAAATATGGTAATCTTAAATTTTTATTATATTCTGAGTCAAGGACATATAAATTCAGATTTTTAGCTTAAACTTTTAGGCCATTTAAATTTAATCGTTTTTATTTAGAACATAAATATTTAAATATTCCAAACACTATTTTAGAGTCGTTTAATGGTTTATATGGCACATGAACCCGCTGGAACTTCAACAAAAAATATTATCCACTGGGTAAAATTAATAATATAAATTTACTAAAAAATCTTTAATTTTCTAGTCACAAATGCAACAATCTGGTTTTGTTCAAAAATTTAATTACGGAACAGCAAAAGCTAATTATTTACATTATGGACAAGTAAAGAGGGAAAGAGAGAATATTTAATTAATTAAAAAATATATTTAGAATACTCCACCAATCTACAATTTAACTAAAATATCCCATGTCCCAATTTATTTATATTATAGTGATTCTGATTGGTTAGCAACTAAAAAAGATGTTGAGGTAAATTGAGATCAATTAAAAAAAATTTTTTTTAAAAAGGAAACAATTCTTCAACAAATTCCATCAAAATATATTAAAATTGCAAAGAATTTACCCAATTTTAATCATTTTGATTTTATTTGGGGTATTAATGCACATAAAATAATTTATGATGAAATTATAAAAGAAGCTTTAAAGGAGGAATAATTGAATATTTTTGGGATGTAAATACTGAATGAGACCAATTTTAGTTATTTTATACAGTCAGACCTCTTTTTAACGTTAATTAAATACCAAATACACTCTTTTTACAAGTGAGGTCCGACTGTAGACTTTAAATTTTTAAACTATCAATCTTTAGGAAATTATTATTATCTCAAATAATCCCTTACATTTTAAAGTAATGTCCTTGCATAATTGTTTACTGAGAATTTTCATTTTTTAAAATAAATAAAATTAAAAGAAATTAGTTTATTATGTATTTTAAAAGATTATTATTTTGTAATTAAAAATAGTTTTTTAATATATTATTTAATTTATTTTATTATTATCAAAATCAACACTTTCCTCAATACTTTCTTCAAACCAACGCATAATATTAATAGCAAAATCAGCTCCAACTTCTACTTCTTCCAATGGATGATTTGAATTTGGATAAGAGAGTACTCTAAAATATTTAAAAATTAAAAGAAAATTTAAATTCTATGGATTTTCTTTTTCCACTAAATTTTAATTTTATAAGAAAGTGTTATAAACTAACACTAACCCCCCTAAATAGTTTATTTAAATTTAATAACTAATTAAATTTAAACATACTTGCATTTAACTTTATTTGCTTGTAAACAACGAATAAAAATTTTATAATGTGGTGCAACGCGTAAATCCTTTTCCCCAATAAGTAACAAATAAGGCGTTTTTATTTTATGAACATGTGCAATTGGAGAACTATTAAACATTGAATTTCTTTGTTCTTCAGTGAGTGGAGATTTGTAATTATTTGGAAAAACTCCAGTGCTTTCAAAAATTGCCCTAAAAAATATTTTTATAAAATAAAATTCAAAAACAAACCAATCAGTAATATCTGTTAAACTATGCATTGACAAAATATCAAGTACTGGATTGAGTGCAACACATGCACGAAAGAAATTCTTAAATATTAAATAATATAATAGGAGTTTGTTTTAAATATCCCTCGAGATTGAGATATCTTAAATCGAGCTTTTATGGGTGAATTTCTTAAAGATATTCACATAAATTTAAAAAAATCTAACCGGATATTGCCCAATCAAATGTGAAACTAAAAACCCTCCATGTGAACCACCAAAAAGCATAACTCGATTTCGATCAAAATTTGGTGAAGAATCTAATGTTGCACAAGTAGCATGCTTTAAAATTAATTTAAATATTTTTAATTTTACAAAAAAAAATACATAAACATCCTTCACATCCAAATCACCACAATTTCCAGGTAAGGAACGTACAAAACTATCTCCATAACCAAGTGAACCATGATATTGAACAAAAAGTATTGCATATCCATTTTGTAACATAAGTAAAACTTCTCGACGAGGCCAACTATTTAAATTTAAAAAAACATAAAAATTTTATAAAATAGTAGAATACAAGTTTTTTTACCTACAAAGCGAAGAATTATGAGGACCTCCATGTGGAAGAACAACTAATCCAATTTTTTGGTTATTTTCAGTGGATGGCTGAATTAAAATTCCTTCATATGGACGATTCTCTAAAAAATAGTAAAAAATTAGAATTAAAAGTTTCTAAAAAATTTCTTATTTTTACCTTCTCGCATAAATTTTACAACACGCCAATCCCAATTAATTTTAATTAAATCATCAGGAATTTGTTTTGATTGAAGAGGAATTATGTCATTTAAATAATTGCTGTCGTCACCTTTATTTTCAAAATGTGAAAGGTAAAGTGAAGGGGGAGAATTTGGAGAATCATTAGAAAAAAGAAGAAAATCATCAAAAACATCCAAAAGTTTATAAGAGCCTTTAGATGGCAATTTAAGTTGGACAAGTTTGGAACTTTTCAAATTCAATGCCATTATAACCTATAAATAAACAAAATATAATCGTGTAACTGGCAAGTAAGAGTCATTTATTAAGAACAGGAACTCGAAATGAAATTATTCAAAATCAGTTTTCGATTCAACTCCGACAACCAAGAAATTTGCTAACTATTTAAAAAAACTTGCCGTTTTAGAACGTGAAAGACTTGTGAAAAAGAAAATTTGTCCAGTACTGTCCCATGCACGGTTAGATACATATTGACCAAAAATACCAACAAAAGAATTCTCATTTGTTAGATAATCAACAATTGGCACAACAATTTCTGAAATTTTGTCACAAGAATTCCAATCAATCTTAAAATAAATTAAAAATATTTTTTTAATTTAAAAAAAACTTTGCAAAGTGCAAAACAAGCAGAATGAGGGCCACCAGCCTTTCTTGCAAAGAAAATCAAATAACTGCCATCAGGAGAAAATGAAAGTTGGTTGAAAGAAGCGAAATTATTTTTTAAACATTCATCTTGGGGGTTCGTTATTAATTGAATAAGTTGTTTTGTGTTGAAATTAAAAGTATAAAGTTTTCCTCTAAATTTTAAAAATATTTTAATAAGTTTTTATTTTTTTAAAAGAATTATAGTTTGAATAAAAGAGAAATTTAATAGAAATAATTTTCTAAAATAATATCAATCAAAAAATTCTCTTTTAAAAAAGGCTGAATAATTCAAATTATAAAAATTAAAACCTACGGTCTATTATCACAAAATATCCGTCCAAGTTTAAAAGGTTCATTGTCTAGACCAAAGAAAACAATTGAAGAATTATCTGGACACCAAACAATCTAAAAAAAACAATTCCTTTTCTAAAAATAATTAAAATTAGATACAGATTCAGGAGTAATTTTATCCATCCATTCTTCATCAAAAATATCAATTTTCTCTTCATTAATATCCAAAACAGAAATAATAGGTCGCTTCACTTCAACACACTGTTCACCCCAACTTTCAACTACCTTAAATTTATCGCCCTAAAATAAAAAAAAATTTGAAAGAATAAATTTAGTTTAAATAACAATTTTTAATTTAGCCAATTTTTCTGTATCATTCCATTCCAAGTCAGCATCATAAAATTCTGCAGGTTTTTCTTGACGTTCTGCCAGATAGAGTAGTTTATCTTCATTAGGAGACCATTTGAATACACCAAATACAGAATCTAAAAAATAAAAAGAATGTAGTAGTAGACTAGAAGATATCAGTAACCAGAAAAAAAGGTATAAATCCCCAATTTCAAGAAACTTATATTCTTTAAAAATTATTTCTTTTAGCACTCGCTTCAATAAAGCTTCTGGGTATTTACTCATCAAAACAACTAAATAAACCTTTAATAACAACCCCATGCTTCTTCATCCCAGTGACATTAATACAAAGAAGACAAGCACCAGTTTGATTATCTGTAATCTAAAATTTAAATGAACATTTTTATTAAAAAAATAAAATACTCGAAAAAATTGCTTTCGATCACTGCCATTTCCATCCTTTATTTCAAACAACGTCGCTGTTTTGCGTCCTGACGGACATACAGAAATTATTGAAGATCTAAATATTTATTAAAATATTTAATAATATCCTTACTCTGTAGTGTCATCAGGTAAAGCAAAGCTGTCCAGCTTATCTATTTTCTTAGTTCCATGATTATATTTAAAAGACGATACACGATGTTTACGAACAGTTTTTTTCATTTGTTGTGCACGGTCGGACCAAATACTGTTAACCTGAAGAATTAATAAGCTAATTTACTAAGAAAGTTACTTGAATGATATCAGAATCCGTTCTCCATATACGACCATAAAATGCAAGAGGAATACGCGAAGCTCGATCATATAGATTAATCCAGTTTGGAAGTTTTGTAAAATTGGAAGACATTTACAAAAATATAAACAAATAATCTAGTCCAAACAAAAGAATTTGCAAAAAAAACGTTTTTAAGTAGATTTAAAAATATTTGAAAATATTCCTAATAGGCATATTTAACTACCCGCTTTTAAACATTTTACTCGAAATTTTAAAATTTTGTTACTTTACTAATTGTTTAAAATTTATAGTCCCAAAAGTACAGAAATAAGGTGAATATTTAAAAAAATCAAATAGTCAAAAATAAACAAAAAATAAATCATGAGGAGAATGTTAAATAATTTTTTGAGATCGTCTAATTCTTATTTGTTAGGTTGCTTTTTCTTCTTATTGGTAATAACAAAATCATCATCATCGTCGTCATCCTCTATTATCTGGCGCCGTTTTTCTTTCTTCTTCTTAACAACTACTTCAGGTTCATCATCGTCGTCGACTATTTGTCGACGTTTCTCTTTCTTCTTGACAATAAAATCAGAATCCGAATCACTATCATCTTTTACTTGACGCTTTTTAATCTTTTCCATCTTCATTTTTGGTTTGATTTTTCCAGCATTTGCTTCTTTATTTTCCTTATCTTCCTAAAATTATAATTTTAGAAAAAATTTTAATTCAAGGGAATTTAAGAAAAATATTTTGTTAAATACACAACCTGTGCATCCAAAGCATCCAAAAATGTTTTCAAGTCTTCCTCGTATAAATCAAACCATTCCTTTCCTTTCAAAATATTCAATTCGTTCTTTTTTGCTTCACTTTCAGCAAGTAATTTATCTTTGTCTTCCATAGATAATTTCCAAATAGCCATTCCAACTAAATAATCATAGTCAGAAACCTTCTTTTCAAGTTCGACGTTGACAGCTTCATTTTCTTCAGCCTCGTCCTAAAAGTAAAAAATAGTTTAATGATTTGGTGAGGATGAAGTTATGATCGACTAAAATTGTCTCAAGAAACTCAAGAAAATTCGTCATGGAATCCGAAAATCTAATGTCAAACTTGCTATACGCAGGCTACGCAAATTAATCCCCTAATTAATTTACAATTACTATCAATATAGATCAATTCCACCCAGGTAATTAAATCTTTATAAAAATATTACCTCTTCCTCATCTTCGGTAAGATTCGCTTCCCCACACATTTCCAATTCCTTACGTTTTTGTTCATCTTTCCACTGCTTTACAGGATCTGGTTTGAACTTGTTTTTTTGCAATTGTTCGATAATTGCAGACTTTCTTTTGTTTTCAATGTAGATTTCGCCATTTATTTTCATCATAATAAAGCGAGCCTTTTCACTTAATTGATTACTTTGTGCTTGCAACATTCCTTCAAGATATGCCTTCCTCTTCTTATACAATTCCCTTCTACAGTCAAAGAATTCTTGGCATATTTGTTCAGGAGTTTCAAATTTACGTAGACAACCTGCTGCATCAAACAAAACCTTTAAAATTTTTAAATTAAAAAAAAAGAATAAAAATAAATAACCATGTTCGAAGTATTAATACTTGATTTAAGCGAGAACACATCGTACAATCCTTTTTGTTCTGCTTTTGCCATGTCATCTGGTTTTAATCTACAAATAAAGTGCACAGTAGTGTCTGTATGATATTCTTTATAGTCTTGAAGTAGTTGCGGTTTATTCTTCTCTGAGCCATCAAACATTGGTTCAATAATTTTCTCTTTGTAAGTTTGTGTCCAAGTTTTGACAGGAAGTTCAGTAATTTCAACTGTGCCATTCTCAATAACATTAATAATGCCACGAGATTCAAATTTGCCGTTATTGTTGCTACCAACTATTTCACCAGTAAAACCTTTATACCATGGAATCTGAAAAGAAGTAAAAAATTAAAATTACACAACCATTAACTTTAAAATTTAACAAAACAAATTTACTAGAAGATAAACTTTTAGCCGATTCCGTACTTATTTTTGTTAGGACTTATCAGACAAACTACAAACAAAAATATCCCGGACACTCAAGAATCAAGAAATGACAATGATACATTCAAAAACAAAAATTATTAACCATAGGCTGAAGAGGCTCTCCTTTGATCAAACGACGCATTTGGTCGACCAATTCACGAGGATTGTAATTTGGAACTACTGTAGACCATCCAGTTCCAATACCTTCAGCTCCATTTGCAAGAACAGTTGGAATAACAGGACAATACCATTCAGGCTCAATTCGTTGATTTTCTTCATAAAGGAAACGAAGAACATTTTCATCAGATGGAGGAAAAAGAGTTTTAGTTACAGGACTAAATAATAATTGATTCTAAAAAATATTCAAACACATACTTGAGTTGAGTGAAAATATAACGAGGCGAAGCATTATCTTTTCCTCCTTGTAATCGAGTACCAAATTGACCAATTGGCATTAATAGATTGATGTTATTAGAGCCAACATAATTTTGAGCCAAATTCACAATTGTTGACATTAATGATTGTTCTCCATGATGATATGCTGACATTTCACCAACAGCACCAGCCAATTGTGCAACTTTGACTTCTTTTTTATCGGCGCGTTTGAAACAAGTGAAGAGAACCTAAAAAATAAAATAAGAAATACAAAAGAAAAACAAAAGATAACCTTCCTCTGTCCAGGTTTCAATCCATCTACCAAACTAGGAATGGAGCGTTCATTGTCTGTATTCGAAAAAAGCACCAATTCTTTATTAATAAATTCCGAAAAGGTAACACTCCGAGTATCTTTATCATAAAGATAGATATCCATATCTCCACGTTCACGGCGCCGTTTTCTGTCCTAAAAATAAAAAATTAAATTTTCCATAAATTAAAACAAACCTCCATCCATTTTGTTAACCAATCCTTTCGATCTTCAATTTTCTTTTTGGAAAAGGCTAATTCAATTGCACTGTCATCATCTTCATCTCTATATTTGAAAGGAATGCGATGGCGAAGCATATTTGAGAAATATTCTTTTGCTTCAATGGATGTTGAAGTACCCAATCCTTAAACAAAAAATTATTTAATAAAAAGAAATTCCAATAATTACCCTTATAATATTTTATTTTCCAGGATTTCCAATTATCAGTTGATTTTCTCCATTCAACATATTCCGGGATTGAAAAGAAACTGCGAGATTCTTTTCCTTTAGATGCCTTAACAATTGGAGTAATAAATTCTTCAACAAAGTTTCGCCGAATTAAAGAAGGCCAATTTGAATGAATAAAGTTGATGACCAATCCTTTGATGTGAGAACCATCTTGATCCTAAAATAAGGGAAAAATTAATCCTTATCCTTCATAGATATTGGTGTCTGTAAGTACATTCACACATTACAAAACAACCCGCTAATAAACCCATGAACAATGTTGAGGATTTATAAAGATAAAGGATTTAAAATTACCTGATCAGCCATTATCATAATCTTTCCATAACGAAGAGAATCCAAATCGGCGTCAACATCATACTTCTTTTTATATTGAAGACCAATAATTTTAATCATATTATTAATTTCAGCATTGTCTGTTATCTAGAAAAAACAATTCCTATAAAATTAAGTCATGAAACACAACCTGTTTATGATTTGCATCTCTAACATTTAAAAGCTTTCCACGAAGAGGAAAAACCCCATAAAAATCTCTACCAATAACTCCCAAACCAGCAACAGCCAAAGTTTTGGCTGAATCCCCTTCAGTTAGAATAAGCGTACATTTACGAGAATTACGAGTTCCAGCTTCGTTCGCATCTTCCAATTTGGCAACTCCCTTAAAACAAAAATTAAACTAACAAAGATTTAAGAAGAAACCTTAAGCTTTGCAGTTTTCTTCCCTCCAATTTTATCCTTTTGCTGATTCTGCTTAAATTGAACCCAGTTCAAAACTAGATCGACAATTCCACATTTTTGTGCTTCTTTCAAAAACTTTTCACTCAATTCACACTTTGAACCAAAGCTTTTTGCAGGTAATGTAAGCGTCTCCTTTGTTTGTGAGTCGAATGCAGGATTCTCAATTAAGGAATTGACAAAAACCCACATATGATTCTTTATTTGTGCTGGTTTAACTGCCATATTATTCTTTCCAACTTTCTTCTTTACAATTTCAACAAGACTGCCAGCAATTTGATTAGCAACTAAATCAACATGAGTTCCACCCTTTAATATGAATTTTAAAATTGAAAAGCTTTCTTTTCCAAAAAACCTTTGGCGTAGAAATGCTGTTAACAAAAGAAACTTGTTTAAAATTTCCAGTGTCAGAAATACACAAAGCAACCTCCCAACGGTCACTAACAGTCTCAAAGGAAACTTTGACAGAACTACCATCATCATTATGCAGTTGACTAGTATATTGTTCAACATATTGTTTAAAGCCTTGACACTAAAAATTTTTATAAAAAAAATTTAAAAATGAAAATCAAACAGGGATTTTCTTTCCATTCAGAAAAACTTTAACTCCACGAGTTGTCCCAGCCATATCATATGCGCGACGTGACATTAATCCAATAATATCATCATCCAATTCTTCCATTTTGAAAAGCTTCAAATCTGGTTGAAAAACAACTTTTGTGTAATCATCCTTTGTACTATCCGAAATAGTTGCTTCTCCTTGCTTTTTCATACTATTAACCCAAGTCTTAAAAAAGGGAAAATATGAAGATATTAAAAAATCACGAAGAAAAAGACCTGCTTGAATTTCCGACCATATTCAGAACTAGAAGTTTCAACAGTAAACTTTTTGCTAAAAATATTGGTCAGCTTAGCCCCATAACCATTTCGACCACCAGTTGTCTTTTTCTCGTTGTCATTGTAATTTGAAGAGGTAAGCAACGTTCCGAAAATCATCTCTGGTACATACATCTTTTCAACCTTGTGCATAACAACAGGAATCCCACGACCATTATTCCAAACAGAGATCGAATTATTTTCCCTAAACTCAAACTTAATTCAAAATAAGGAAAAACAAACTTGTCAATATCAACTTTGATTGTATTCATTTTGGGATCCCTTTGTTTATTGTCAGCAGCATTTACAAGAATTTCATCAAATATTTTGTATAATCCAGGCACATAAGATATTTCTCGATAAACAAGTTTATCGGTTTCTGAATCGTAGACCCATGTCGACTAAAATATAAAGTAATTAAACTTAAATCTTTTACAAATTAGATATTTAAACACACCGTTTGCGTGTATTGAATAGATCCTATATAAGTGTCAGGTCGAAGAAGAACGTGTTCAAGCTGCGAGACTTTCTTATAAGTTGCCTCAATATCCACTGACATTGTCCGTTTTTTCCTTATTGAATCTCTAAAAATAGATAAAAATTAATTTAAAGGTAAAGATAAACATACAAAACTACTTTCCTACAAAAATTGAATAATTTTAAATGCAAGTTGTTAGGTGAGGTAAAAGTCGAAAATATATTTTTAAAAATTTCTTTTGAGATTCTAAAATGTTTAAATAAATAAAAACTATCAATAAACTTATGAAAAATAATAAACGAAAAAAGCATAACTCGGAAAAAATAAAAATGAAGAAAATCACGCATAAGGGAAACTTATATTCACAAAAATACAAGCCAAACAAATTCAAAAGAGATTAAACTTGGCATAATGGCGGGTTAGGGGAAAATTTTAAATACAAAAAACAATTGCCTAGTTTCACTTATTAAAAATGCCGCAAAGAGTTTTGACGTCCCAAACAGGGCCGTCGAAAACATCCGGTTTTGTACTTTTGATTAGTGAGTGACCGGCAAAATCATGATTGCGGGCTCCGGCATGCAGGAGTAACTTTTAAAAATGTTTGCTGGAGTAACTCGGGCAGGAATATCCCGCAAAATGGAATAAATAAAAATGAAGAAAATCATGCACAAGAGAACATTTTGGGGGTTTTTATTCAGAAGGACATTTTCGGGTTAGGACATTTTGGGGCGAGTTAAAATATGGAATGGTTAAAATCGCGAATAGGCTAAAAAGGGGTTAAAATACCGAATCGTTAAAATATGGAATGGTTAAAATATCGAATCGGTTAAAAAAGGGTTAAAATATGGAATCGTTAAAATATGGAATGGTAAAAATGTCGACACGGCCAAAATAGGTCAAAATGTCGAATTCTTTTAAAAAAGGGTCAGATGTGTGCCATACGTTGATTATTGATAATTTTATCAAATTATCAACTTATTGTTGATAATTTGATTGATAAGTTTCGTATGTCGTAGTCCGGCGCAATCTTTTCTGCCAGAGTTCACTGTATTTTACCGAGTAAAACCGGACCGGATAAATCAAGCATAATCGACCGGATCCGGTATGATCGTACGGATTCGGAAAACATAACTCGATCCTTATACGGAAAAATTAGAGTGGCGTGCACTAGTTTTTAGTTAAGACCTAAATTTTGTACCTTACCGTATACGGTACGGAATACCATAAAAATACCGATCAGCTTTTAAATTTTATCGGTAGCATTATGTACCGTACTACCGACACGGAATACCGAAAAATACCGTCGGTATTACGGCAACGCCCGGATTCTAGGTTTTGGCGCCATTTTTAAAAAAATTCGACATTTTGACTTATTTTGGCCGTGTCGACATTTTATCAATTCGATATTTTAACGATTCGGTATTTTAACCCCTTTTTACCCTATTCGAGATTTTAACCATTCCTTATTTTAACGATTCCACATTTTAACCCCTTTTTAGCCTATTCGCGATTTTAACCCATTTTTACCCGATTCGAGATTTTAACCCTTTTTTAGCCTATTCCATATTTTAACGATTCGATATTTTGTCCGGACACGGGCGAAGCCTTCTCAAACGTAAATCTCAAAGGTAACACGACAATTGTACAGTGGACAATTGTACAGTGGACAATTGTACAGTGGACAATTGTACAGTGGACAATTGTACAGTGGACAATTGTACAGTGGACAATTGTACAGTGGACAATTGTACAGTGGACAATTGTACAGTGGACAATTGTACAGTGGACAATTGTAAAGTGGACAATTGTACAGTGGACAATTGTACAGTGGACAATTGTACAGTGGACAATTGTACAGTTGGCAGCGGTACCTTAGGCGATTTCTACCTTGGTCTACGGCACTCCGGCTAAAAATTTTATCTCGAATGCCCATTCGATCCCTTTGGTTTTAGTCAAATTTTCTTTTGGTCATAACTTTGTTCTTAATCATCTTCAAAAAATTTTTCGGTCCAAAAAGTCTTATTTTTTATGATACCTGTCTGAGAGAATAAAAATTCAGAGAAAAACGTTAAAAAGTGTCTGTTGTTTATACGGAATAGCAAAATGTCATATAAATCCCAATATTAAATTTCTCCTATTCGACACAATCATGAAAATTTTTTTTATTAAAAATAAAATTAAAAAAATATTTAATCATTTTAAATTCATCTTTAAAATTTCAATCCAAAATTTAAAATATCATTAGCTAATTCTTTAGGCATTTCAAATGCAGCAAAATGTCCCCCATCAGTAAATATAGTCATTTGTGTTAAATTATAATTTAATTGGATTAATTCTTTTGGTGTTACTTCACCAATATCATAAGGAAAAGCAGCGTAAGCAGTTGGAATATTTATATATTTTGAATTAAAAATATTTTTACTCAAAAAATTTTCTTTATAATAACGTTGAGAACTTAAAATATTTCCTTGTAACCAATAAATACTTATTATTGTTAATATATCCTCACGAGAATATTTTCTTTTTAAAAAACAAATAAATTGTTATTAAAGATTTAATTTAAGTACTTTAAAATCCCCCCATCAGGCAAAGAAAGATAAGAAGGATTTGTCCATGTTGAGAATTTTTCTAAAATATAAGCAAGTAATCCAATAGGTGAATCATTTAAGCCAACACCTACAGTGTCTGGTTTAGTTGCCTGAAAATGCAAGAAAAAATTTTAGAGAGGATAATCCTTAAAGATAAGCTTCCAGAAATTAAATATCGGTCAGAAATGGGAAGATAAAATTTACAAAAGTAGAAGGTGAAAAAAACTGACAAGTATGAGTAAGAATTTTGAATGACTGTCCAAACAACTTGCCTAATTAAATACATTATACATGAATATTTGGACTTAAATTTTCTATGTAACTGCCAGAGGTGGGTCAGAACAGTCAGAGGTGTCGGAAATCGGAACTGGCTCAAAAGTCGGAAATCGGAAATCTGAAGAAAAAAACGTCGGAAATCGAAATTCCGACCCACCTCTGGTAACTACTATCAGGGATCCTGCCAAAAGTTAAGCAATGCTTGGACGCTCATTCAATCAAAATTATGTTCTAATTTATGTATATTTATATGTATATTCCATACTTGTATATGCATATATCCAGATTCCTCTAAAAGTCCCAAATATTTTTCTTTTATTGAAAAATTCTTAAAATGTTCAGGTTCAGAAAAAACCCATTCAGGTTTATAACAACCAATTAACGAAAGAATAAAATGTTTGCAACTATCAAATGGACTAATAAATGCCATATTTATGTGAATTCCAATTAAATTAGTTGAATAATAACGTCCAAGAGTGGAAACTATTAATGAACCCCAATCACCCCCTTGGGCTAAATATTGTTTAAATCCGAGGCGTTCAGTCATTAAATGATTAAAAATCCGAGCAGTAGCAATTGAATCAAAGCCTAAAAATGAAAGAGATTTTCTTTTATGATTTTAATAAAATTTTAAAATATTTTCCTTTATTATTTTTTACTCCCGGTCCGGTCTCTCCAACGAACACCTGATTAATTACTTACCTTTTTTGTGTGGCTGTTCAGAGAATCCATATCCAGGAATTGAAGGAGCAATAACTTCAAAAGCAATATCAAAATCCAGAGAATGAGACTTTGGGTCTGTTAACATTGGAATTATTTTATAAAATTCGTAAACATTTCCAGGCCAGCCATGAACCAAAATAAGTGGAATAATACGGCGATAAGCTTTTGGTTTCGGTGGTTTTACATGAAGGAAGTGAATCTAAAAATTTTGAATTTAATGAAATGAAAGTTTTGTTTTGTGTATTTAATTGTTAATAATAATTATAAAATTTTTTGTTCACTAACAAAAAAATCCCCAAAAAACTCTCTCAAATATCAACAAATTCGAAATTGTCAACCTTACTTCTCTAACCAAAAATTTTTTTAATTCAATTTAACAAACAAAAACACTTACCATAATTCCCTCAATTTGTGTTAAATATTGTGGATATTTATTTAAATTTCCCTCCATTTTATTAAAATCAAATTTATCCTTCCAATAATTACTCCATTCAATTAATTCATTCAATTTAACCCCATAACTCCAATCATTTATATTTTCTAATTCAAAATGTCCAATTCTCGCCTTCCCAAGCCTTTCTTTTAATTGATTAATCTCTTTTAAAGAAAATTCAATTTTAAATTTTTTAATGTTTAAATCATCATTTTTAGGTTCTCCTGTTCCAAAATAGCCTTTTTCTGGAATTTTTAACTTAAAAAAATGAAAAAAAGAATTATTTTAAGAAATATTTTTAAATTAAGAATAAATTTATATTTTTGTCTAATTAATTCTGTGGTGGGTAAAAAATATTATAATTTTAATTTTCTTTCCTAAATTTTTAATCCAAAATAACCTCTCATTTTTTAAATTTATAGTTTATTTAAAAAACAAACAAAACAAACATCATTTTCCTTTAATCCAATAAACAAAAAACTTAAATAAATAGCCAAAATAATTGTTAAAATAATTGAAAAAATAAATAATTTATTCATTTTTTTGAAATTAAAATAAAAAAAGAAAATAATTTTTATTTATTTATTTAAAAATATAAATTGTAAACAACACAAAATTATCAAAAATAAAAGATAAATAAATAAAGTTTTTTTAATTTTCTTTATCTTTTATTTTTCTTTATTTAAAGGTTATTGTTGATAAATAAATAAATAATTTATTGGTGTTGTTGTTTATGTGTTTGTATGTAGTGTGTTGTTTGTTTGTTAAATTGAAATTCCTTCAATCCATGTAGTAGAAAAGACGAACAAATCAATTAAATATTTAAAAGAACACACAAACTACTTGTTTCTTAAACAAAAAAATTAAAAAAAAATTTTTTTGGAAATTTTTAAAATTGATTATAATGTTAAGTTAAAAGAAAATTGATTAAATAATTAAAATAATTAAATAATGAACAGTTGTTTTATTTTAAAATTTAAAAAAGAAAAGCTTTTAACGCCTCCGTAAAAATTTTTAAAAATTGACAAAAAAAGGAAACAAAAGAAAAAAAAAGATTTTTTTAAAAAATTCTTTCAATCCAATTCTTTTTTAAATTAATTAACTAAAATAAATTTTTTTTTGAATTTAAAAATAGAAAAAAGAGATTATGTATTGTTAATTAAATCCCAATAATTTTTAAATTTTAAATAAATATTAAAATAAATTTATTTTAAAAATAAATAAACTTTTAATTATTAAATAAATAATCAAATAAATTTTTATAAAAAATATTTTTTTAATTTTTTCCCAAATTCTTTCAATTAAAACAAAAAATTCTTTTCTTTTTCCTTATTTAATTTTAATTAAAAATACCTAAATATTATTCCTTAAAATTTAATTCTTTTTATTTTTTAATTCAGATTTTCTTCTACAAAAAACACTTTCTCTTTTCTCCACTCAAGATTTTACCATAAATACTTCTTTCCCCCCTTCCTCTCGCTTTTATTTTTTCAATTTTTTAAAAAAATATTAAAAATAATTTTTTTTCTTAGAATTGTTTTGACTTAAATTTGTATTTATATTTTAATAATTATATATTTTGATTAATTTTAATGAATAATATTTTTAAAAAATAATTATTAATTACAAATTAACAATTTCTTCTTCCTTTTTTGGTTAATCTTTTGTTTTTTAACTTTCATCTAAATTTAAGTAAAAACAAAAATATTCTTCTAAATTTTTTTATTTATTTTTTTGCTTGATCTGGGATTTTATTTATAAATAAATAAATGTAGAGTTTTGTCGATTTTCTCAATTTAAACGTTTAATATAATTTTCTGATAAATGTTTGGAATTTGGATTATAACCAAATTTGCTGTTGATATGTTTTTTTTAATTAAAAACAAAAATTTGTTTTTAATTAATTTATTTAAACATAACTCCTTTTATTTAATCAATATCCCTCAAGAAAGAAAAATTAAAATGATTAAAAAATTAAAGAATTTTGTATAGAATTTTTCTAAAATTTGAATATACTAATACAAAATTATTTCAATTTATTATTTCTTCAAAAGATCCATTTATACATATTTAATAAAAAGGGTTTAGCAAAAGTTTAGCCCCCGGTCAGGATTGAGTTATTGACAGTTATTCCTAGGCACTTTTGCTCACCATATACAGGAGCTCTATGTACCACTGAGCTACCGAGGCATTGACTAATTCTTTCTCTTTTATTTTTTTAGATCGTTTAACCCCTCTTAAGCGTTTTTAAATGCTCTAGGTGAATCATCCTTACATAATTAATTATTAAAATAAAAGTTTATTTTTTTTTTAATTTCTTTTTGAATTCCAAAAAATATTTATTTTTCTTTAGCCATTTATTTATCCCCTCTCCTCTTGCTTCCTTTTTTATTTAACCCAAAAATAATACACACAATTTTCTTTTCTAAATTAATTAAATTTTATCATTTTCTTTTTTTAAAATTAATTTAATTTAAAGAAATAAATAAAAAAAGATTTATTTCTTTTTTTAATTTAAATTTTATAAAAATTATCATGCCATAATACAAAAAAAAATAAAATAAATTTATTTCTTTAAAAATCATCTGGACGAAATTTAGAAACATTAAAAAAAAGAAAAAAGAAACAAATCCAAAAATGGTTCTCGGTTTTTCTTTGCATTGCTTGAATGCATTTTCTTCTTTCTTCTTTTTAAATTAAATATTTAATTATTACAAAAATCTGTGCCAAAATATTTTTTAAATTAAATTATTTATTTTTTTGTAAAAAAATACCTAATTTATTTATTTAATTTTGTTAAAAATTAAATAAAAAAATAAGGAAAACATAAAAATTTAGAAAAAAAAAAGAGTCCAATGATTAACTTAAAAATTATTTTAAATATTTTCCTTTTTTTGTTAAAAAAACAAACGAAAATAATATAAAATATATTCCAATAATTATTAAAAATTAAAATACCAATATGTATATTTATTTTTTTAAGCATAAATTTGCTTAGAAAATATCTTTTCTAACCCTAATCTTCATAGAATTTCTAATAATTAATTTTTAATTAAACAATTTATTTTTAATTTTAAAAATTTGGAAATTTTTTTGTTTAATTTTAAAATAAATAAATGTATTTTTATTTAAATTAAATTAAAGGAAGAAGTATTTTAAGTAGGTAGTCAATTTATTCTTCTTTACTTTTTTTTACTTTTTATTTTAAGTCACATTTTTATTCAACTGTTATTTGAGTAGAAGAAATAGATATTAATTGTTTTTCTTTTAAAAATATTTTTTATTTAAAGATTTTTTTAATTTACCTATAATTATATTGTTAATTTATACCTATACATATATCCCTCAATATATCCCTTATTTCTTTAAACAATTTTTTCAGTCAAGAAGTTTATAAAAATGTTATCCAGCTTTATACATATATTATAATTAAAATACTATTTTTATTTTCAGAATTAATTTAATTTTAATGTCAAATACTAAATTATTTTTGAATTTAAATTTAAATTAAAAATTTCGGATGGAGTGTGGTCCTAACGAGCCGACATTATTTAATTTTGAAAATAATTCTACAAGACAATTTATTCATTCACTTGTCTTATTTCAAAAGTAAAAAAATTCCAAAAATTATCAAAATATTTTTTGAAAATTTTTTAGAGCATATGCCCCAATTCACGGAAGAATTTGTGTATTTTTGTGTCTTTTTGGTATTTTTAAATAAATAAATATATTTAATTTTAATTTAATTTTAAAAAGGTGTAATAACAAATTTAATTCATTGTGTAGTCCTTACAAGGCCACAAATGAGGCAATCAGCAGTTAATTCTATTATGGTAAATAAATAAGAAAATTATCTAAAAAAATTTAATTTTTAAAGACGGCAGTAGCTTTGTGTGATTTAGGGACAATGGGCTCTTATTTAATTTATATTTGGCATTTTGTGCTTGGAGGGAATTTATGGTAATAATTTAATTTTAATTAAATAATTAATTAAAAGTTCAAATACCCAAACACATATTTGGATGTATTATTTATTATTACATATATTTCTTTCAATTGTATTACATACAGCAACACTTTGGTTAGCTGTTTTAATGGCATTTTTAAGAAGAATGACTTTACATAGAAATACACTTTATAGGTAAATTTAAATTTATTTCCCCCTTCCCCTCCTCCCCTCTATTATCCCCCTCCCCCTCCTTAACAAAAATTTAAAATAAATTTAATTTATTTTTAAAGTAAATGGCAAAGAGTAGCCTTAGCTAGACGTGCATCTTTAACTGTTATATTTTTTATTTTATTACTTTGTATTCCATCATTAGCAGTTCATCAAGTAATTAAATATCCCCACGCTAATTGGCACCCCTCTTTATTGTGCCCAAAAATTATTTCTGGAATTTTATCAAAAAATCATAGCGAACCTATTTTTACAATTATAATAAGAAATACAGCAATGGCTAATGGATGTTGGCTTTTTAAAGCTAATTTATGGCTTACTGGGATTTGTTTTAAGGTAAAGAAATTGATTTTTTAAAATTATTTTTTAAATTAAAATAAATTTTTATTTAAATCTAAAAGAAGGAGACTAAAGGAAGTTTCGAATGAAATACTACATCTAATAAAATTTATTTAGCAATAGGAATATTTAATTAAGCTAAAACATTAACCAAGATTTTGTCCAAAAAAGAATCAGGACGGAACTTCCATCACACAAATTTTATCAATTTCCAATAAAAATATTTAATTATCACATATTTTTCTTCAAATTTTCCCCCTTTATTTTCAGGTAATTCCTTGCCTTTTACTTTTAATTCTGAGTGCCAGTCTTTTACAAAGACTTAAACAAGCAGAGAAAAAACGTTGTCAACTTTTATTAAAGCAATTAAGTGATTCGCCTAAAAATGATGGAAGGAATTCTGTTGATAATTTAAAACAACGGCAAAATGGAGGAATTAAAAAGTTCCTTTTTTTCTTTTAATGGTTCAAAAATTTTTTTATTTATTTCTTAGAATGCATGCTGACAGAACAACAGGCCTTTTATTAGCAATTCTTTGTGTTTTTCTCTTAACAGAATTACCCCAAGGCCTTATAGCCATACTTAACGCAATATACACGGCAGATGTCCACAGATTTATTTATTTAACTTTGGGGGATGTTTTGGATTTACTTTCTTTAATTAATTCTTCTGTTAATTTTGTTTTGTATTGTTTAATGTCTTCACGTTATAGACAAACTTTTTGTTCCCTCTTTCTTCCAATTAAAATTTGTGGACGGTAAGAGAGAGGAAGGGAGAGAATTTGTCCTTTAATTTTAAATTTAAAGTTGTGTTGCTAATGGAGGACAGTCAGCCCCTCCTTTACAAAGTTTTGTGTCAGAAAAACAATTTAATGATAATTGTGATGAACTAGAATTAAAAGGAACTCTTGCACAAAGGCTAGCACAGAGAAGAAGGTATTTAAATATTGTTAATTATTTAAATAAATAATTATATAAAAAATACATTTTAATTGTTCAAGAATTAAAAAATTAAAACTCCAAAAAAAATTAATAAAATCTAAATTAAAGATCAACCCCAACACTTCGATTACAAAGAGTTGGAAGCCAACAAAGCCATTTAAGTATGCGCGATTGGAAAGAAAGACAACAAAAACAAAGGAGAGGGTCTAACTTTCCAAAATATTTGGGGGAAAAAATTAGAGAAGATTCGAATGATGAAAATAAACAACAAACAAATTTACTCACTCCAAATGCGGGTTTTTAAATATTTTTTTGATTTTACCTCAATTATTATATTTATTCTGTGATTTTGAAATATTTTTGAAAAAGTTTATTTTACAAATTAAAATAAAAAAAGATTTTTTTGAAATTTATTAACAATTTATTTATTCACCAAATTATACCTACATATATGCCTAAAATCTAACAAAACAATTAAGGAAATATAAGGAAATATTTGTTTTATTTAAATATTTATGTTAGCCATAAGTAGGGTGATTCGTTGGGATTGAAATTAGATTTAAAAAGTTTAAATTAAATTTTAATAATTTTTAAAAATCTCGAAAAGTATGCCTTCTTCTAATTGTTTAAAAATAATCGAAATTTCAACAAAATTTCCAAAAAAAATTCAAAAAGAAGGATCAGAAAAGGAAATACCAGAAATAATTTAAATATAAAGGATTTCAGGAATATTTAAAAATATTTTGTCAATTAATTCTATTCCAATTTGAAAACAAACATCTTGATTAGACAATTCATATTTCCACCCACCAAATCTTTAATTTTAAATTTAATTTACATATTTAAATTAAATACACACCTTCCTCTCGAATAAATTTGTAATTTTTCCAAATATTTGTGACATTCTTTTAAAATAAAATCCCTTTCTTTTGTCGGTATTGGATAACCAAAAGGCAAACATTTAATCCATTTTGAACAAATATTTTCTTTTTTATTTATTATTCCAACAGAAATTAAATCTTTTTATTTAAATTATTTTTTTCTCAATTAAATTCAATTAACCTTTAATTATTTTATCAAAAATTTTATTTTTTTGTTCATTTTCTAAAGGCAATTCTTTATCTGAACTCTGCCCTATTTCACATAATACTGACCAAAATTGGTTATTTTTATCTTCAATTAAATTAGAGGAAGAGGAGGAGGAGGAAGTGGAGGAAGAGCATTTAGGGATTAATTCTTCACTAAAGTTGGAAATAATTGTACATCGATAAAATAAAATCTTTTAAAAGAAAAACAATTCTTAAATTAAACAAAAATTAAACTTCTTTTCTTGGATAATATGCCCAACTTAATTTTTTAACAAAATCATTTTTCCCTCCAAATAATCCAATACCAACCAGAATTACTGTTGAATGTTTTAAAGGTTTAGATAAATTATTAATTCCAATCATTTTTTCTAATTCAGTTAAAGGAATTGTTGAAATAAGTATATTATAATTAAATTTCTATAAAATAATTATTTTTTAATTGCTAGTTCCCTCACCTTTTTATTTCCATTTTTGTCTAAACAAAAAATATTTTTTGTTTTTGAATTAATTTCCACAACTTTTTGTCCAAAATTAAATATTTTTGGGGGAAATCTTTCAGAAAAACGTTTCCACATTTCTCCAATCCCTCTACAATTTGCAGGGTAACGAAAAGCTGTTTGACGGCTTTCATCTTCAATTAACAATTTTTGGTGAGAAAGTGAACAACGACGTTTTAATTGTGATAAATCAATTAAAGGAACACGTCCTTGTAACCAGCTAGTTCCCATTTGGGAAATTGGGACAGTCCAGACCTTTTTAAAATATTTTGGAATTTATTAGAAATTATCTAAAGTCAGAGGTCGCAAGTTCAAATCCTGACTTTTAAAAAAAACTAAACTTTTACTAAACTTTTTCTATAGAAATACGAAAGGTTTACCCTAAAAACCCGACCCAATTTTCTTTTCTCAACCCGGCACATTCTTGATAACTAGCCAAAAATATAACGTAAATGTTCTAATAGAAGCCCGGCTCCAATAGAAGCACATGCCCTTAGAAGCCAACCCAATGTGACCCATTGAAAATTAGACGCCCAGGGCTTCTATTAGAGCATTTACGGTATATAAGAATACCTTTTCATTATATGGTCTAACAAATATTTTCTGCAAAGTTTCTCCAAAAAGTGAAAGAGAAAAAGAATCAAAATTTTCTTCTTTTTCTGTTATTTTTGTTGTTAAAAAATTATTTCCTTCTTCTTTTTCTTTAAAATTTAATTCTTCCAAACATTTTAATTTTAAATTTTTAGGAAAATAAGGAATTGAATTTTGAACTGGATAGGGAATATAATAATTAATTTTATTTAAATTTTCTTCTTTATTTTCTGTCATAACATGGGACATTTCTGCCTTAAAAATAAATAAAAATTATTCTTTTTTTCAATTCAAATTAGTGCTGGGTATGGCTCCGGGAGCTAGCTCCGGAGCCGGAGCCAACACCAAATACCCAGCACTGATCCAAATTATTTAATTACCATAGCACATCGAGGTATAATTTCCCATTCCGTCACACATTCCTCCATTGCTTCAACAAAATTTTTGTATTTACTAATTCCTTTTTAAAAATATTTTTAATTTAAATTAATTATTTTCTACCCATAACATGAACACCCAAATCCCAACAAAACCCATTTTCATCCATTACACTTCGTGCCAAACCTCCAATTTCTTCTTCTTGTTCAATTACACAAACATTTATATTTTCCTTTTTTTTTTTAAATTAAAAATTATTTTAATTTATTTTTTCCTTACATTTATTAGTTTGTCTTTTTTAAGTTTAAAAATTTGATTAAGTGATCCTTAAATTTAAATATTTATTATTATTGTTTATTTTTCATCTAAATTACCTAAAGCTGTTGGTCCAGCACCTAAAATAATTATTTTAATTTCTTCATTTAAAGAATTATTAGCAGCTTCAACTTTTTCATTTTCAATTAAAGACATAAAAATAAATTATTTTAATTAAGAAAAATATTTGAAATAAATGCTTTTGTTGATCGAATGAATATATTAAATTGATTAAAGTAAATTTTATTCCTTTCTCTATGATTGACCCAAATTTTTGTTTATTAATTAAGAAATAATAAATAAAATATTTGAGAATATTGAACAGTATTTAAAAAAAAAATTAAAATTTTCTAAGGAATTATAAAAAAATTTTAAAAATCGAAAATTTCATTTAATAAAAAATAATTTAAAATAACTAGCTTTATTTGTATCCGGTTAATTCCAGCTATTTATTTTACATTAATAATTTTTTTCCCTTTATTTTCCGGAATGTTTTTTTATTAATTAAAGAATATATTACTTTAACAGGTTTTTACTTTCCATCACTATTTTACCTGTTCGCTTGAAGAAAAAAGACTTGATGGATTTACTTTATTTTTAAATTCTTCTCAAAATATCAAGCTGGCGACATTAAAAAATAAATAAATCATTCAAGTAAATATATTTAATTATTATCCGGTAAGAGGATATAGAGAAGGCGGTCCTTTTTTTGTTATTTTTTCAAAGGTTAAATTTTAATTTATTTTCTCTCTTATTTTTAAAATTTCCTCACTAATTTTTTAAAATAAATTTTATTTAAATTTTAAAAATGTCAAAATTTTGTAATAATTATTTAATTACCGGTAAGTTATTTAAAATAATGCCTTTTTCTATATAAATTCTCTCAACACTTTTTGATGAATTTTTATCTAACTTTTTATTTTAAAATATTCTAAATTAAGTCTAACTAGATTTTTTGAATCAAAATATCCAAACTTATTTAAACCAATTAATTTATTTACAGCTTTGTTTGTATTGTTTTTAACAACAAACTTGTCGTTAACTACTTCCAATTTTATCCAAAACAAAACTTCCATTCTATGTAAAGATGGAAAAGGCCCTTTATTAGAGGGAGAAGAACGTGTTTTTCAATGTTTTGACAATGATTGTCCGGCCGGTTTTGAATGTGAAAATAATAATGGAAGTGGAATTTGTTGTCCAAATTTACCCGAACTTTTCAAGTTTTTTTTTGAAAATAAAAAAAATATTTATATTTATTTAAAGACTTTACAATGAAGTAAGTGCTGAAATAAAAAGAGAAGGGAGTAATGAAGGAGTTAATAGAGAACAATTAAATAATAATGAACAGTTAAGTTAAAAATTATTTTTTGCTATTTAGTGGTTAGGAATATGAACAAAAAATTTTGATTTTTAATTAAAGATTATTTAAATATTTAAAAATAAATTAATTTTTAAATGAAAATATTTTAAAGAAATCAATCAGAATCTATCATTAATGCAATGGAACTTTTAGAAAAACATTATGGGAAATTAATTGCAAGAGAACGTCCACCATCTATTGAAAATGTAAATTAAATATTTCTTTTATTTTTTTTTAAATTTAAATTTCAAAAGAAAACAACAAAATCTTCAATATTTCCATCATTATCTTCACAAAATAATTCTCCAATAAATTCTCAATCTGTTAGAGACTCTCCAGTAGCTTTAGAAGAAATTAAAAAACAACAACTTTTTGAGGCAAATATTTGGAAACCAAAAAATTTATTTTCTAAAAAAATTTATGTTGATGCAAGTGGAGAAGAATTTAGTTGTAAAAGGCAACGTTTAGAGACTTTTTGTGAAAATGGAAATAAAAGAACACAATTTGTTATGAGATGGTTTGCTAAAGAAGGAATATGTTATTCATATCCTTGGGGGTATTGTCCAGGTATATTTTTTGAAATGAGAGGGTGAAATTAAAAGAGATTTACAAATTTTTTGGGGGCTTTGGAGAGTTAAAAGGTTTAAAATAAAAAAATAATTTTAATTTTAAAAATAAATTTCAAAATCAGAAAAATAATTAACAACATGAAAAACTTCTTCCCAAAGTTTTTTGTTTGATAGGCTGAAAAATAAAATAAAATTTATTTCCAAAATTTCAATAAAGGAGAGCCAATAGCAACAGACAAAACAATTCGAACACTTAAAGAATGTGAAGCTTTATGTACAGATAAATTAGATAAATATTTAATTAAAGAAGAAGAACAACCAAATAATAAACAAATTTCTGGTGTTGTTAGATTAATGGAGAAAGAAGAAATTAAAGAAGAAAAAGAAACAACAATTACTACTTCAACTTTACAAACAATTAATATTGATTCTGAAAATGAAAAAAATAATTTGGAATCTTACAAAATAATTGTAAATTAATTTTTAAAAGTAAATATTAAATTAAAAATTAAATTTAAAGGCCAATTCCTCATCATTTCATTACCCTCCTCAAAATAATCCAATTAAAGTCCCTCCTTCCTCTGCCTCAGCAGAATTAGCAGAATTTTTACTTTCAGAACAACGTCCAAATATAAAATCAAAAAGATGTGAAAAAATAACTCCATACAGAACAATCTGTCCTTCAAATGGATTAACTAGCCAATTTACTCTTCGTTGGTATCAAAGAGGGAATAATTGTTTTGCTTATCCCTATGGATATTGCAATGTATTTAGTTTAAAATTTAGATTCGTTAAATTTAAAAAAATATTTAAAGGATTCAATATTTGAAGAAGAACCAATAAAAACAGAAAAAGAATGTTTACTAATTTGTATACAAAGAAGGGAAGAAGGTGGTTGGATGTCGAGAAGAAGACGTTTATTGAAAAAATGAAATTTAAATAAATAAATTATTTTTAAATTAAAGCTACGAAATAATATTTTTTTCTTTAAAATCCCAAAATAATAACCAGAATACAATTAAATATAGAGTACCTAAAGAGGTAAACTATAAAGAATTTCGACTAGAAAGCATCGAATCGGTATTTTCAGGTATACCGATACAGACATCGTACGGAGCAGATTTTTCTACACGGTTTCGACTATATAAAATACGTATTTGTATTTTCCATTAAAATATTGCTAGCGAGTTTTTAATAAAAGTGAAAAGATGGGAGAATATATTAATTTAAATAAATCACTCCATAATTATTAAAAAATAATAATATTATTTTCTAATTTAATTATTATTGCATGAACTTGTAGATTCTCCTCCTCCTGCCCCACCACCTCCCCCTCCTGTTGTTCCTCCTCCTTTCAAAGCATTTGCTAAAATCTAAAAAAAATATTTAAAATTAAATATCCCAATTTAAATACTTGTTGAGCAGTTAAATTAGCTAAAGGCAAAATTCCAGCAGTAAGTAAATTTTGTAAAGCATTTCCGGTGGAAGAATTATTTGTTGTCAAATTATTTTCTTCTTTAAATAAATTATCATTTCCACAATTAATTGGAGTGGAGGAGGATGTTGATACACCTGAACATACTGCTGCCATACAACTTGCTTTAAAAATTAATTTTTATTCTTTTTAATAATTTAAATAAAAGGGAATGTGCAAATTAGAGAAAAATGTTTTTTGGGTAAATTATATAATTATTCTTTTAATTTTGGGAATTTTGAATTAAATTGTTGTTTGAAGAAGAACAAACTTTGAATTAGATTGTTGCTATATTTAATTATATTTTTATTCTCTTCCTCTCCTACTTCCTCCTCCTCCTCATCTTCTTCTTTTTCTTCTTCTTCATCATCTGCTGCATAAACAACACCTTGAGGCATTTGATAAAGAATTGGGGGGAATTGTTTATTTTGTTGTTGTAATGAATGTTTTCTTTTATTTATTGGGGAAGGATTTGAAGGTGACGAAATAGAAGAAGGAGGTAATAATAAATTATAATTAGAGAAAGGGGAGGGAATGGTTGTAGAAGTAGTAGAAGAAGAGTTTGAAGAACATGCCATTAAACCTTCAAAGAAATTTTTGTTTAATTTTTACAAGTTAGGAAAGGTGGAGGAGGGGGAGGGGGAATTTAGGGTGTAATTAATTAATTTAGGGTGTAATATTAATTGTTTGGGGAAGATTGATATGTATTTTTATTGTTAAAATTAATTAATTAAATGTGCAAAGGGAAAATAAATTAAATTAAAATAATTAATTAATTACCTTGAAGTAAAAAAGGTAACAAAGCTGCCCCCAATTGTTGACTATTATTATTTATTAATGAATGTTGCTGTTGTTGAGTAGATGTTTGTAGATTATTTTGATTATTATTTTCTTGTTGTTTTTGTGTTTTTTGTTGTTTCTGTTGTTGTTTATGTTGTATACGTTCACGATTTTCTGAAGCTGCTCTAAGTGCTTCTTTTAATGTTTTTAATTGTTGTTTTGAATCTACAAAGGTTTGAGCAGGTTCGAGATAATTATGAGAAGGGGAAGATTGAGAAGAGGAAGAAGGCTAAAAGAAAAATATTTTTTTGGAGAAAAATTAATGAGAAATTAATTAAAAGTATTTAAACTCGCCTTATCTTTTTTCATTTTTTTCCTTTGTTGTTCAACATTAGAAAATAATAATTCATCTAATGTCGGTTTTTGTTTATTTATTTTATTATCACAAAAAGTTTTTAATTCGTTAGAATTATTATTTGATGAAATATTTGGCGGAATAATTAACTAAATAAAAATTAATATTTTTTTAATAATTTTATTTCCTAATTAACTTTTAATAATTTACTAAAAATAAGAAAAATATTTTTAAACATTTATTTTAGGTAAATTAAAAATTTTCAAATTTTTTTTTGAGAAAAATTTCCAAGAATAATTTTTTTAATTATTTTATTTTTTTCATTATAGCGTCAAATAAAAAATTTCTTTTTTTTCTTAAATTTTAACAAAATTAGCATTTTTTGTTTTAAAATGTTGCGGAAATGAAAAATAAAATTTTAATAAAAACCCCAGACAAAAAAGAATTTTTTTAAAAATTTTTTCTCACCGAATTAGAAGAATCATTAATTTGAAATAAATCAGAAACTAATTTTCTTTTTCTTGGATTATTTAATTGTTGTTGTTGAGGGGTTATTATTGGGGTTATTCCTAATGTTTGTGGTTCAAAGGTAAATTCTGTTTTTGTTGGCATTGGGTCAATTATTTGTTCTTAAAATCAAAAAAAATTTCCTAAAAGAAAGCACAATTAAAATAACAACCAATGAGGGAATTTTAACTAAAAAGGAAAGAATAAAAGAGGAAGGAAATACTGTAATTATTAAATAATATTTTTTGCATTAAATTAGCAATATATGTATTTTTCAAACTAAAATAAATATACCTTCTGTTGCGTTTAAACAATTCTAAATTTAGAAAATTCAAATAATTTAAATAAATTTAAAATTACCTGAATTAATTGTTTTCCAGGTTCAGAGAGTATCATAGGCTTTAATTTACTTGTTGCAAATGCATAAACATGCCCAGTTTCAGATGCAACAAGTAAAAGTACTTGAGTGCCTGTCAATGTTGAAAGTTCATTTGCCTAATTTTTAATTGAAATTAAATAAAGAAAAATTATTGGAGAATATAAATTCTTAATAAAAAATATTGACATATTCCATATTCCCCTCATTTTAGAAAATTATTTTAAATTTAAATCCAAAAATTAAAGAAACAAATTTAGAATTTAAAGGCAGACTTTTGCACTAGGCAACTTTTGTGCCGCCATTATCTTTAAAAAATAGTAATACTCTTTTGAAACACATTATTGGAATTTTTAAATTAAAAAAAAACTTTTTTCATAATTCCAGTTTTTCTTTTACTAAAAGTTGTATATCTTCTCAATTTATTTCCAATATATTCCATTTTTATTTTAACTCTTCCTTTTGTTTTTTTCCCATTTGGTAGAAGAATACAATTACTACTTCCTGCCCCTCTTTTTTTCCTTACTTCTTCTTCCGGTTGTTGATTATTTAGTAATTTTTGTTTTGGAATTGTAATTGTGTTGTTATTATTTATTAAAGAAGTCATTCCCTAAAATAAATAAAAAAAGATTTTAAATTTTGTGAAATTCTAAGGCACAAAAATAGTTGGACATTTTATTTATGGAATAACTTTATTCAACTTAAAGATAATTAGATCAAATAAAGCTTTAAAAAATAGAGAAATAAATAAGTAAAAATATAATTAGGAATTTTTGGAGTGCCTATCCTTTGTAATTGGATACAAAGTTTAAGGCGAATGAAAAGATTTTGGATGAGTAAAAAATGTAAACGAGAAAAAAGCTATGATGAAATGAAAAGTGTCGAGATATCTTTGAGTCACACTGTAGTTGGGGGATAAAATAAATTATAATCTTGTTTAAAAAGTTTTAATAATTTTTGGAATAAAAAATAATTATTTTTATTTATGTATTTATTTTTTATTTATTTTCATCAAAATATTTATTTATTTTTGTTTTTCTCTACCCATTAAAAATATTTGTGTTTAATAACCAGCCGTCAAAAACTAACAAATATGGAGAGAAGATGAAAATAAAAGAAAAGAACTATTGGATTGAGATGGAATATGACAAAAAAAAGTTTTGAATTAATAAGGTAAAACCAATAAAAATAAATCCAAAAAAGAAAAAAATGATGAGAAGAAATAAATTGGGAATTATTATATGGAAGATATTTTTGTTTTATTTTTTAAATTTTGGGTTTATTTAGAAGAAATTAATTTTCTCTTAATTTTCTTAAATATTGAGCTGTCTGCAATTGCGGATATAAAATTTAAAAAATTAATTAAAGTTTTTAACGCCGCAAAAATTCAGAACGCGTTCGAAAACTGTCAGGGATTGTTTGGTATTTCAGCCAAAAGCCGGCACTCCGAAATAGACTTTTATTTTCAATTAATTTTATTTAAAAATACAATAAATAATTTTCCCAAACATTAACGTTCTGTAAAATAATTGTTCTGTTTCTCCTATTTTTAACCTTATTTCTTTAAAAACACATTTTCCCCGTCAGATTTGACAACCATTCCGAAACCGGAGTTATTTTTCTTAATTTTTCCTGATTTTTCCAATTATTTGGCGACTCATTTTCAGTCGATTTCCATCCAAATAAATTCCTCAAAAATATACCTGCTCTTCCCTTTTCTTTAATAATTTCCTTATTTTTTCTAAAAAATATTTTCATTGGCTGCCTAATTAGCAATTCGCGGCTGGTTCTCTCCGAGTCTTTATGGCATTCACAGAAATAGCAAAATAAATATAAGAAAAATTATTTGGAAATTAAATAGTTTTTAATTAATTTTTGATAAAAACTTTTTTTTGGATTATTTTGTTTAATTAAAAAGTAAACACAAAACTATCTTGTTAAATAAATTAAGGGTATTCTAATATTTTGGTGTAAAAAAAGGAAAAAGGAATTTTTAAATAAATAATGGTCAATTTTTAAAATATAAATTTTAAATAAATGAGAATTTTTAAAAGTTTTTAATTTTAAATAAAAACCTCCCAAAGCACGCATAAATTAAAAGGAATAAATTTTCGCGGTAAGGAAAGGAATGAAAAAGGAAATAAAGAATTGTGGTTATAAAATTACTGTAAATTAAATAAAGAAAGAGGGAAAGAGATTGGTGAAATATTTTTTTAAATAATTTTTTGGTAAAAATTTAATTGAGGAAACAATTTATAACAAACTTTAATATAAGGAATTCCTTAGGACAGAAAAGGAAAGAAAATTGGAGAGATTCTAAGGCTTTCAATTAGGGACAGAAATAATTATTTTTCGAATTTTTTGATCAGTTTTTAATCACTCATTTATTTATTTATTATTTACTCAATATTACCCACCTTCAGTTCTTCCTCCTCCTCTTCCTCCCCATCATCCTCTTCTTCATCTTCTTCTTCCTCCTCTTCATCATTTCCATTTTCAATATTTTCTTCTTCTTCATTATTTTGTTTAGTTAATTGTTCCAACATTTTCTCGAATTCTGATTGTAAAATAAATTGTTTTTGGTGATTTTTAGTATTTGGATCAAAAGAAGAAGAAGAACATTCTTCATTAATTGGTGATTTATTTCCTGAATTCGTTTCTTGTTTTGGCTCCTCTTTTACTCTCATTTTTTAATTTATCTGAAAAATAACAAAGAAAATGAATATATACTTTCAAGAAAAATAATCTCCGGATATCCGTAAATTTTCCAAGAATCGACAACCCTAATAAAATTAAAAGAGAATCAATGCCCCCGCCAAAGGCTAAAAAATAAGCAAAAGCGCGATGAAGCGACATAAGGGAGAAAGTGATGGAATATAGAAAAAGGATTACAGCTGGGACATTTGGCCTGTAAAAAAAGTTTTTTGGTAAATGAATGGCCAAATGAGAGAAGATGAATGGCCAATTCAGGCAGTAAAGGAATTAATATATTTTATTTTTTATTTTCTTTTTTTCTTCTTCACCGAAATTGGGATATTTTTTGGGGGAAGGAAAAAAAAGAATTCTGTTTCGGTCTTTACTTTGTTGTAAAATAAAAAGGAAGATATTGAGAATAACAAGTACAGATACGATTTTCGGATAAAATGAAGACTTATGAATCTAAATGGATAACTTATGGAGTATTGAGGTATGACGAAAGGTTTATTAAGAAATAAGCAAAAGATAAAAAACAAGGATCTATAATAATTTCAAGAAATTGTATAATTGATAGCTTAATTGAAAGAGAAACAAAAATCAACGTATTCTTATTTAATTGGACAAAGTTACAAACAGTTTTTACACTCCCTTCATTATAGTCCCCAAGGGTGTTTTCAGTCTAATCAGCTCGAAAACAGGCTTCCCTTATTTTTACTAATTTCCTGTTAAAAACTTTTTTTTAAATTTCTTCATTTTCCCATCTAAATAACTTTATATATATTTATTATCCGCCCATTTTCGATCGCTTCTTGTGAACCAATTTCCTTTCTACTTTTCTCCTAAAGAAGAATTTTCTTATTGCCATAGGCAGTAATAACGCCATGTGTTGTGCGCCTTTAACCGCCCTCGAGAATATTTGGCCCGAGAAGGGAAGAAACTAAAAGAGGAAAGAAATAAAAAAAGATTTTTTAAATCGAGAAAGAAAAAGATTTGATAGAAATTGCCTGGGAAGGAATTGATGGGGGGATAAAAATAATAAAGCAATGAAAGGAAATGATGAAAACCAAAAAAGTGAAAAGAAAAAGATTTTAAATCCAATCACTCAATTTATAGAACAACAGGCAGCAAATGACAGTCAAATTTTAGGAAAAAAAATATAGTAAATAAAGATAAAAGAGATTAGAAATATAAATAAGAATAAAAGGAATAATTAAAAGTAATAATCATTTTGAAAGCAATCAACGCTTTATATGTAGTAGGAAAATGTGCTTTATGTCAGGGTTGCCGCCCGAAATCCGAAACCCGTTACCCGAAACCCGGCCTTTTTTTGTACCCGAAACCCGATACCCGAATTGAAAATTTTCCAACCCGAAACTCGAAACCCGTACCCGATATTTTTTCCAACCCGAAACCCGTGACCCGAAATTGGTTAAAACCCGAAAATCCTACCCGAAATCTTAGCCTTACCCGATTTTTTTGAATAAATTTGAAAAATTATAGAAAGCGAAAATTCTCAAAATTTTCACCTGCGGCGCCCAAAAGGAAGAAATCTGGCTTCTTGGTCTTTGAAAATTCCCAAAATTTTCGCCTGGGGCAAGAAATGGAAGATTTTTGGCTTAAGGATCTTCCAAAATTCTTAAAATTTTCGCATCGGCGCTAAAAAAGAAATTTTGCTCTCTAGCCTTCCAAAATTCCCAAAATTTTTGCCTACGGCGCTGAAAACGTGAGAAAATTAGAGGATTTAATGGAGGTAAAGCTGACAATCTTTCTTAATCCTATCCAACAATTGCTTGAATTTCTCGATATCTTTTTTAATCCCTGATATATCATTGCAAGTTGTATGTCGGAGGATATGCATGGATCAATGTAGATTTGGAAGGACAATGGGTGATTTGGAGGGATTAAAAAGAATTAGAGGAGGGATATAGGCGATATGAAAAGATTTGATGATCCGCTGATATTAAGGATGTTCATTAATCTTTCAATATCTCCCCAACCCTCCTAAATTTATTCCTTGATATCGCTCTCAATACCAAGATATCCCTCTTAATTCCCAAATCCCGCAATGTCTCTTTAATCTCTTCAAATTTTCCTCTCTCTATACATATCACCCAAAATCCTATTATGCAACATACATAGCTTGTCTCCTTTCAATTTGTGTATCAATACCCGAACACTCGAAAATAACCCGAATTTTTCGCCAAACCCGAAACCCGTACCCGAAATTTTTGCCAACCCGAAACCCGTGACCCGAAATGAAAATTTTATAACCTGAAACCCGAAACCCGTACCCGAAGATTTTTTGTACCCGCGGCAACCCTGCTTTATGTAGTAGGAAAGTGTATTCCTAAGTAAATTGCCAGAAGGCCAAACAAAATTAATTATTTTGAAAGTAAGTATTTTGAGGAATTTAAAAAGAGCAATTCGGCAGCTAACAAAAAAAGCAAAAAAGACATCCAAAACAAAATCCCCCTCTTCCTTGTACGGTATCTAAGAAAGAAATAAAATAAAGCCGACAAATATGCCAAAATGAATGTTGGAATGAAAAAGGATTTTAATTTATTGAAAGAAAATAAACTTCTGGCAAAAAAATAAATAAAAAGTTTTTTTTCCGAGGACGATCTCAATTCAAAAACAAATTTTTATTTGAAGATGCGCTCAAAAGAAAAAGAAATATATTCTCTTTTTTGTAAAACATTAATTTTAAAGTATTTTTGTGATAAATTTAAATAATATTTTACTAAAAGCTTTACAAAAAGTATTTTAGATTAGGACAAACAGTAAAAAATAGTTTCATGGATAAATACCTAAGTTAAATTCTAGCCTTTTTTATGATTGAACGGTCTAAATATAAAATTTGGTTGGTTCATTATTATTTAGCTTTAAATAAATTTGTAGCGAACACAATCTACATTCAACTTAAGCTAGTAAACAACCAAAATCCCCCCCCCCCCCCTCCCCGACTGACTTTATTTTCTTTAAAGTTTGCTCATTTATGGGAAAGTGAATGAAAACAATGCGAAAATGGGACGATCCAAAAGTGGGCCAAGAAAAAGTTTTGTGCTTGTCTGAGTATAGGAAGCTATAAAAGAAAAAGGGAGGAGAAGTCGCGCACGCGATTGAGGAAAGGATGTGTAAAGGAATTGAGTTTGAAAAGAAAAATTTTTATGTAAAAGTATTTAGGTAGTAGTAGTCGAGAAGGGGAGGGCCAAAAAATTATATCTTTCACTTTATATTCTTTTTGTCCTTCTTTTATAATTTTCATTTTTCCAAAAATTTCAATTTTATCTTAATACAATTAACCAGAAGTTTTTTTTCATTCACTGACAGCTCCTCAACTTGAATTTCTTCTTTTCATATCCCCACTTCCTTTCATTAATTTTCTTCTCTCATTTTCTTTAGGTAAAATGTTTTGCTGCTCTTCACAGAATCGGTTGTCCCAAAGAACGGCCAAAAAAGAAAGGTAAACTTATTTGTTAGTGAAGAAGGTAAACTATAAAGACAAAGAAAAAGAAAGGTAAGTAGTGATGGAAGGAAGCTATAGAAAAGGAGAATCCTAATTGTATGTATTTAGTCATTTCGGAATAAAGCTTAAGAGGAAAAATAAAAGAAAAAAGGAAGAGGAGCGCTTTTGACTGCCGGTTGATCACTGCCACTATTTTCCATCTTTCCCCAATCAGTAAACATTCCAGTTAAATAAAAGTTAGAAACGGAAGTAGGAAAAAGCCCATATATTCCTCTTCTTGTGCTTCCAAATATTCTCTCTACCCCTTACATCGCTCACTACTTTTTTTACCTTGTTTGTTGAGTATATGAATGGGCCAAAAGAATAAAACAAGAAGAAAATATTAAAATACAACAAAAATTCCCGACCAAGAATTTAAAGAAGCAGCTTTTTCTTTACAAACAGAAGTTAAGGAAATGAGAAAAAGTCGGCTGTCTGTAAATAAATTATACCGATTGAGGGAAATAATTGGATAATGGAAAAGAATTCTATAAGAATATACATACATATTTGAATATATAGAGGATTTATTCTTGATTGAGGATATCAATACTATCAGGATTGCTATTAAATTGTTGTTAATCTTCTTGCCGAAGCCGTGCATTATTTTGCTTGATCATACATAGCAGCAGCGATCTCTCAATTGCAAAAATACATATGTATTTTTCCCCAAAAATCTTATAGTTTATTTCTAACTAAAAATATCGGAAATCTGGTCACGGAAATTTCACAAGAAATTACTACACCCGTTATACATATTTAACAAAATTCCAAAAATTTGTTAGCTAACTTCCAAAAAAATCTTGGAGACTAAATTTCCGCGACTTGTTAAAATGAGGCGTGTCAGATTGAGTTTAATTTTGTTATAGTACAACATTGAAATTGTTCCAATTCTATTTCCACAGCAGAACAAACTTCAATTCGATCTATTTTTTTAATTGATCAACTAAAAGAGTTATCAACTGATCAATCAGAGAGTGATCAAAAGGAGATTGATTGAGCCATACGATATTTTGCGAAATGTCATTTTGGGTGGGATATTTAGGGTCAGCGATATTCTGGGTGGCGATATTTTGGGTTTCGATATTCTGGGGTGGACTCGGAATATTCTTGCAATTCTTTCTTTCCGCTTTTTTCGGATTATTGTTAATTTGAGGATTACAATTCTTAATCGAAAACACATATTTAGTATTCATTTTTAAAATTATTTTATTTTATATTTTACTAATAATTTTAGATGATTTCCAAAAAATATTTAAATAATAAATCATTTATTCTTTTAAAATCAACAATTCCACATTCTAATTATTATATTAAAAATTTATTTGCAAGTAATTCAAGTACTTCAAATTCATCAACAGATTATATTGATGAAAGAGAAAATCATCAACCAATTAAAAAAGAAAAATTAATTAAAAATAAAATAATTAAAAAAACAGCCTTTCAAAGATTTAAAGAAATTTTGGAGTTTAAACCTGGAAATGTTCCTCAAACAAATTTGGGAGTTATCGACAAAAAGGGAGGATTGGTACAATTAGATGTGGATATTCCTTTAAATGTTTTGTTAGAAGATTCTCCAAAAATTTTGAAAAAAGAAGCGAAGGTTTGGATTTTTTAGAAGGTTTTTAGTTGGGTATATATTTATTGATTTATGGCTAGTTTATATTTGTAAGGAAAGTTAACTTCTAGAAATGAAAACAAAGCTGGGGATGTCTTAAATATGTAATTATTTAAATAAATTTTTTAAAATTATTTTTTAGAAACTTTCTACTCATTTTCGACAAAAATTTTATCTAGTCGATCATCCAAATTTATTGCGAAAGCAGAGTGATACAGCACATACAGAAACATTTATTCAATATGAATTTAGAAATGATGAAGTAATTAAAATAGATTAATGTTTTTAATTTTAATTTTTTTAGGATTTTGAATATTGGCAGACGGGAAGTGATTCTGATTGGAGTGAAGGGTATTCTAAATGTGATTTTTACAAAACTGATAGAGGAACTGCTATTTTTGAAGGATATTTAAGTCAAAAAGTTGTTAAGGATGGAAGGACAGAATGTGCAGGATGGTGTTCGATAAAAACAATTGACATGATGTCGTTAAATTTAAAGAAAAGATATGAGGAATGGGGATATTACAGCCATTTACTTATTAAAGTTTTTCTTTTTAAATTTTCAAAATTTATATTTTTCAAGTGTCGAGGTGATGGCCGTTCATACAAAATAATGTTACATTCACCAGAAAGTTGGGATATAACTTGGGGAGGTTTGAAATTAAAAAATATTTTTCTTTTAAATTTAAACTATTTAGATACCCATTCATATCCATTACATACTCATGGAGGCCCTTATTGGCAATTTGAAATGATTCCATTTTCTAGATTTTTTTATACATATGGTGGAAGAATAATGGATAGACAATTACAATTTTATCAAAATTGTGCCAGGTTTTATTGAAATTAAATTCAAATAATATTCTTTTTAGTTCAATTGGAATAACTTTAATGGATAATCTTGAAGGACCTTTTAGATTAGAAATTGACTTTATTGGAGTGACTAATGATAAAACACACACAGAAGAACTCGCTTATGAAACTTTTAATACTCCCTTTACCTAAATTTTAAATTGTTTTTCTTTTGAATATATTAAAGCCTAAATTTTTATTGAAGACTTTTTTGATGCTTTTCTGGTTACTAGAAAAAAATTAGAATTAGCCAACATTCCAAACTTATAATGTTGATACGTAGAAATTGGTCAATGATTTTTTTCTAATTTACTCCTTTTGTAAAATGAACTTTCCCTGCAAGTTTTAACATAATATTTAATCTAATAAACATCACCAGAGATTGAAATAAGCATAGAATTTTTAAATAAAAATCATTTAAATTTTGGCAAAAGATACTTAATTTCAATCGATCGATGACTATTTATCTTCGATTTTGATGCCCTTGTCGTTCGTGCAAACCTTTTTGGATTTCATGTGTAGAAAATTTGTCATGTTTCAGACGTTCCATTGGAAGACGGTCTTCGACTAAAACCTAAAAATTAAATTAATTTATTAAAATTTTTGAAGAGTTTCAGAGAAAAACCGCTATCTATTTTTGCTAAAAGTAGTGACTTAAAGTTATCTCTGTCTTAGGAATCCAACTCATTGGTATCTATCGGAAGATTATTGAATGGACTATTCTATAAACGATTGTTTTTTATAACAGAAATAATTGAATAAATATACCAATCCTTTAAAACACGTTCTTATTACAGTCGAATGTTGATAGCACGTTTCCTTTGAGACCGAATTGTGCGAACGTAAATTGAAAGAGAAACCTATAAGAAGACATACTATCAAAACTCGACTTATTAAAAAATTTTGTCATTATTTATTAAAAGACAAGGCACCAAAAATTGTTTAAAAAACCTCAGCTCCGTCAATAAAATGAGGACGAGCGCGAAGTGCGCCCTCAACAGAATCCGAATGAGCAAAAGTAATTGAAGCAAATCCTCGATGTAATCCAGTCTTTGGATCCTGAATAAGATTAAATTTATAAAACCAAAAATTAAAACATACAAAGAAAAGGCTGACATCTTTAATTTTCCCATAACGATCAAAATGTTTTTCTAATTGACTTCGACCAGTTACCCATTTTACATGTTTAAGATAAATTGTTGTTGGCTTTTGAATATTTTGAATTCTAAATCTTTCAAATAATTGATTTGTTAAAAGACGAGAGGCGAAACGCATTTCTCTAAATTTATAATCTAAAAAACAAAATCATTTACCGTTTTTTAAAGTTCCCCTTATTATCCCTACTTTACCTTTTTTCCATAATTTGTTTAACAAAGGATAAAAATTATCTCGTTTTTAGCTTTTAGTTATTTAGGTGTGTAAAACATGAGATACTTTGTTTGAGGAAACTAAAAGGCATAAACAAAAAAGGGAAAATTTAGCGAACATTTGTATAATTTATTTTCTCTAAACGCTAAAAACATGCTGCGCCGAAAAACTGGCCCCGAAACGTGCGCGCCGAACTGAGGTGTATTCGCTGATACTATAAAAGCTCGTTCTTTTTGCTTGCATCATCTTCAAATCAACTCGACTACTGCTACTTTCTTGGCAACGCTTCTCCTGTTATTCGAGTGAGTTTTGTCAGCGGCGTCTAGTACTTTCTAAAAAATTTTTGTTTTTAGCCATCGTTCGCTATTCAATCCGCAAGGTAACAGCGTCATGAAGAGGCTCGATTGTAAGGCTCTTCACTACCAATGGGGCAGAAAAGGCGCTGAAAGCACTGTGGCCCAGCTGCGAAAGGATACAATTGAGGAGGACGAGTTTTATGCGGAGGTTCTTTTGTGGAGGAAGATGAGATGTCTCATGTTTTTAAATTTCAGTTGTGGATGGGCACGCATGCAAGAGGACCATCGCAAGTGAAAGAAGGTGAAGCACGGATTCCGTTGGCGGACTACTTCAGGGATCATCCGGATGTTCTCGGGCAACACGAAAGGGATGGCGTCGGTCTTCAGTTCCTGCTCAAAGTGCTCTCTGTTGGCAAATGCTTGTCTTTGCAGTTGCATCCAACGCGGGTTTGGATCCTTGTAGTTTAATAAAGATCTTTGTTATATTTTGACAGGAACAAGCCAGAGAACTCCATGCCGCTGATCAAACCAATTATCCAGATGCCAACCACAAACCGGAGCTGACGATCGCTCTAACGAATTTCGAGATTCTCTGCGGATTCCAGATGCCGGACACAATTCTCAACAACCTTCGCTCACATGAGGCACTTGTTGAATTGTTAGGTGAAACGGTGTTGTCAAGTTTCGGCGCGACTACAGACGAGGAGGAGAAGAAGGGTGCATTAAAGAATATCTTCACACAGATCTGGACTATTCCGCCAGAAGAGATTGGGACTTTGCTCACAAAACTTCTTTCGGACATCTTTCTGAGTAAGTACTTCAAACATTTTGCCTTTCCATTTATAAAATTTCTACTTTTCAGAGGAACAACGGTCACAAACAGACGAATTGATTATGGGTCTCAGCGAACATTTTCCTGAAGACATTGGGATTCTGGCGCCGCTCTTCCTTAACTACGTCAAGCTCAAACCTGGACAAGCGACATTTCTCGGACCAAACGAACCACATTCATATTTGTCTGGAGGTGAGTGATTAACTTATTAAAAACCATAAAATATTTTTTACTTTTAAACAGATTGCATTGAATGTATGGCTCAATCCGACAACACTGTTCGCGCTGGACTCACGCCAAAATTCAAAAACGTCCCCTTGTTCTGTGAGAACCTCACCTACCGAATGGGAGGGCCGCCCATTTTTGAGCCACAACATCTGGCTGACGGTGTAGATGAATATTCGCCTGAAGTACAAGAATTTTCAGTCCACAAACTGAATGTAAGCTGATTTTTTTGTACGACTTTGAAAAAGTCTTTAATTTTTAAAAAAATTTCAGAAGGAAGTCTCTGTGGTCCAGCCAATCGCCGCTGCTTCAATCTTGATAGTCGTCAACGGTTCTGCCACAATACTCCCAAATGAAGGCAATGAGGAAAAGATTGAAAAGGGTGATGTCCTTCTTTTGCCGCAGCAACTTGGAGCTAAACTGAATGAAAAGAGTGACGATTTCTTGGTATTTCGGGCTTACACACCGCCGCCAAAAGAGAAGTAATATGGATATATAGAATTGTTGTGATATATATGTGTGTAATATAATAACTAAAATATAGGTATATTTGTTTTCCAATCTAAATTGTGATTTTCCCTTGTGTCTTAACAAAAAAACTTTGTTCCTCATCTATAAATAAATATTCTAACTATTATTTGTACATACTGTAATATATTGTATAAATTGTTTCCCTATGATTGAAAGGTTTTTTTAAAATTTAAAAAGCATTGATAGAAAACAAAATTGCACAAATTAAAAAATTAAATTAATTTTCTTAAATAAATATTTCTTCATTAAAATAATTCCCGTTTTATTATTCCTTCTATAATCCAAAATTTCCAATTGTTGAATTTGGAGAAAGTAGACAAGCTATAAATTTTGACAAATTTATTGGCATTTCTATTCCAATTTTGTGTTTATGCAAATCGTATAACTAAAAAGATTTTTGTTTTTAAAAATATTTAAGAGAGGGAATGTTTAAAAGTTTACTTTCTTTTTTAAAATATTTCTTAAAAAATATACCAGAATTTTCCCTTCTTTAGTCATCCAAAGCATGGAATCTTTATTATATTTCAAAACACCAACAAGTTTTTCTAATGCCAAATTTGGGAAATAATTAACAGCTTCTTTTGAAACAAAAGGAGCTAAATTCCAATAAGGATCATAAATAGCAAAACGATTTTTCTATAAAAATTTAAAAAATAAATTTATTTTACTTCTATAATACATTAGCTAAAATTAAATGTCCTCTATTCCATTGAAATCCTATACGAGGAACAAAAGTAATATTAAAAGGTAATTCTCGTGGACTATTCTTTGCCATCTAAAAATGTACATAAAAATTATTGTTATTTTTTTACACAAAAAATAGGATTGCCTCGGCTCGCTCGACCCGAAAGATCGAGCGAACCGAGGCTTTTCAGCTCGAAAGGCTCGAAAACGAACCGAATCGAAAAAAACCAAGCTCGAAAAATATGCACCGAACGTCGGCTCGAACCGAAAACGGCAACCCTACAAAAAATATATTTTTCTGAAAAAAACAGACATAAAATCGTTTATTCTTTTTATTCCATCTATAACGATAAACACTTCTCCAAGCAATTAATAAAGTAATTCCATTTTTCTGATTACTCAAAACGGCAGTAACTTGTCTTGGGCCATTTGGAAATAATTCTCTAATTAAATAAGCTTGTCTAGAAAAGAAAATATTTTTTTAGAATTTATTTAAAAGGAACCTTTGTTGAAGTCCATAAATATCTCTAAATACTTCATAAACAATTTCACCAGAAAATAAATATAAACGTTTATTATATCCTTGAATAAATAAACAATTAAAAATTTTTAAAAAAATATTTAATTTATACTTTCTTTTCAAAAATACTTATTTTTGGTTAATCTTTCTTTCAAATAAAGGATTACTCGTAATTAACTTAAAAATATTTCTATTTACTTCCCTAATTTACCTTCAGTAACAGCATCTAATTTATTTGGACATTTATTTGTATTTTTTGCGGTAATTATTGATAATAATGAATATTTTTTGAATTTTTGTTTTTTCTTTGCTTCATTATTAAAATAATAATAATAATTGTTTTTATTATTTCCATTTTTGTTTCTGCTAACATAGTAATATTTAACTCCAAAATTTGTATTACTAATTGCCCGTCTTTCTGTAAAGTTTATAATTTTATTTGATTAAATTCTAAAATTATTTTTTATTATCAAAACTATCTTGATGGGAGCAAACAACAGAGTTGCAGGCCCGAGATTCAAAAATCAAAAATTCAAGGAAATAACTACATATTTATTAAAAGTGCCTATTTTTTTGAATAAATAACGAAATAAAAAAATTAAAAACAAACTTTTAATATTCTTTTTAATTTGTGATTCTTCTTTCAAACTTTCAATTTCTTTTTTATTTTTTAAACCAAAAATTCTTCCTTTATTTTCAATATTTAAATCAGAATTATTTTCAGAAATTATATTTGAATTAAAAAATAAATTAATTAAAATAAATAAGAAAGAAAATAGGAGGAGAAAAAGTAATAAATATAAATTATTTTGGTGTTTTTGAAACATTTTTAATTGAAAAAATATTTCTGAAAATTAACTCATTTCTGAAGAAAATATTATTTAAAATAAAAATTAAAATTGTAATATATAAATAAATAGCTAGCTTTCTTTCTCTCCCAAAAAACACTTCTTACTCATACATATTTTTTTACAAAAATAGTAGCAGCAGAAGTAGTGAAGTATTAGTTACTTTTTTTTAACAAAATATTTATGTAAATTGACCAATCTCTTCCTTTTTTAAATATCAAAAATAAGTAAAAAATGATTGGCCAAATTTTGATTTTATATTTAAAAATATGTGTGTCTGAATGGAAGGGGTTCTGAATGAAGGAGATTTAATTTAATTGTTGAAAAAAATGAAATTTAATTTGGATTTTTATTTTTTTAAATTTATTTGAAGTCTTCAACTCTTTTAAATAAATTCTTCATTTATCTGAACTTCTATTCAAATTTAATAAAATTATAAGTTAAAATGATTTCCCTGTTTTTCTTATAAACGAAATGAGTGAAAGATTTTAATTTTGTGTAACTTAAAATTTTGGAAAAATAAAGGAAGGAATATAAAGGAAGGAAGTATTTATTTTTTTGTAATAGGGAAATCCAAACTGACAGAGATTCAGATACAGACTAAATAAGTATATAAAATTGTTAAATGAAGAAATATTTATTAAATTAATTTAAAAGTTTTGTATCAAATGCTAGGGACTTTCAAAACACAAATTAAATATTTTTTATTTTTCTTTAAAAGAGAAAAGGTAAATAAATAAGTGGGAAATGTTTGATCTAATGATCTGATAACTTTAAATAAATTGTGGTTAAAAAAATTGTTTTTTTAGTTTAACATTTTTGTTGTTTGAGAAGAAAAGTTTAAAGAATTTATTTTTTAAAAAGGTCTTGGAAAATTAATTTAAAAGGAGGGAGTCTTTTAAAAAAATAAACAAAATTGTATTTAATTTTTAATTTCTCTATTAATTTTTCAAAATTAAATTTTCTATGTACAATAACAAGCCTCTCTAATTCAAAATTAATTTTGGTTATCTCAAAATTTTTTAAAATTTTTTACCTTGGATTTTATTTTTAAATATTAAACAAAAAATTATTTTTAATTTAAATAAAAACTTTAACAAAATTAATTTAAAAATATTTTTAAATAAAAGAAATCATAATTTAATTTAGTTAAAATAAAGTAAAATAATTAATTACCTATTTTCAGTTAATAAAAAAGCATTATTTAAATTACAGAAAAGTTGCATTAAAAATATTTATAGAAGATTAGTACTACATAAAAACAACTTAATAATTACAATAATAGGAATTCTTCAAAAATTTGAAAGTTTTTAGGGGAAAGGAATTTTAAATAAATTTAATTTAAAAACACTAACGAAAAAAGAAAATCTTTTTAAAAAAATTAATTTCGATGAAAAAGCCCGGCAACCAAATTTGGCAAAGAAGAAACAAAATTAATAAAAATCTTTAAAGAATCAAAAACAATTCCCAAAATATTACTAAAAATTCTTTTTCCGTGCGTACATTTTGTTTTAATTGAAGGTTTTGGGTATTTAGACCAGCAATCGACTACTTGCCTTTAAAAATAATTTAAACAAAAAAAATTTCTAAAAAAACTTGTCGCAATGACACAAAGCTTCTTTGCATCCATTTAAAGTTTTTGGACAATTAATTACTTTATTTTTACATTCCCAGCCATAATCATCGATATATTCAAATTCTACATCAAAACAAATTCCTTTATCTACAGCCAAATCATAACATTTATCGTGTGCCATACAACAACTTTTAAAAATTAAAAAAATTAATTCATTCCCCAAACAATTAATTTGGCAATCCCTGAGAATATTTTCAGAATTTTTTTTCGAAGAAACCTTTATTCTCCGGGATTTCCGTTAATTTAAAACCCTCCAAAAATATTTAATTAAATAAACCTATCAATTTTATCCATAGGTTCTCCAACTCCCCCAACTCCACACCAACAACCATAATCATTATAAGCCAAAGCACTATACCCCAATTTACATTCAGCCATTTTATTTAAATTCCACAAAGCCTCATATCCCCCTTTTCTTCTTTTTGTTGTTAAATTAGTTAAAGCAGCTACTTCAATTAATAAAAATAAAAAGAAAAAAATTTTCAATAAATTAATTAATCGAGGAGACATTTAAACTAAAACTAAAAATAAATAAATTAATAAAATCAGCTGATATTAAAAACTATTCGGTATCCACACAAATTGCCAATGACTAATTTCGCCAATAAAGGTAAAAATGTTTATTTTGCCACAATAAGTGAAAAATTCTTTGTAAATAAATTTTTCTGTTTTTTTTTGTCGCCAAAATCGGCTACAAAACCTAAATGAGGATATCAGTAAAGGATAAAATTAAACTAGTAAATAATTAGACGAACATAAAATGGACTAAACAATAAAAACCAAAAATTTAAATATAGAGTGTTTCAACTAAGAAGCACTATTTTATCGATATTTCCTTCATTTCAAAAATTTTAAAAAATTAAAAGATTAAATTGTATAAATTTATAATTCAGTAACAGGCAATATACTACTACAATTTCTTCCATCAACTTCTGCTAATAATTTAATAAATTCATTTTTTCTTCCATTATTTTTTCTATAAAATGTTGATTCAATTTCCGGCTTTTTATTTAAAGATTGAATAAATGTTAAATGTGAAGGGGTATTTATTAATAAATTGTCTTCGTCTTTCTCAACAATTTTTAATGTTTTACATTTTCCATTATTTAATGATTGTGCTGTGATTAAACAAGGTAATGGACTCTGGAAATAAATAAAAATTATTTTTTTAAATACTTATATGTATAAAGGTAAAAAATAAAAAAAGATTTCTCCCAATCTAAAGAAATATTTAGATTAAATAACTTTAATTTCTTTTCTCTAATTAATTTATAACATGATTATTTTAATTTATTTAATTTTGTTAGAAAATTCTTAAAAACAATTTAGCCTTCTCTCTTCTTGAACCAAAAATATTTTTTTCTTAAATTTAATTTTAATATTTACTCGAATAATTGGATGTTTTCCTTTTTTAATTCCTCCATTACAAATAAATTCATTTCCTTCTTTATCCTCCAAAATATTTTTTGTTTCATTTTCAATTTCTACATACAAATTTCCAGCTTTCCATTTAATTGAATTTAATTTTTTTAAATTTTTATTTTTTCTATATGGACAAGAATGACAAAAATTGTGTTGACTTTTAAATTGGGAAATACACGGACATTGAAGCCAAACAGGGGAAACTGATTCTGATATATTTGTTGAAGTTGTCGTTATTAAATGATTTCCATCATTTACTTGAAAAGGAAAAATTTAAAATTATATTTTTTTGAAATAAAAAATTATAAATTAAAAATCTAGGAAAAGGTAGAATAATCTAAATTCAAAAATTTTTTGAAATTTTTCCGTTTCTTGAAGAGGAGTGGGGGGGGGGGGGTTCCACAGGAACACACGGATTAATTTAAATATTCGCCTCCTCCCACTTCTAAATATTTTAACACCATTATCTGGAATTCAAAATCAACTGTTTATATTCTCTATTAAATCATCTTTTTGTTATGTTTTTATCTTTAAATTAAGTTACGAGAAAAAACTTTCTAGTCACCCTTTAATTAAAAGCCTTCTTCCTGTATTCTTAAAACTTTTACATGCACCTACATCTCGTGGTTAGTGATTCGAATTATTTATAAAGATTAAAAAGAATTTCTTTTAATTACAAAACTTACCAAATTTTGAATTATTTTGATTTAATAAATTAATATTTCCATTTTTTATTCCATTATTATTTTTATCAATATAATAACCAAAACAAGAAAAACATTTTGCAAAATATTTTCTTTAAAAATTTAAATATATTTATTTATTTATTTAAAATAAACTAAACTTACATAAAAACTTCTCTATATTCTTTATTAAAAATTAAATAAATAACACAATTAACAGAAGAATTAAAAACAACCAAAAAATTACTAGCATCTGATAATAAATTTAATAAAAGAGGATCTGGTTCAAAAAAAGTTTCAATTAAATTAACAATAAGTGAAAGAGTATTGCAACACAAAAATAAAACAACAACCTTTTTAATTAATTTAATAATTAATTAAAATTAATTAAAATTACCATAACCATAGTAATTGTTTCATCAGAACTTGGATTTATAGTTCCCGTAGATTCAATAGAAGGGGCACTTTTTAATGGAGAAAATTTTAAATTTCCATTTTTATGATAAATAATTGGTGAATTTATTGAATTATTTTGTTGTTGAATTGTTGGGGAAGAGGAAGAAGAAATGGAAATACTTTAAAAAAAAAAGGAAAATAATATGTATTAATAGATATTTATTAAAGTAAAAAAGATATTACACCCTTTAGGGATGAAACAAAAGTCTTTCAAGGAGGTGTGGTCTAATACAGGCAAATTTTTAATGTCCAAAAATTTATTTAGATTTATTAAATATTCGCCCCCATCTACTTCTAAATATTCTACCGTCATTATCTGGAATTCAAACCCTTCCCTCCCATAATGGCCAAGCAAATATTAAGAATTGTATGTATTTTGAGAATATTTTGGGAGGAGGGGGGGGGGGTATATTTGCGAGAAATTATTTTTATTTTTTAATACCTTTTCTTTAATTGTCTTGAATGTTTTGCATCAACAGATTTTCGAATAATAATTAAAGTATTTAAAAGTAACAAAATAAAAAAAGGAAATAAAGTCATTGCAAACATATATAAATAAACTTTAAAAAAATAATTAAATTAAAATATTTAAATATCAAAAACCATTATAAATAGTGTTTATATGATAAAATAAATATGTTGGGCATATTTCAATAATCATATCCCCACTTCCATCGTGAATACATTTTCTCAAATTAAATTGTGGAAAACGTAAAGAATTGTAAATTATAGAGCAAATAATTGTTAAATAAATTATATTTTTGGCTTTTTTAATTGTGCAGTGAAAGGGGGAGTGTTTGCGCCAACAAACCTTTTTAAAAAATAAAATAAAAATTATTTTATTAAAATATATTCTTACACAAATATAACAATCAAAAGCAGCTGCTACAGTAAAATAAATAGAGCAGGATTGTGCCATATATCCAAAAGGTAAAGTATATACCTTTTTTAATTAAAAGGAAAATATTTATTTATTTATTTAAAATTAACTGTAGTGTAGGGTGCTTGTACTAATTGGGGAATATAAGAACGTGCAGAGTCTATCCAAAAAATAAATAATCCAGTCAAAACAACAGAAAAGTCTGAGAAGGCCAAGAAAAGTAAATAAGTATTTGATGAATTTTTCATACAAGGACGGGTAAAAACTTGAAAAGAAAAAAAATAAAAATATTTTTTAATTAATTAATTAACCAAAAATATTAACAAAATTAGTTAATACACCAAATACAGAAAGGGAAGGTAACATAACAATAATAACAATATAATTAAACCAAGCATATAAAGGTGAATAATCTTCGTGTTGTAAATCAGAACAAATACCTTTTTTTAATTAATTAAATTATTTATTCCCTCGACAGACTTACAATGACTTGAATTAAATTCCCCTCCTCCATCAAATGGTTGTATAGCCATAATACTAAATTTAAAAATAAATATTTTATTTATTTTTAAAGTAAATTGAGAAGTAAAATATTTGGAAAAAACCTTGGAAAGAAAGGGACAATCCCTTCAACTGTTAAAGTTGTTTCTCTCGTTGCCATTTCTTCCTCTACTTTTTTTTTGTATTTGAAGAGAAGGCTAATTGGAAGAAAATAAAAGAGAGAGAGAAAAGCTTTTTATGGAAGTTTTTTTTTAACTTTTTTTTTAGAAAATTATATTTTTTTGCTTCTTCTTCTCTTTTAATCACTGCTCTTTTAAATCCCTTTTTGCCTTTTTTTAGTCAAATAAAAATATTTTTATATTTTTAAGTATTTAATAGAGTAGTTAGTTGCAGTCATTAATATATTCTTTTTACGAATTCTTAAAAAAATAATTTTTTAATAAATAATAATCAGAATCTCGATACTTATACTAACAAACTCGGAGGGATTAAATTAAAAAGTAAATTCATTTTTGTTTTCATGAGCCTATACCAATTTATTTAACTATGACAATTAATTAAAGGTTTTACATATTTACTTAAATAAAGCTTGTCTTATTTTTAATATACTATAAAGTTTATGGAAAAGATTTTTTAAAAAATATTTCTTCAAATATATTTCTTAAAACTCAAAAATTACTTTTTAAATATTTAAAAGTCAATAATTTGAAAATGTTGAAAAGAATTGTGAGAATAAATATCAAATTAAATATTTGACTTTTATTAAAAAAAAAAGAAGAATTTTTTAACTATAAATTTGCCGAAAAGTTCTTTCTTCCAAAAAAGATAGATTTATGAGACTCTGGGGATTAAAAAAGAAAAAAATGATAGGATCATTTAAATAAAGAAAAAGTTTTTCTTTTTTTAATGTTAACGGCTGTTCTGACAAAGTAAATACATATCCCCCGTTGTTTTTGAGGCTTTTAAAGGTATAAAGGGTGAATTGAACATGAGACGAATAAAAAATGAAAAACAATCCCGGGGGTAATGAAACAAAAAAAGAAAAGAAATATATAAACAAAAATATATATGTATATACCTTTATTTTTTAAAAATTTGAAAAAAAAATTTTTTTTAATATTAGAAAAAAAAATGAAAGAAATTTTTAATAAAAAATTAAACTTTTTTAAAGTAATTTAAAGAATATAAAATAAAAATATTTTTATTAAATATTTTTGTTTAATTAAAATAATTAAAAACCCCCTCCTTCATTTTATTTAAATTTTACACTTAAAAAATGACAGAAAATTGGAAGGAATTATTTTTATTTATTAAAATAACCTATTATTATAATTGCGAAAATGAGGGTAAATAATAAAATGAAAATAGGATATATTTTGTTGGAATAATATTAAAAATATATTCTGTAAAAAAGAGAAATTTCCAAAAAAATGTTAAAATAGAAGAATAAAAAAAATAATTTTAAAATTTAGTTTTCTAAATGAATAATTTTTAATAAAAGAAACAAAGGAAAATTCTATAGAAAACAAAGCCTAAATTTTTACGCTAATTTAAATAAATTAAAAAATCAAAATTGACTTTAAAAAATATTAGAACAAATAATAATGAAAAATAAAATGTCAGCAAAAAAATTTCAGAGATTTACTACAACAATTTGTCAAATAAATTTTTAAATATTTAACTAACGCTGCTTTAATTAATAACTTCTAATTAACGAAGGAATAGGTTTCAGTGTTAAAATTTAAAAAAAATTTCCGTCTTGATTGTCCCACTACTCTTTTTTGTTCTGCATATGACTGTCCTGGTTATATAAAAAATAAAAAGTTAAGTTATAATAAAAAAAATATATTTTTTTAAAGCTTTAAAAAATCTAATTTTACTTCTATTGTGCCAATTTTAGTACCTATTCATTTTTAACTTTGAATTTATAGAATGACGATGATACCTCACGCGTTCTTCATCACTTTATAATATAATTTTTGTAAAAAGAATATTTTAAGGTTAAAAATAGGGAAAAATAAATATGTAGAAATTATTTCGAAAAATTTGTTTAAGAGTTTAAATGAAAATTATAAAATTATATAAATACTAAATATGTATAATTCTTGAATAATTGCTCAGGTAATTATTGTTACAACCTCTCTTGGAAGGGATAATTAATAATTAAAAAGCCATCTAAAAAAACTCCTCTTCTCGTATAATAAAAATTTTCCAAAATCAGAAAAAGTTATTTTCATTTTACCTTTTAATTTAAAAAAATTTATCCAAAAAATATTTTAAACAAAATCATTCCCTTCTTTACTTAATTTTCCTTTTCTCATTCAATTACAAGGCCACACATTAATACTTTCTTTATATCTCCGACAGAAAAACCGGACATATATTTATTGTTGTCCATTTACTCATCAAACAAACAAAGCCTTTTATAAATGAAAATGTCCACAGACTAGAATGAGGAAGAAAAAACATTTAACAATTTTCTTCTGACTGAACAGAAAAAGCAAAATTGGTTAGTCTTTTCTTATTTTATTTTTGAAGAATTGTTTTCTAATTATCTTATGTAAGTGAATATTTTTAATAATTATTTTAAATTATTTTTAATAAATATCAAAAAATCCTAACAAAATCTATTCTCTTTTTATTTAAGGCTGCCCCTCGAAGGATTTACAAAACATTCACTTCTCTTATTCCTTTGCTTTTGCTGTATTTGGACACTCTGTTGTAGTCAATTAGCACATTTGGTTGGACTAGCACCAAAATCAAGCCTAGAAGACCACAAATTATTGGATCACCATTCAAGGCACCATTCATTAATGGGACCGTGTCTAGACAGAGGTGAGATATAGAATACAAATTTTAAAAAATCAGCGTTTAGGTCAATTTTGTGATAAATTAAAACGATTTTGCAATGATTTCAAATATCAAACATTAATAAATAAAGAATGCCGTGCTACTTGTGGAAGATGTTAATTGTTTAAAAAATGATCTTATTTTTTATTTTTGAGGAAAAAGAGAGGTCCAACTAGCTAGGCACTTGAAACGGTTACCAGGAAGGGGTTTAAGATCTATTAGAAAAGAAAGTGAAAGCAGCTCCCGTAACTAAGTCGTTAGAGCACCTTGAGTATACTCGGATGCTTGCCCGGGACTAAACTTTTACCTCTCTTTTACTATGTTAAAATTTGTTTGCCAACCGAATTTTTTTAATTTTAACAAATTAAGTTAACAAAAGTCCAAAAAATTTCATCAAAAAGGTTACTAATTTGAATAAACTTTTACTAAATGACATTGATACATAAAATTGAATAATCAAAGGTCAATATATTTCGGTACAATTGCATTATGTGCCTCCATTTACTTTTATAAATAAATGAGCTCATTTCCGGCTTGATTATGTTTCGGTCCAATAAATAGGGTCTCGCCTAATGTCTAAAAGATGCCCCCTCATAAATTAAAAATGGAGGCACCCAATGCGACGGAATCTATATTTTAGATAATAAAGGAATTTTTAATGCGTTCACAAATATATAAAAAAATTAAAGTTAATTGAAATATAAATAATTTTTCCTTTCGCTTATCTAAACTTCATTTCATGTCTCGTAGGAGAAATTATATTTTGAGAATTTACTACCTTTTGATTTTTTAAATATTTGTCTAAAAGCCACATAGTACCCCATTCTTTCAGTTAAAATTTAAAATTATTTATTTCCAATTTATCATTTTTTAAACAAATTTTTCACCATAAAGCTTCTGGAAATCCATTATCAGCACTAAATCCTTCATCATTCGCCTTTTTCATATTAAATGGAGGAGTAGATCCTTCACCTTCTGTTTGGCGCCAACGCCTTTTTCCCTTTTCTTTTCCAAAAGCACTTTCAGCCAATTCATGAAGACGTGGGGGAACTACTTGTTTTGCCTCTTCCAAAACTTTAATTAAATCTCTAGCTTTCGGGGAATTATTTTGCGTGAAGAAAGTGTAACTCGTCCCCTGTTAAAAAAGATTTTACTTAAAAATAACAAAATAGGTATACCGTTTTATCTTGACGCCCAGTACGTCCAATTCGATGAACATAGTCCTCAGAATTATTCGGATAGTCATAATTGATGACATATTTTATATCAGAAACGTCTTAAATATAAAATAATTTAAATGTTTTAATAGAAAATAATTCCAAATTTTCAATAAAACTAACAAAAAAATTAAAAAAAAAGACCAACCTTCTCCAATACTCCGTAGTACCACGATGATTTCGCGGAACACGGAACCAGGAAAAGGTTTGGTCAGCCAGAGTTGGCCATCGCGCGAACATTTGAACATTCTCCTTCTCTCGTAATAAAATTGTGCGCGACAACCAATCGTGTGAAACGATTTTTTAATTTTATGACGATCCACACAAACACAACAGTAGAGCAGCCAGCCACGTCCTTCCAAAAAATAAATACCTGAATATGACATGACCAACTTTTTTACTGTTGTTTCCCTTCAATACTTCCTCGATTCTTTGTTTTTTATTTTTTTAATTAATTTCCGCCGCATTCATATAATTTTTAAAAAAATATATTAGCAGCGTTTGAGATGATTTTCTAAATGATGTTTTGTATTTATTTGAGGAAGAGTAGTAGGGAGAGTACGGAACATCAAAAGAAAACGATCCACACGATGCACTGGCTATCTTATTTCTTAGCCCCCAGAGAACATACCCAATCCACGAGCAGCGACATCAGTCGCAAGCAAAATAGGGGTTTTACCCTCCTTGAATTCTGTAAATTTAACATTTATTTAATCAAAAATAGTAAGAAAACCCGACCCGCAAGAACCCACTCCCGTTCTTTTTGCTCTTTATCACCGTGAATACATAAAGCTGGCCAACCTATAATAAACATATAATAATTAAACGTCAAAATTATTTACCATCACGCCGCATATTTCGAGTAATCTCATCTGCTTTTCGTTTAGTTTCAACAAAAATGAGTGTTTTGCATTCTCGCTTTAAATTTAAAAAAAAATGAGAAAATCAAAATTTTTGTTTTTTAAATATTATAAAACAGGGCTCTCATTCGTGCTTTATTTGAAAGTATTATACTTTGAAACCGACCTCCATACTTAAGAAATTGAATTTATACTTTATTGAAAGTATATACTTTAAAATCAACATTTTGGATTGAAAATGAAATTGGGGAAGGGATTGGGCAAAAAAGTGAATTTTTTTAGCCTTGGGCCTTCGAAATTATCAAAATTTTCGCCTGCGGCGCTGAAAAAGAAAGAAATCTGGCTTCTTGGGCTCCAAATTTCAAAAAATTTTCGCCTGCGGCGCTGAAAATGGGAGAAATCTGACTACTTGGGCTCCAAATTTCAAAAAATTTTCGCCTGCGGCGCTGAAAATGGACGAAAGCTTGAGGTTAAGACTGTCAGGGCTTTATTTCTTGTATCAGCGAATTTTGACATGTCATGCGTTGAAATGCACAAAATGCCCAATGGAAGCAAGAAATTATTAGAAAAGATTCATTTAAGAGAGAAATATAAAAGATTTGAGCACGAACAAATATTTTCCAATTTAATTTTGAGTATACTTTAAATTTGGAAATTTTCTCCCTATATACTTTTTTATCAAGATTTTGATACTTTTGAGTGGCATTTTGTCGATGAGAGCCCTGTTATAAAATAATGTAGACCAGTTAAAGTACATAAAAAAGCCAAATTCTAGCTAATTCATGGTTGCAAAAGGTCTTCATTTAATTTTGCGCTTTTCAAAACTCCCTTAATACTGAAAAATCAAGGAGAGAAGAGTAAAGCGCCAAATAATTTTTAAAACGCTAAAAAAGACAAACCTGTCTCATAATATGATCAAGAAGTTGGAAAAGCCGACCTTGTTTTCCAAACTCATCAATAATCTCAATATGTTGTTGAATATTATGATTGGCAGCTAATTCCAAAGAGCCAACATGTAAATGGACAGGATTATTCTGAAAATCGGCAGCAAGAGTCCTAACTTCTTTTGGCCAAGTAGCTGAGAACATTAAAGACTGTCGATCGGGCTAAAATAAATTTCATGAAATGCTAAAAATGCCTAAAATATGCCTAAAATAATAACAATTTAATAATCAGGGGTATAGAAAATAATAAAGGGAAAAATAATAATGTCATCCCAGAGTTGCATCTTTCAGGACGAATAAAACTTGACAATTAATTATATTAAAAATTATTTTAAAAACCTCGCTTCAAATCGCTTGCTTGGCCTTGCTTAGCTGCTCCGCCATAACAGCAATTAATTTCAAGGTGCATTATACGGCAATATTCACGAGCAACTTCTTCAACTTGAACAGCCAACTCACGAGTGGGTAAAAGAACAAGAACAGTTGGCCCTTCATTTGGACGACGAGGAAGCTGACTAAAAATTTCATGTGTGTTTATATTCAAAAGATTAAGATTATACTTCAATGTATGCACAATAGCTGGTAAAATAAAGCCAAGTGTTTTGCCAGAACCAGTCTTTGCAATTGAAATCATATCACGGCCACTGAGAGCTACGGGCCAAGAAATGCTTTGAATCGTTGTAGGTCGATGATAATGGGCACAAAGAAGGTCAATTATCTCTTCTAAAAAGATTTGAAAAAATGAAGATAAATCAAAAACAAACGTGGAAACCCGCTCTCATGAAACTCGGATATCGGACGAGGAATGTTATCACCCTCAAGAGTGACTTCAGTGGTTCTAAGCCATTCAAGAATTTCTGATTGTTCACGCCGAGTAATAGAAGCATGCTCACGATATAAATTTTTCTTGATGGGAGGAAGTTGAGAATGATCCCATTCTATAGGTCGAAGCTTCTTCCCAGCATCATCCATCCGTCTTGGACCTAGATTAATTGTTAAATATTTATTTATAAGTAAGTCAACCTCGATTTGCAAAATCACCACCACCTCCTCCTCCATAATTTGGAACGCCCCCTCCAAATCCTCCAAAACTTCCAAAGCCTCCACCACCACCAAATCCACCAGCTCCAAAACCGCCACCTCCTCCATAAGCGCCGTAACCATGAGGTGGTCCATAGCCATGGGGCGGACCAAACCCACCCGGATGAGGTAAATGACCGAAACCACCTCCACGTCCTCCACCACCACCGCCTCGGCCTCCTCCGCCAGCACCAAATCCACCTCCTCTACCGCCACGGCCTCCTCCACCGCCACCAAATCCGCCTCTACCTCCAGCAGCACTGCCTCGGCCTCCCCCTCTACCACCAAATCCACCGCCTCCTCCACGACGACTAAATTATGTGTTTAAAATACATTTTCTATTCTTACTTTTTGTCTCCACGACGTTCTCCTGGCATTATTTGAATATTAAAGCAATAAAAAGCTAAAGTTTATGAGAATAAGCGCCTCCTGAAATAAATGTTTATTAAAAAAATCAACTTAAAATGAATACTACACGATTCAAAAATTAGAAAAACTGAAAGCGTCAACCCTACAACTTATCATTTCAATCGATTAGTAATGGTTTACGATAAAATTCGTTTCAAAATTAATATTTTAAACTCCTATTATTTTACAAATACAAAAGGAAAATGAACCATTAAAAATTTCAAAAATACTATTGCAGACATTTTTATCACTTTAATTAACACAATGTGCACAAAGAACAATACATACGTTTGTTTATACATTAGAAAATATCTATCCTATTATGAATACATCTATCGTCCAACCACATCCTATCAGGCCCCCGAGCTCGACTTGTTTTTCTTCTTGTCGGTATTAGACCTCTTCCTCGATCGGGATCGCGACTTCTTCTGTTTCCTCTTCCTCTGCGCCTCCTCGGAGCCCAACATTTTCTGTTTCAGCCTATCCATGAACGTCTTTGACCTCTCCCTGATATAGAGCGAAGACTCCCTGTCAGCCTTCCAGAGTTTGAGAGCTAATTAAACAAAAAAGTTTTTTCTAAATTTAAACAGACCTTACCAATTGTCGTTTCGTTTCTCAGGTTGAATGGATGCGCTCTCTTCGGGATATTAGGCATGTAGGCTTCATAGTCAGCGCTATCCTCTCCCTTGTCAGATTTTTCCGCGCTTCCTCCTGCCATGCAAAACAGACAATTTACCTATAAAAAACCATCATCAAAAAAAAGTTATAGAAACTAACCTTTATAGTTGTCGAACAAACAATATTGACAGTGAAGATAATGAATTCACCTTTCTTAAAAGCCTTTTATAGTATGACAACCTCAGCCCAAACGAGGAACCAAAAATAAAATTCTAATGTATTTTTGAAGTAAATTAAATACAAATATATAATGAAAACAATTAAATAGAATCAGCTTTATCAAAAAAACAATTCAATAGAAGGGTGAATGAGCATATATTTAATTGTAAAGAGGTGAATACCGGTGTGTATAGAATCATAAGCAAAGAATAAATTCAGCGAAAATTAAGAGAGTAAAGCAGGGCTCTCATCGACAAAATGCCACTCAAAAGTATCAAAATCTTGATAAAAAAGTATATAGGGAGAAAATTTCCAAATTTAAAGTATACTCAAAATTAAATTGGAAAATATTTGTTCGTGCTCAAATCTTTTATATTTCTCTCTTAAATGAATCTTTTCTAATAATTTCTTGCTTCCATTGGGCATTTTGTGCATTTCAACGCATGACATGTCAAAATTCGCTGATACAAGAAATAAAGCCCTGACAGTCTTAACCTCAAGCTTTCGTCCATTTTCAGCGCCGCAGGCGAAAATTTTTTGAAATTTGGAGCCCAAGTAGTCAGATTTCTCCCATTTTCAGCGCCGCAGGCGAAAATTTTTTGAAATTTGGAGCCCAAGAAGCCAGATTTCTTTCTTTTTCAGCGCCGCAGGCGAAAATTTTGATAATTTCGAAGGCCCAAGGCTAAAAAAATTCACTTTTTTGCCCAATCCCTTCCCCAATTTCATTTTCAATCCAAAATGTTGATTTTAAAGTATATACTTTCAATAAAGTATAAATTCAATTTCTTAAGTATGGAGGTCGGTTTCAAAGTATAATACTTTCAAATAAAGCACGAATGAGAGCCCTGGAGTAAAGCCAAAAAAGACGAAACATTTTTATTAAAATAATTAAAAAAATAACTTTGTTTAAAATTTTAAATGTTTCGCCTTCGGAAAAAGAAAAACAAATATTTTTATTTATTTAAAAAGCAATTCAATTATTAACATTTTGAGGCAAAACCGAAGGCGCTTTGCGTTTTGCATAAAGACAAATAGCAGCAGAAAGGACAGCAAATGCCAAAATAACAACAATAAAACCAACAACAGTAAAGAACACAACACAGCCCACAAACGGACAGACATCATCGCTGGTGGAATTAGCCTAATTTAAAAATTTTTTAAATTATTTATTTCAAAAAGGCATTAGATATTAGGTTATCAAAAAATAAAATTTCCAAAATGTTAAGTCATCCCAAGCAAGAAAAAACTCCAAAAATCTAATTCAGAACAGAAATATTTTAGGAACATATTTTATAAAAGAAATACAGGTTTTCCAGTAGTGCTGATGTTGTCCAAATTGAAAGTTCCCATCATATTCTCTCCTAAAAATTAAATAATAATATCAAAACAAATTCAAAATTTACCTCCAACAATCCCATCATTACCCAAAATTCCCATTTGGTATGTATTGTTTAACTCAGGCATTCCCGTCGTATTTGTAGCCAACGAATTGTTGAAGACTTCACCATCCTCAACATCCCAAGCAGTACAGAAAATAAGTTGAAGAACAAAAAACATAAAAGAGCAGAAGAACATTTTTAATATTTTTTTGAATAAATCAATCTAAAATACAAGAGAAAATTAAAACAAAATTGTTGAACAAAACCCAAAACAAATTGATAAAAATACAAAAAATATAAAATTGGATATAAAAATATATCAACAGATTTCATTAATAAAATATTCAAAAAAATTTTATCAAATAAAAGAACAAAATAATTATATATTACACAATAAAGAATTTCTCATTACACAGCAATTCACAGAAGAAACCAAATATAGAGAACATCACAGCAATGCACAACAACGCCTCTTACGTTTTGGAATTGGCGGAGGCAGAGCTTCGAGGTCTTTCGCTGCTTAAAAATAAAAGAAAATATAAAAGCTTTAAAGAAATTTTGAAACAATTTTTGAATTAAAGAAGGAAATCTGGGTAAAGAAATTAGTTGGACTAAATTATAAAAATTACCCAACCATTTTGGACTGGCGATTTGTCTCGCAACGAACTAAAATCACCAACAACTTCATATTCACTCTTCTTTTTAACAACTTGATCAGGCATGTGAAGAATTATAGAATTAAAATGAAATATTAATTTTTGATGATAATCCTATTAAAATAATTAAAAATCCAAAAAACGTGCCGCAAACAAAAAGTTTTGAGTATTATAGGAAAAGGAGGAAGATGATTAATTTAGATTTTCTGTGACAAAACATGCATAAATCCTCTGGCGCTCCGACTCGGGCACAGTGATCCATTTGCACAGTAAGACTTTTGCACAGAGGGCATCTGCACAGTGGACGATTGCACAGTGATTTGTGGTTAAGTGGATTCGTGTTAGGTTTTACTTATGTTATAAGGGAATAAATGTTACTAATTATTAATACCTTTACTAAAAAATCTTAAATTGTATTAGAATTCATAAGAAAAATCTGTAAATCATATAAGGAATCAAATGAATAAAAAATCTAACTGAAAATAATAATTGCCCCGAGTCTTAACAAGATTTTTTAAACAAGAAAGAAGTTTTTGGATATGTACCCCCTTTAAAAAATCTGATTTCTGTTTGCACTGTACTACCCCAACGCAGTTCGACTTAGGCGTACTCAGTCAAGTGCGTGTCCCGCAAGAAATTTTTTTTAAAGTGAAAAGGTGATTATCTAATATAGCAGACTCAGGACTACAAGGGGGTATGTGGTAGCCTTTCCAACAAAATCTATTTTTGATATAACAGGTCGTCAAAAATGCGGTGTGAAGCAGCATTATTTTAATGGCAAACGGGGGGGGGGGGGGTAAAATTAGCTTTATTGACGTATTTAAATTTAGAAGAAACCATTTTATTATTAAGAAACTTACTAGAAAGTAAATTATTTTTCATTAAAAATTAGTAAAAATTCATTTTTACAACAAATACTTACACACTTTAATAAAGATCTGCTAGAATTTGTCCACTTGATAAGCTAACGAAAATTTAGAATATGCAAAAAAGAATTAGGAAATATTTAGGTTAGAAAAAGAATTATGAATTCTAATACAATTTAAGATTTTTTAGTAAAGGTATTAATAATTAGTAACATTTATTCCCCTATAACAATAAGTAAAACCTAACACAAATCCACTTAACCACAAATCACTGTGCAATCGTCCACTGTGCAGATGCCCTCTGTGCAAAAGTCTTACTGTGCAAATGGATCACTGTGCCGAGTCGTGTCACCAAATCCTCTTGATTTATCCTACAAGTTAATTTAAAAAAATTCGGATATTCTTTACAAATTATAAATTATACAAATTGAAAAATAATTGGTTGGCATTTTGTTTGCATTTTATCGCGGTAATTTAAGGTGGTTGTACCTTTCGTCAATAAACTTTGCGTCAATGAACTTTTCGTCAATAAAGCATTATTTTTAAAAAATTCGTTAAAGTAGGATTGTACCGTGAACGCTCGGGGTGGGCATGTCGGGGTACGGGGGTTTCACATTTTTTCACACGTTTCCTAGTCTGTTTTTCAGCTCTTTCCAATGAAGATTTATGAGTATACTTAAGATTGAAAAACAAAAGCAAGCAGTCTCTAATAGAAGCACAGGATTGAAAAACAGAAGCACACGTGCATTAAAAGATTTACGGTAATTGGAAAACACAAAAGACGCCATGAATTCACAATTTTTGTGGTTTCACATTATCTAATAAATATTTTTAAAAACTTATTGACGAAGGAAATTTTAGGTATATTTTAAATATAAAAATAATTATGATGTATTTAGGCTAATTCTTTAAAGAAAAAATTAATTTAATATATTTTCTAAATAAAATTCTTTTTCCCATGCATAGTTTATACAAAACCCGTTAAAAAAGTTTTACTTTTCACTTGCAAATAAAAAATTTCCACGCTTTCGAAAAATGCGTAAATATAAAAAAAGCTTTTTCTTGAAAATCTCATATGTTAGAAAAAAAATTATTTATTTTTATATAAAAACTCTTTAAAAAGTTATTTTAAATATAAATTTAATTTTTAAAAATGGGTAACGGCTTAACTATTTATAATAAAAAATGTTTAACATGCGCAGCAAACCAAGTTGGCGGTAATAATATTCAAATTAAAACAGTTATTGTAACTGCACCATCACCATTTCAAGGTTTTTATGTTTTTATGGATATATGTAATACACAAAAACAATTTTAATAATATTTAATATCGAAAAATAGGAAAGCGAAGTCATTTTTAAATTTATAATGATGACTAATAAAGTATTTAACGATAATCAACAAATTTTTTTATTGTTAAAATAATCAAAAATTACTCCCCAATAAAATCATAATTTTCAAAATATTAAAAGAATAATCCAAGAATTCTTCGATATCTAAAAATTATTAAATTTAATTTAAAGAATTTTAACTAAAAATAAATTAAAATAAGTATTTATCAAGGCGATCAAAAGCACACAGAAGCAATTCGCCGTCTTTCACAAATTTTATTAGATGATTTAGAAAATGGAACACATCAAAGTTTTTCTATGCGTGATCGAGAAATGTATAAAAAAATAAATTATTTTTTTTTTCTTTCAAAAAAATTTCTTTTTAAAGAATTGCTCGTTGTTGGAGAAAATATATATCTGGTAAAAGAACAGATATTTTTCATAAAACAATGCTTAGATGTATTGAAGCAAGTCCAAAATTAAATGAGATAATTGCTTGTGGAAGATATTGTTATAGAGATTTGAGAAAATGGCCAAAATTAAATAAAATTTGGTTTTAAAAAAATTAAAATTAAAATAAATAAATTATTTTCTAAGTCAATCACAATTTAAATTTTATGAAAAATTAATTTACGAATTAAATATGGATCAACAAAAGATTTTAATTGCCTGTTATAATCTTGGAAGAACACATGCTGAATATTCACGTTATGGAATGAAACCTCATTTTTTGGATATTTATCAACAACAATTACTTGGTTAGTGAAAAGAGGGGAGGGGGAATTTTATCAACCAAAACATTTTTTTGTTGAAAATATGTAGCCTTCTGTCTCATTTTTTAATTCTATGAATTTATTTAAAAAAATTTTTACAGGCCAAATTGCTTGTATTGAATACGAAAATAGTAAAGAGATGGAAGAAACAATTGTTGCATTTATTCATATAAATAATTTAATTATTGAATCTTTTCGCGATTCTTATAGTCAAAGAATTAATGAAATGAGGGAACAAGAAAAGATTGTTGAAATTCGTTTATTAGAAGAGATATTATGAAAGAGAAAATTATAAAAATGTATATAAAATAAATTAAATTAATAATTTTTATTAAAGAATATATTATATAATTTTCTGATAAAATATCTGGATATTAATAATATTAAATTTGGAATTTGAATAATTGGCAAAATAGTTTTAAAAAATCTTAGAGTAATAACATGAAATTTCAACGACTATAAAATTATTTTTGCCTTTTTTTGATTGTTTAATTTATTTTACAATTTTTGGACTTAAAATGATGAATAATTCTCTTCCATTCAAAATATTTTAGTAAATAAATAATTTTCGGACTAATCGTGACCTCTATCTCAAATAAAAGGTTTTCTAATCGTTCACAATTGTCCACAAAATTATTCGCACTTTAAATAAATATATTTAAAAATGTCTACTACTAATTTATTTTTTATTTTTATTTTTTCACTTTCTTTTTATTTATCTCCTTTCTCAATTATTGCTTTACCTCATCATTACAATCAAAATAATCAAAGACAATTACTCCAACAAAATAATAATTTTCAAAATTTACAAAGAAATAGTGCAAGTATTTCTTCAATTTCTGCCTGTTTATTTTGTTCTCTTTGTGGTTTACCAGAAAATCCTTCACCTTGGACTAGACCACCAACAACTACTTTAATAAATAAAAATAAATGTAAAATAAAATATTTTTAAAAATTTAATTTTTAAAAATTATGTAGGTGAAGATAAAAGTAATAAATGTAATGAATTTGTTAAACTTTGTGATGATGGAATATATAAATATTTTCTTCGTTCACATTGTTCCTATACTTGTGGAATATGCAATAATACAACAACAACAACAACAAAAACATTAAAAGAAACAATTACTAATACAAAAACAATTCCAACAACAACAACAACATCAAAACCAACAAAACATTTACTAAAAACATCAACAAAACCCAAAACAACAAAAACATTCAAAACAACACCAAAACAAAAAAGTCAAGAAAGTAATGAACAGAAAACAGTCAAAAACATAAAAACAACAAATTTAATAGAAAATAAAAAAGAAATAATTAAAACAACAACAACAACATTATCGAGTACAATTAAAGGAATTACTAAACAAGTTTCTATTGAAGAAGAAGAACCTTTAGAAGAATGTAAGAAAGGAGTTTTTAAAAAACTTATTTAATATTTAAAAGGTGAAGATATTGGCCAAAATTGCAAAGCAATGGAATCTGGTTGTCAAGATATAGGGCAACGAAATATTCTTGGGACTTTTTGTCGAAAAACATGCAAATTTTGTTAAAATATTTTTTTGTTTTATTTATTTTTTTTGTTTTTTTAGTAAAATATATATTAGATATAAAAATTAACACCTGAATTAAAACAAATAAAACCTTTTAAAACAAAAGAATATTTTTTTAAAAACAATAATAATAAAGGAAAGATTATTATTATTATATTATTATATGTAATATAAAATATATATATATATATAAAGATATTATTTAAAAATATTTTCATTCAAAAATCTGAAAAGAATAATGGAAAAAATAAAATTAAATATTTATTATTTTTTAAATATTTTAATTATTATAACAATTAATTTAAAATTTATCGAGACAATTAAAGTATTTTGTGGACGTATGTTTTTCTTTTTATTAAATTAAAAAATAAAAATTCCAAATAAATAGCTGCAATTGGAGTAAGTCCAAATCCTTGTCAATCTCCTCTTCTACAAAGACCGGGTTTAACTTTAACAGAAGAATTAATGGATGGACAAAAAGTTTGTTGTGGATTTGATAAAAAAATAAATGGTTATTTACCTGATGGAAAAAAAGAAGATTCTAGCCTTCGAAAAAGGCCAAAAGGGAGTAAATTAATTTGCAAAAGTAAGAGAAAAGAGAAAGAAACTTTTGTTTACTAAAAATTCTTAATTTTCCCTTAGATGCAATAACAATTCCAATTTCAAATGGAAATATTGTCCCAAAATGCCCACCAAAACTTTTTTATGATTCAAATAAAGATAAATGTTGTAGATATCAAAAAAAGAAAAATAAATTAAAAAAAGATTATTCAAAATGTAAAGATTTATCAGCCCCAGGAAAAGCCTCAGATTGCCCAGCAAATAAACATCGATGTAATGAAACTATTTGGTATAAATTAATGACTGAACAATGCCCTAAAACTTGTGACAGATGTGAAGAATATATTAAATTGAATATATCTCGAGATGATAGAGGTAAAGGAAAGAAAGGATTTTTGGAGAAAAAATTCATTTTTTAAGTTTGTCGAGACGGAATTGGCCCAAATGGAGTAAATGAATGTCCACAGAATAAACATCGTTGTGAAGATAAAATTTGGAAAGAGTTTATGAAAAAAGAATGTCGTGAAACATGTGGATATTGTGGAAAGGGGTTAAAAAGGAAAGGAAGGAAAAGAAGAAGGAAAAGTAATAGAAACACAACAACTACTACAACAATAATGACAACAACAATTTAATTAAATATAATTATTTTTAGAATTTTTTTTAAAATTTAGTTGTATTTTAATTAATTTTTAAATACATATTTATAAATTAATTTTAAGGGCCTAAAAATTCTTTTTAATTTCCATATAACGGCAAAAATGCCAAAATAAAAGCTAAAGGAAATTAGGAAGATAGGGTTTCTCTACAGCATAACCTCAATTTAATTTCTAAATATGTAAGTGTGAGGCATTCTAACAAAATTTTAAAAAATAATATTTTTTATTTGGCTACTAAAATAAAAATATAAAATATCAAAATGCGTGTAGTTTTTGGTCATTTAATTATTAAATAGGTAATGGGGGAAGGAAGGCAATTTAAGTATATAATTTTTGGAATTTAAAGCTTTAAATGTTTTTTTGTTAGTGAATAAAATAAACTGGGCAATAGAAATAAATTTAGAAAATTTGAGAAAAAATATTAGAGAGAAATGAGTAATTAGGTAACCGACATTTTTTTTGATATTAAATTCCTCTGAAATTATCAATTAAAATTTAAATTAATTTAATCAAAAAAAAATGTCGGGAAAGGGAACTAAAAATAAATTATTGAGCTTTTAATTGTTTTTAATTATTTTCCTTTTAATTATTTGGAGATAGTTACAATTGTTGTTGTTGTTTTTGGCCCTTTAATTCTGACAGAAGTTCTTAATCGGCTTAATTCTTCAGAAAATAATTCCCCCGTTTGTAACATATTCACAATAGCCTCAAAATCCCGATCTGCTTTCCCCACTTTTCCCCCATTTTTATATACTCTAGCAACAGATAAATGAGAAGAATCACGACTTATTCTTCCACTTTCTTCTAAAAAAGAAAATAATTTAAATTTAAATTTCAACCCCTCCCCCTCACTTCTTCGTTGATTAAACAAAGTTTTTAATTGAAATTGTCTTTTTTTAGCTTCAATTTCCTCCCTTTCAGTCCTAACTGTCCGGTGACAATCAGCTAATCCACTAAAACAACGAGCAAATGGCCCAAAGAATTGATCAGAATGAGGCAAAATAATTTCTGAATTTGAACGTTTTGAGTCAATAGAAACACCAAAAAGATGAACACAATCTGATAACTTTAAAAATGAAAATTTAACTTTATTTTAATTTTTTATTTAATATGTTTCCAAGAGAAATAATATATCCCTTTTTTAAGGTAAAATACAAAAAAAATTTTTTTTGTTCAAAACCTTTTGTCTCATTTCAGTCAATTCTTCCCTAAGTTGAGTCATTTGCTTTTTAGCTTCTTCCAAAAAAGTTTTAACAACAACCACAAATCTATCAGGTTGTTTTGAACGTTGAATTAATTTCCCTCCTTCCCCTCCCCCTCCTTCCCCTCCTTTTTGTTGAGGAAAAGGTTCTTCTGGTATTTCTAAAACAATTTTTTCTTCCTCCTCTTTTCCCTCTTCTAAATTATTAGATTCTTCAAATTTCTTTTGATAATAATTTAATTCTTCATTTAATTCAAATATTGACTTTTCTAATTGAAATAATTCTTTCTAAAAAAATAATTAATTTTTCTTTTTAAATTTAAAAAACTTCAATTTGTTGTCTATCAACTTTAGAAGCCTCCAAAACTGAATTCATTTCTCGTTTTAAATTAAATAAATCAGGCCAGTTATGTTCAATTATTTCAACTAGAAAATGAAGTAAATTTCTATCGGGACGAATTGTAGACCGAACAGAAGGGATTTGGTCTATTGAAGAAATTGTGAAACCTTTAAAAGGTGAAATTTTTTTAAAATTAATTTCCCCTTTCTCTTTTAACCATAACAATTCCCCAAACGTTTTCCTTCATTTAGAATATTTCCAACAGCAAGAATAAGAGCTAGAAATTGAATTAATCGTTTACTGTTGCAAAGAGTATGTGATGCTCGAGAAATTGCTGTTAAAATAAATAAATATTTAATTTTTAATCGAAGAAGAGGTTAAAGTTAAAAGTAGGGTCCCCCTACCCTGTCCCCCGAAACCCCGATCCAAAAGTCAACCCTGACCCCGAAACCCCGACATGTACTCCCCAGCAAACCCGATCCCTGATACACCCTACCCCGAAGGCTTTGGGTGCTACACTAATTAATAGACAAATAGAAGAAATGTCAAATATTTGTTTTAAATGTTCAGTCAATAAATTACCTAAAATTCCAGGCCTAATTTCAGAGCACCGATCTTGAAAAGATCTAATAGTACACAAACATTTAAGCCTTTGTTCATATCTAGGTACTTGTCCCATTTCCCAAAGAAAACGGTCAGCTAAAGCTAAGGATTGATGTTGCTTTCTTTTTTTAGTTAAAGTTTCTTTCATTTTATTTAATTCTTCTTTTAAAGGAACAAATTTTAACATTTGCTCCAAAATATCTCGAGAAAGTTTACATCTTTCATCCATACCAAGAAGTGTATGCCGAATATCTCTATGAGACATTTTTAGTCTTGCTAACATTATTGTACCTGAAAATAGATATTTTATTTAAAAGTTAATATGTAATTGTCCACAAATTTTCACATTATTGAAAATGAAATTTTATTTTTTTACTTCAAAAATTTCAAAATTAATTATCAAAACTAACAATTTTGTGCCCTTCTAGAGTCTATAACAGTAATTTGATTAGCTTGTCGAAGAGCTAAACTTCTGTGTAAAGTAAAAGAATTTCCATCAATAGATTGTTGTTGTTCATCTGTTCCCGATTTCCCCGCAGCAAATTGTTCACTTAAAGCTTCAATATCTATCTAAAAAATAATTATTTTTTAAAGTCTTCTAGAAGATAAATTACTTGATTATAAATATTTTTTTCATCCAAATTCTCCCAAATTGTTCCTTTAAATTTATCTTTAGGAATTGGTGTCCAATTTAAAGTCTTGACTGGACATAGAGGAATTGGAACTTTTTTCTTTGGAATTGATTTATTTGAAGAAATAATTAAAGTTTCATTTCCCGATCGAAGTTGCCGAGCAGATGGAGGAGGGGGTGGAGGGGCTTGACCTACTGGAGGCCGAATAGGAGGTAATTGCTGATTGGAATTGTTCCCAAAAATATTAGATATATTATTATTTGATGAATGGAAGGGATCGGAAGGTGATGAAGAATATGAAGAGGAAATTGAAGCTGAAGAATGTTCAGAAACTCTTAAAATAATGTTTATAAAGACTGAATTTTTTCAAAGAAAATCACCTAGAAAAAGAGACAAGGGAAGCAGAGTCTTGTAAATCACTCAAACAATTTTCCAATTCCAAAATCCTCTTCCTTTCTTTTACCAATTCCTCTTCTGTTTCTTGTAATTTTCGTTCAAGTTTTTCACATTCTGCCTCAGTTCTTAATCTTCCAAGAAGTTCATCCCAATCTAATTTTTTGTTAAATTGTTGTTGTTCTGATAATTGAGGATCAACCCTTAACGGGTCCAAACCATTCATTGCACTTTTCAATGTTAATCTATTTTTGAAAATTAAAAAAGAAATATTTTTATTCCTCCTTAACTGCTGTAATAAAAGATCAAAACATCGCCACAAAGGAAGATGCCGTTCATCTGTGGGTACCATCAATAAATGTTGAAGGAGAGAAATAAAATGAGGCAAAGCTAAAGTATGGTCTAATCTTTGAGTTAATACTTCTGCCATTACTGAAGGATTTTCAAAATCAATCGGGGATGTGGAGCCAGAATCAAAAGTGGTGGTACTTAATAAATTTATTTTTTATTTTTTTTCCTTCAAATTCTTTCCACCTTTGCATTTCTTGTTCATCTTCTTGTCTCATCATTTCAAAAAGATCAATATGATCATCTAATGCAGAACCAGAACCTTCTGGAGCGGCCGAACGGATTTGTTCAAGCACTTGAACAATTCCCAACATTAAGAACTCGTGCCGTAAATGTATCCGATATTCTAGGGAATGCTGAAAATTGATAAAAAATAATAGAATATTTTCTTTCAATTTAAAAATATTTATGTTAAATCAAAAAAAATATTTAAATTATTTTAATCAATAATAATGTATGTAGATTGTTGCTATTTAGTAATTGATGGATGAGTCAAAAATGGCAAAGAACAACAACAATATACAGAAATACAAAAATAAATATAAAAGAATTGAAAGAAAACAAATTTAAAAAAGCTTTGTTTGTTTAAACTGAAATTTTAGAAAAATCTTTTTGTACATATTTTAAAATTAAATTAGAAAATCTTTTTCTATTTAAAAAACCGTTAGAAAAATAAAAAAAAAAATTAATTTATTTATTTTTAATTAAAATCTAAGAAAAAAAAAACTTCAAAAACTTGTTAGGTAATTTTGTAAATAAACAAATTTAATAAAAAATTTTTTTATTGAAAATTAAAAATTAACAAAAAAATGTTTGTAAAAGTGAGACTTTGAAGAAGAACTTACTAAAAATTGTTTTTTTAATTAATTAAAAGAAAAAAAAAGATTTTTTTGATTGAAATAAAAAGTCTAAAAAATTAAAAGTAAATTAATTAAAATAAAATTATTTTGTTCAAAAATCATTAACAGATTTTTTAAAAGTAAATAAATTTAATTAAAAAATTTTACATTAAAAATAAAATAACAGAGAAAATATTTAAGAGAAACAGTTAAAGCTTATTTTAAAATACAAATAAATATGTAGTAGAAGAAGGAATGACCTAAAATTGTTGAACAATTTTTTGGTTTAAAGTAAAAGAACAGAAAAAAATAATTTTTTCTATTTTCCAGCTGACCAATTTTTGTAAAGAAAAATAAATAAATTTAAAAACAGTTATTTTTTAAAGGAGAATTTATTTTAAAAAAGAAGAAGATCAAGGCCAAGGACTTTTCGAGATGTTCAAAAATAATTTCATGGGGATTATTAAATTAATATTTGAATAAAAAATATTTTTTAAAAAAAAGTTTTAAATTATTCCTTTAATTAATTAAAAAAATTTTTTTGATTAAATTATTGTAACGGACCCGACCCCACAGACTCGATACACACCTTTTCTCGACATGTTCATATCCAAATCCACCCCGACTCAAATAGACTATAATCCACTTTCCCAAGCTCTGTTTATTCTTTCTCTCCTCCCCCACACATATCCATTTTGTATTTTATTTTTATTAAAACTCCTCCCCCTTTTTCTTTCAACACAAACCAACAACTCTTCAGTGGTTGAAGTGATTGAAATGGTTGTTAATTGAAGAGTTGTGGTTAAAGGCGTTTGGATTTTGATGGACCGATGAAGGAATAATTATTTTTTAATTATATTTTTCCGTTTGTATTTTTAAATGGTTTTTCAATTTAAATATATTTTGCTCCTGTATTTTTGGAATTAATCATTTTTATTTGTTTTTAATTTAATTTATATTGTTTGGACATTTTAATGTTAATTAAATAAACATTTCTTTTCCAATTTCCCAGTTGATTTAATTTAGGGAAAATAGGAAAATGAGTTTAGTCCTCTGCGCCCTCCCCTTTTGACCAACTTCCAAATCCTCCTCCACCCCTAAATACCGGCGCTCCGAAGATGCACCAGACCGAAAGGTCGTGGTTGCTAACTGGTAGCACCGGATGGCGTCCCCCTCAAGGTTTTGGCTACCCACCCACCTCTCCCTCCACCCACCTCTCCTTCCTCCTACACTCTCCCCCTCTTCATCTCTCCCCACCTCTTCCACTTTCCCTCCTCGCTCAATTTTTTTTAAAAATAAATTTTAATCCAATTAAATTTTAATTTCTTTCCAGATTCTATTAATCTACCCCATTCCTACACACCCCCCCCCCTCCACCTCCGAATCAGAGTAAAAAGAAAACCTAGAAAAAGCGAAGCCGTTTTTGCTCGCTATTTTCTAGGCATCGCTTTTCTTACGACATAAAATTCTTTTGTCCACATTTTTGACCTGCTTAGTCCAATTTTTCTCCCAACTCTGCACAGAATTTACATACAGATAAACATTTTCCATCTTTGCCCTTGAAGAGAAAGTGGGCAAAATTCCGTCGTTTTGTTTTTGTCTGTTGTAAATAAAGAGTATTTTTGCTGTCTATATGTCCTATCAATCTTTGCCCTCGAAGGGAAAATGGGCAAATTTCTTCGGCTTGTTTTTGCCCCATCTTTTTACAATAGACAGGAAAATTGTTTTTCTAGATTGTGCAGATAAATTTTGCCCACTTCCCCGACACTACACACTTTTTGTATTAAAATATTTTTCTTCTCTCTGTCCTTACCCATTGGTCCTATCCTTTTGACTTCAACATTTTTGTAGTTATTTTTCATCTTTTTCTTCCCCATTCATTTAAAAAATCTACATTCTTCTAAGTTAAGAAATAAATATTTTTTATATTAAATTAACTTCGAAAATATAGATTAAAACAATGTCTAAAATTTTCAAAATAATTTTAAATTGTAATAATTTCACCGGTATTCAAAAATCCCCTCCTCCCTCTACAAAACGTACATTTCACGATTATCCATTTTATGCTCTACAAATTTTTCAGTTAAACAAAAATGAAAAAAATTTTTCTTTCCAAATTATTCCCTATAAATATTCTAATAGAAGTCCTGTATTATATAGAAGCCTTTCTATTTATGTAACCGGTCGAGAATAAATACTAAAACTTCTATTAGGAATATTTACAAGACTCAAACCCCTCCCTTCTAATTATCCTTGGTTGTTTGTTTGTTTTTGAAGTAAAATTTTTTGGCTTTCCGTGTTTTAAGTAACACTAGAAATGTCAAAAAGTATTTTAAACCCCCACTCTATTTTTACAATTGTCATAATTTTTCTAATCATGGATTTAAATTATTTCTTTAAAATTGTGATAATTGTTGAGAAGTTGGGAAAATTATTTAGTCCTAAATTCTCTTCAAATTCGAAATTCTCTTTAAATTTTGCCCAATCTCCAGCTAAATTTTTGTCACAAATTAAACGGTTATTGTACTTTAGACACTTTTCTTGTTATAGCCAATAGAAAGAAGAGAAGCGACGCCTATAGTATCAGCTTCTCTATAATTTTTCCCAATTTCTCACTCCCTTCATTACCTCTCTCATTTCTTTACTCCTATTCGCGCAACCACTCTTATTCTCTACTTCACCACAAATCCCCCCTCTCTCCACCTACCACCAATTCCCCCTCTACCACAAACCTCCCTCCACCCACCACCAATCCCTCTCCACCACCAATCCTCCCTCTACCTATCACCCCCTGCATTATTATTTTGCTTCGTGCTGTCGATCCTTTTTCTTCGCCCACCTCCCCGAGTAACTGCAAGGAATAATTTTTAAAATAAATTGTTTAACTTTGTTAAAATTTATTTAAAAATTAATTTGAATTTTTAATCACAAAATCCCCCAATATAATTTTGTTAAAAATTTTTCTTTCACATTTAAAGAGCTGTTTCGAAAATTCGATTTAAAAAATTTTTCTGAATCAAATTTCTTACTCCAGATCTCTTAATTGACAAAAATTTTGTTTCAAAACAGCTCTGACTTGTACTTATATTTTTATAAGAAATTAATTACGAGAAAATGTTTTCATTTAATTTGAGCCTTATATTTCCCTTGTCTTTACTCTCGCCTCTCAGCCTCTTTCCATTTAAATTTTCAAACAATGGTTGATCCAAATAATTTTTTTTTATCCCAATTCTATGGTCTTTCCAAAATCAGACATTGAGAAATGTTGCATTGGAGGAAGATAAATTTTTCTTTTGGGACCTCTCCTAAATTTTGTCTGTTGGGACCTTTCCTCTCCCAATCAAAACCAAGGCTGTGCACAATGTGATTTTTGGCATTTTCGTTTGGCGTTAAGCACGTTACAGAAATTTTTGGCGCACAGCCCTGATTTTAACTATCCTTTTGTGGTGTGGAAATTAAAAAGAAAGAGGAGAGAGATAAGGGAGAGATTAAAATCGTACAAAGTATAACAGTATTTAATAAAAAAAGATTCCCATAAGAAAAAAAGTCCATTTTATATTTGTCCATTATTACAACAAAAAGTCCCAGTTAACAATATTCTGTAATCCATTGAAAAAATCCCAGTAAACTATCTTTAAGCGAATCTTTTAATGAAAATTATCCTTTTTCTGGGAAAATCAGTTATGAAAAGAAATCAAAATCCATTTTGTATTTGTCCAGTATTACAGCAAAAATTTCCCAGTTAACAGTTATATAATCCAATGAAAAAATCCCAGTAAACTATCTTTGAGTGAATCTTTTAATAAAATTATCCTTTTCTGGGAAAAATCCGTTAAGAAATAAAAAATCAAAATCCATTTTGTATCTGTCCATTATTACAAAAAAAGTTCCCAGTTAATATTATTCTGTAATCCATTGAAAAATCCCAGTAAACTATCTGTGAAAGAAATCTTTTAATAAAAATTATCCTTTTCTGGGAAATCGTTTAAAAAAAAACAATATCCAGTTTTGTACTTGTCCATTATTACAATAAAATCTTCCCAGCTAATACCGTTATGTAGTCCACTGAAAAAAATCCCAGTCAGCTATCTTCAAGAAAAATCTTTTAATAAAAATTATCCTTTTCTGGGAACATTGTTTTGTAATGTTTTCTTTTCCCTCACATATAAAAATAGGAGTTAAGCTTATATCCCGTTCACTTTCGCGAAAATAAATTAAAAAGCTATCAATTAACGCTCCTTCAAAAAAATATAATTCGAACTTAAATTAAAAAAAAAGGGATTCAAATTAAAGCTATTAGAATTAATTAAAATTAATCTAATAGTGCCGAATATTTTTTATTGTTTTAAAATTTGTTTTTAATTATTTTTAATTTAAAATTTTTTTTTCGTTTCGTGCATTTATTTCATTTATCCCCTCACCCTTTCAAGTAAAGAAACTCATTAGAATTAATCCGTTTTGGAATTAATCTATTGAGGAATAAATCTCAACCCTTATAATTTTGCATTTAAATATTA